ACCATAACGCAGAATGACCTCGTCCAAAAGGCTACGTGCACATGCTTCAGCTGAAGCTATTTGGATTGGGAATAGTTCAACCCATCGACTGGCAGTATCTTAAGCGATTGACAGATCGGTCATCTTGACAGATCAGCAATGCATTTAACGTCAGTTAAAACCAATTGGGTGACAAATGACGCTTAATTAATGGTTTATCTATCAAGATGACCGATCGGTCAATCGCTTGAAGTTGGCTATAGCTATACTTCGACGCATACCTGGCCAAAAGTACCGACTGGCGATCCGCTGATAGGTGCGTTCAACGCCATAGTGTCCACTTAAAGGAGAGTCATGGTACTCTGATAATATCTCTGGTACTTTGAACTTTAGGACGACTAGTTGGGCCCTCTTCTTCTAGTTCAGGAACGTGACGATAAAGGATACCATTAGTCATTAGGTATCCACGTTCGGTCCACATCTTAAAGCTTATGTCTTGTTGGTCAGGGTTTTCAAAACACTAGATAATGGTTGCCACTTTCGGATCTTCAAGTTGCTCCATTCTCATGTCAGCAGCTGTCCGTCTAGGTAATTCAACGGTAACCAGATTAGCTTCCAAATCTGAGATTGGAGGACGTGATAGCATATCTGCGACAACATTTGTTCGGCCAGGCGTATAATCAATTTGCAAGTTATATGCCTATCTGACAAGGTGATCCTAATGACATCATTCACTTGGTCGGCTGATGATCAAAGTCAAAGGTCTGGCTATATCCGAAAAATTCTTGATGAAGCGCCTATACCAGGAACACGTCTGCAGGAACGACATTTTGGAAATCGCAGTTATCTTGGAAATCGCAGTTATCTTATCTGGATTTGGATTGATACCTTGAGGTGAGATCACATTCATGATCAAGGTACGTAACAGAAGTAGGTATAAGAAAAGCTACATTTGGATCGTTTTAGTTTGACTTTGAACATTCGTAGGCGCTTAAATACTTGCTGTAGATGCTTCACATAAGATTTGAACGATTCTGACAAAATGATCAGATCATCAAGATATGCAAGTATGTTCAGATCCTGAAGGCCAGAACGGAATCTGTCAATCAGCCTTTGGAACGTCGAGGGTGCATTTCGTAAGCCAAACGGCATTCGTGTGTAACGAAACGTCCCAAAAGGACTTATGTAAGTGGTTGTGTCTCTTGGCCTTTCGAAAAGAGTTGGAGAAAAAATTTAAACCCATTGTCAACATACATGGAATGAACTTGAATCATCTCGCCGACAAACTAAGAAAATTTGTTACAAAGTTAAAATACCAAGAGACAATAAGATAACGCCAAACATACTGAAACTTATAAAAGAAAGGAAAACAATTTCCAGAGATGCAACTGAGTACCAGGAGCTCAACAAGAGGACACAGAGGGTGAGAGTGAGAAGAGATGTGAGATCCTTTAATACCGTAATTGAGGACAACTCTAACATGAAAGTTCTTAGATCGAGACTTTCGCCTGGAAAAAGCAGAATTTTCAAAGTGAAGGATGAGGATAACATATAGAAATCTTTTATTCTAGTCTCTACATCTCTGTTGTGCAGGATCGTTATACTCAGAAAGTTACCGTTTGCAATGTAGGCTCAGAAGAAATTCCTGATATAACCAAAGAGGAAATAAGGGTGGCACTAGGGCAAATGAAGAACTGTAAATCACCTGGGGACGACTTTATGGAACAAATTCTATAGGTATTATTTAATAAATATTTATCTGAAGGCAATATCCCTGAAACATGCCACAACGCAGAAGTTATTCTGCTTTTTAAAAAGGGCGACATCACGGACATTGAAAATTATCGACCTATCAGACTTCTGTCCCACCTTTACAACAAACTACTAACAAGGATCCTTACAAACTGACTGACAACTAAATTAGATGCCTATCTACCAGTGGAGCAGGCAGGATTGCGAAAGGGATACAGTACTATGGATCACCTACAGACCATTCAAATGTTAATAGAGAAAACAACAGAATACAATATACCACTTCATTTCGCCTTTATAGACTTTCATAAGACATTTGACTCATGAAACATGGGCTGTGTAGAATAAAACTGACATGGATAGCATTTGGAAAACTGAGTCATATAGTGAGAAATCCTGACATCCCTATACAGGGTTGCATGAACCCACCGGGATACCGGGAAATTCCCGATGGGTCGATCGGAATGTGGGCCGGAACAGGATCTTCATAATATGAAGTAATATTATGAAGATTGGTGATTGGTGATTGTTTGAAATAAATAAACCAAAAATATAATCAGTATGAAAGTTATTTTTTGATTTTTTATTCTGCGTTTCCATTCAGCATTTATTGTTTCATCACTGTTGGTAATTTAATATTGGATCACATCTAAGTGTGGTGATGTGCCCCATAAATCCATCAATGTATGGTACGGTAGACTGAAATTACCCGGCCCACTTCCAAAAGTTTGTCCAACCTTGTCCCTATAAACCTTAAATGAAAAGTCTTTAACACATGCATCCTGCCTGTCGCAGCATATGGTCTTGAGACAAAGGCTTCAACCCAGAAGTACGCCAAAAACCTTAGGACAATGCAAAGGGCTATGGAACGGGCAATGCTTGGTGTTAGTTTTGCAAGATAAAATCCGTAACGAAGAAATAGGAAGAAGAACGAAGATAGTTGACATAATTCAGCGAATCGCTGAACCTAAGTGGCAATGTTCCCAGACTGGGTGTGGACAGATGGGTAGCAAAACTTGTACACTGGAAACCACATCAAACAAAGAGGAGCGTCGGCAGGCGGCAGGCCACAGAAGAGATGGTTGGATGATATTAAAAAAATAGCAGGAGGAAAATGGTATTACCATACAGCGAAAGACAGAACAGCATGGAAACAAACGAAAGAGGCCTTTGTTCAGTAGTGAAGAGGAAATGGCTGAAAAAGAAGAAGAAGTGCACCGTCAGCCTTATTCCTCCATCCTTTTTCGGAGACAGCACCACATGCGCAGCATAAGGAGTTGCTCGCACGGGAAATTATTGAAGAGCAATTTGTTTTTTTAATTCTAGCTTCTTGGTTTCTGACATACGGTATGTTGAAAGTTGGAACAGCCACTAAAATATCGTCGATTAAATCAATAGAATGTTCAAGAAACGGTGTTAGTTCAGAACTTGGTTGGAACAAATCTGCATTAGTATGGAGTAGTTTGTTCAAAGTACTCTTATCTTCTTGGCACAAGTTCTTTTCTTCATTTGCACGTAGTGATAGTTGTTCAGACAAGGCCATATGGCTAGTGTCAATTGTTGTGCATTCAGAGTTGTTGATTCAGCGCCTAAAAGGGTCCTACTGTTGATTTGTTCAGGAATGGAAATGAGTGCGGTGAGATGATCTCTGCCTTCCAATGCGATTCTGACACAAAATACATACCTAAGCATCCACTTGAGTAGTTTTACCAGCTGCTAAAGTCATATTTAACTGTCTCTGTTTATAAGAAACATGTTCGTCTAATAAAATTTCACTCAATCGGGAGCCGGCGATGCTTGACTGAGCACCGGAATCAAAGTACGTGAGACCATTATGATCTTGAATAGTAACATAGGCGAGTGGGCGACTAGAACCATCCGAGTCCATTTGACCAGATTGTACCTGGTAAGTACTCAGGAACTCTGCAAACATTGCGGTTTTGGTAGGATCCGTTGGAGTAATTGGATGTTGGGAGCACTTGGGGCAGTTACTTTTAACATAACCTGGCGTTCCACAACCGTAGCATGACAGAGTATTTGGCCTACTATTTTATGTTGACGATTATTCATAAGAGGACTCGTATCCTTTGGAGTGCTTGACTCATTGCTGCTGACTTTGCCTTGTTCAGAAGGTATACGAGCCAGTTTACGACAATTTTCTTGAGTGTGCCCAAAATTCTTACAAAAATTGCACTTTTGTTTACGGACGGTCTCATTCACTTTACTGATGGACGCATCATCAAAATCTTTAAATGTCTTGACACTCTCACGTTGCATTTTTTCCCTTACGTTCGTTCAATAAACCGTAAACCATATCTAATTGAACATGTTCGGAGATTGTAGAATCACCTTCTAAATAGGACATCAAGGCACGAGCTTTGCTCACAAAAATATCTTTTTTCTCTGCACTTTGTTCGTGTGAAAAAAATTATCTATATATCTGATGTGGAGGTTTTAAAAATCCACAAGCATGTCATGAAGAATCCATAGCCTCATTAAAGGTGTTGACAGAGGATTTAATGAATGCCCCGCCACCATGTAGTTGCAGAATCTTCCAATAACATTGACAGGCCTTTCAGAGCATGCTGATCTAGAATATTAAGGCAATCCTCATAAACCACAATAGCATCAATGAATGCTTCAACATCTCTTCCCGGACTTCCATCGAAACGATACTTGCATCCAGAAAAATTGGCCCGCATACTTACACTTGGTTGTTGAGTAGGCTGACTTACATGAACATTCTGTATTCCAGTTAGTAAAGATTGCAGCATCTCTGGCTTCATAACAATTTGTTGAAATATTATCAGTCATCTTGTCTAATTCTGAATTATTTGGTACAATTTTTCCACTACGTAAAATCATACAGTCGAACTCGGGTGTTGCAGGACTCGTATGAGTCAGAACATTTATGATTTTAATTCATGATATCGAATCACATGCAAAACTGGATTGACTCACAGGCAAAACTTACATAATCATGGAGAAATACTTTAGAATGATTAAATCGAACCGATTGAACGAAACACTGTGTCGATTTAATGTCTGGAATCATAGCACGTTGGGCGCCAATGTAGCACGTTGGGCGCCAATGTGACACTGGGTAGTGTCGGGTACAGTGATCTCTGCACAAACGATGGTCGACGGTGACAGAAGTGCTGGATTTACATAAGCCCTGGGACCAATTAATACACTACACTTGAATTTAATACTTTTTAATATCAAAATCAATTAATAAATGATAATTTTTTTTTAATTCTTTTTTTTAGGTTGTGCAGGTGGTGACACAGAAAAACAAGCACTAGCCTGGGGCAGAAAAGCGAAAACCTTAAAAAGACTGGTCCTAGGGTTCACACAAGCCAGACCACCAGACCTACCGTCCATTGTAGCCCTAGACATCACAGCCAAAAATGTAGTCAGCGTTCGATTGGCCGAGCCCACTTCGCAAGACTCGCATATAACAACCAAATTTTTAGGTAAATAAAATTCAATTTTATTCCAGAAAGCAGTAGTCATAATATAATATATTCAAAGCTGCAATAAGATGCACTTCCTATACCTGAATTGCTGAAATTGTATTCATTTCGCAGAGATTCAAAGTGAAATATTCACGAGTCTCCGCGTATTTTGGAGTAATTGCAGACTATGTTGCGATTTTACTTTACATAACCGTTCTATCTGTGCTTAGAGGGATGTTTATGTAAATTCAGGAGCTTTTCGACCGCAACAAAAATAATTTATATACAAAATTTAAAGTATATACCTAGCTTTAAACCGGCTCACATTATATTGGATATTATATGCTCAGAAATTCTTAGCTTAGGGTGGTCCTGAATATTGGTACAGTTTGAATAGGGCGCCACTAGATTGTATAGGTATGAAACTAATTTTGAACTTGTTTGCAAATCAACGGTATAAATCCTCAAATACTAGTAATTTGCTGTAGCTGTTGTTGAGTAATTTACTTTGCAATAAGCATCAAAAATGGAATAGAATATTTAAAGATTCATACATTGAAAATTGTGAAATCTCTTTTCGATGTTATTTAAGTACACGGAAAATAAAATGTTTTCCTAAAGCCAGATTCTCTCATTAAATAAATGTTGACTTTTTGAATCCTAAACTTCCATTTCTCGTATTTTTAATCAATGAAGATGTAAATCTTGTTTAGTTACCTATCTAATCAAAGTAGATAATAATAAGCATCTTCTATAGTTTTTATCAGAATTAATGATCCAACACAAACATAAATAATTATCTATCAATTATCTATAGACAGAGAGTATTTTATCAATTAAATCAGTGTGACGCTTCCGATTAAACGAGTTTTCATTAATTAATACACAAGTGTTTTGTAAACGTGTTAATTAATTTGTGTTTATAATTTTGTTGTGCCAAAAATGCTATAAAATATCATCATTGGACGAAGTCAAAGTTATAAGTGAGAATTGATATTTTTTATTTATTAATTTATTTATGTATACACTGACTCTAGAGGTACCTACCTACTACCTTTAAGGACAAGTATGGTTCTGTACACGTGTTAATTAATTTGTGTTTAGAATTTTTTTGTGCCAAAAATGCCCAGCTATGAAATAGCACCATTAGAAAAAGTCAAAGTTATAGGTGAGGATTCATATTTTTCAATTATTATTTTATTTATGTATACTGACTCTAGAGGTACTACCTCTAAGGACAACTACTACACAACCGTGTAGTTGGAAAGGTTGAGGGGTTAGTCAGAAACAGGAAAATACCAGTGGCGTACACTCGATCGACCTACGAATGGAGAACCATACGAAAATATACAAAACTGTATGGTTATTCAAAAACTGTACATATGATTGAATTCATACTAACTAGTAACTGGAACTCCCTGTCTATTCAGTTCTTAATAGATGTTTTAAAACTGCCTGCAGAAATTCCGCAGAATGGTTCTGGGCCTATCATCTCAGCAGCCGAGCCTTTTTTGGCCAAGTCATCAGCCTTTTCATTTCCTGAGTGGCCCTTGTGGCCTGGTACCCAGGCTATGGTAATTTTGTTGGACAGGCCCACCTCCTCTAGGGCACGTACACAGTCCCCAACCAGCTTGGAGCTGATCTTTTGGGAGCTGATTGCCTTTAGGGCCGCCTGGCTGTCCGAGTAAATAACGATGTTTTTACTCCCAACTTTTCTTTCATTTATCAGTATGGCACAGTGCATTATTGCAGCGATTTCCGCCTGAAATATCGTGGCGTACTGTCGGAGACTTGTGGATATTTCCATCCTAGGTTTGTCCCCGTAGATGCCGGCTCCGACCCCCTTGCTGGTCTTGGAGCCTTCGATGTACCAGATGTGGTCTGCTTTAATTGGAGGACCTTTCTCCCAATCTTTCCTCTCTGGTATGACAACCCGTAACTGCCTATTGAAGATGAAAATAGGTTTTGTTTTGTCTGAGGGCATCCCGAACAATGAGTTGACCTCTGGATCCTCCTCTATTTTCCAGCTCATGGGCCTTGGGTGTTTTATAATTAAACCCTGGCCTTGCTTCAGTCTGTATAGTACTGCCTTTACTTCACCCTGTGTGTATGTAGTGGCGGCAGGTTTAGCAGCACCTCCAAGGCTGCGGTTGGGGCTGTTTTCATGGCACCCGTGATGCATACGCAGGCTGGGCTAGCCTTTGCACACTTTGAAGCTGTCTGATTGCTATGGTCTGTGTGATCCCAGGCAACTGAACCGTAGGTTATCATTAATCCTATCACCATTTTGTATAACCATAGATTCATCTTTAGATTAAGTCCCCAGCTTTTTCCACAAAGCCTTCTGCATTTCCCCAGGAAAATTTTTGGCCGGCCTTCTGGACAACTTTATTGAGGTGTGGACCCCAGGTCATCTTTTGGTCAAAAATAACTCCTAGATATTTGACCTCTTTTGAGAAGGGGATTTTCACTCCATTGAGCTTATTAGGACATCGAAGTCCTCTTAATACTCTTTTCTTTGTGAACGGGATAATTACTATTTTTTGCGAATTAACCGACAAGCCTTCATCCCTACTATGTTCAGTGCTTTGTGAGTTCTTTCTGAGACATGTTTTAGATGCCTGTCTCTGACTACCAGGACTATATCATCCGCGTAGCAGGAAGTATAATCTCTCCTTGGCCATTTTTGTCAGGAGATCGTCGACCAGGACCGCCCAATACAATGGCGATAAAACGCTTCTACTGTGTCCTCACCCAGAGTAGATGTAATTACCCTGTTTCTTAGGCTGGCTTCTATCCAGTTGCAAACGGTATGCGGGATATTCCTACGCTTGAGAGCGTTCATTAGTGATGTGGTTGGAACGTTGTTAAACGCTCCCCCTATATCTAGAAACGTGCCTAGCGCTACCTCTTTGTCATCAATTGACTTTGTCAGGAGTCTGTTTAGGTCTTCCAGGGCGGAGTCCGTAGACTTTCCTGGTTGGTAGGCATACTGGCGATCGTTTAGAGGATAGAGTGTCAGTGTGCGGTCTCTGATGTATCCATCCACAATTTTTTCCAGCGTTTTGTACAGGAATGTGGATAGACATATAGGTCTGTATGACTTGGGCGTTTTGTCTAGGCACCTGCCAATCTTTGGCAGGTAGGCGATTGTCGCCTTTTACCAAACTTCTGGTATGTGGCCCCAAGCAATGCATGCAAAGGAGTGACATTAGTATGTCCTGACCTTTCTGGGGCAGTGCTGGGTAGATTCCATCCGGGCCTGGCAATTTAAAAGGGTGGAACTCGCCTATGGCCCATTTAATTCTCTCATATGTCACCAGTTCCTTTGCCCTGCCCAGTCCACTTTAAATGGTCTTCTGGGCTTTCGGACTTGATATGTCGGCCTAGATTGATCAGTGATTATAGATCATCCTGGAAAGTAGGTATCTACTTTTAGCCCTAAGCTTTCCTCGTTAGTGCTCGTGTAGGCCCAGTTCGATCTTTTTAGGGGGCCGAGAGCGCCCGCAGTACCTTCCCTTGCAAGGACTTTGTGCACCCTAGCGCACACCGGCGTTTCTGTGGTTTCTTCACAGAATCGCTCCCATGACATTCTTTTTGCCTTGCGGATCTCCTTATTCTACTGCGTAAGTTTCGTTCTGTACATATTCTAGTCCTGGTTAATTTTAGCTTTATTAAATAGCCGTCTAACGTCGGATCTAAGACCCTCCAGGTGTTTGTTCCACCAAACTGTCCACCTGTGTTGTCTTGTTTGCTTAGGACAGTTATCCTGATAGGCCTTTTGTATTGTATCGCTCAGGTCTTCTACCGCCAGGTCAAGACCGCTGCGCTGTGGAGATGGTTACCACGCTTCCTCTGAGGGACTCCTCGAAAGCTGTCTCGTAGTCTTGCCAGTTAGTCCTTCTTGGGTTACGGAATTTCCTGGTCTCAAATTTCGAAGTTGTAATATCGAACCTTATGTGGCGATGGTCTGATCATGATGGTTCGTCGGAGACATGCCAGTTCGTAATGTTGTCGTTGACATCGTGGCTACAAAAAGTGAGATCAAGAACCTCACGCCTGACTGATGTTACAAAAGTGGGTTCTAGGCCCATATTAGCTATATAACTTATAAACTTTATTAAGGGACAAGCCATTTACAGTAAATAACATAATACAAAAATATATGACGTTATAATATTAAAGAAAAACACAAGAACTAAGAATTTAACATTTACGGTACATATATAAATACACTGACATTTAGCGCTGCAGACAATTTAACAGTTGTTTACAAGTTTTCAGAGACATGCTAAAAAAATCAAAATTGTTGGGTAGCTGATTAGCTTCTCTGCATATTCTAGCCATAGGGCAGAAAAAACCATAATTAGTCCTATGATACTCAGTATGGAAGAGATGCATTTGTCTAGTCTGTCTCACAAGGGCGCGCAGGGAAATGCTGTTTAACAAAAGGGTACAGTCAATTAAGTTCTTAAGCAACTTGAAAAGTAAACCATGAGGAGCTGCGCCATAATCATCATTGGACCAGAAAGTATCTGGTAAATAAAAATCGCCACAAATTATAATATCACAATTATCACTTATATAATCTTGTAAAACAAAGGATACAGATTCAGAAAAAGCTTCATACACTTCGAGAGAAGATGCTGGGGGTATATATGCACGACCAATTATTAATTTTTTGGATCCTTTTGAAATTATAGAAACAAATAGATGTTCAATACTTTTTACAGGTGAATCTAACTGTAAAGCGGATAAGTTTCCTTTAACGGCAATTAAAACACCACCTCCTCTCGAATGTGAGAGAAAAGTTTCTGTAAGTAAAATAATGTCATACTCCTCCACAACCACCGACTACATTAATGCACTGAGTTTGGTTCTTAGTCCTCTAACATTTTGGTAGTAGCAGCTGATTCCATGCCCATCTATGACTTGTTTTGAGGTATGGGCCGTCTCTTGAAAAAACGTCTTCCTTGTTGCTATCTGTTCTGCTTGTTTCTATTATTAAAGATAAAGGGTTGCAATGTAGTATCCTTTGGCCATATTTCAGCCTCCAACAAGTCAGCCTCATATTTGGGATCAACTGAAATTTTAAAAGAAGCAACATGTTGAATTTTAGTGGGCAATTTATCAGTTGTTAACACAGGAATATTGTGACTAGTCAGATGTTCTTTCAATTGCTCCATAGAGGTTCCTGCTACTAAATTTCCCACATAGAATCATGACTGTTTGGTAGCTGCAGTCCAGCCACCACTATTTTTCTTTGCTCCCTTGATTCCCTGTTTTGAGCTGCTAGCACATTCTCCACGACTATCCAATTTCTGTTTAGCCAGATTTTCCGAGGATTTTTGATTTGAGTTATATGAGCCATGATTTTTTCAGTTGCATTTGCAGTTGCATTTCTAACAGACTCGAGGTTAATTTGATTGTTCACTAATGTGTTCCTTTTGCATATTTCATCAGGATGGAAAGTCTCCTGATGAAATATGCAAAAGGAACACATTAGTGAACAATCAAATTAACCTCGAGTCAGAAAACGTACTAAATCCTTGTTAGCATATCTGATATTGCTCACCACAGTTTGCAGTTGACTTGCTAGAAGCTCTGATAGGCTTTTCAATTCATTTTTGCTTGTTTTACATAAGGATTCGTTATCAGTAATCTGAGATTGGTTGTTCAAGTTTAGGTTTTCCCTTCACCCATTATGAATTCATGCAAGGACTCACCTTTGCCATTTGTGTTAGTACTTCCCCAGATTGTGTGATGGGCTTTTGTATCGCCTCCAACGATTAGTCGTCGTTCCCCTCCCCTGCAGTGGGCCACGGCATCCTCCATCAGATGTGGAGGACAGGTCCTCTCTCCAGGAAAGTAGACGCAGCATATTACCCAGGACGTGGGCCCTTCCTCTGCTGTTTTTGCGGTTGCCTGTACTGTAACAAAATTACCGGAGCATAGTTCCGGTATTAGTGAGCAGCCAACTTTATTACAGTCAATCAACCCTCTAGACCTCCAGTCACTCACGTTGGTTCTGAGGAAATTACCGAAGTAGACATCGACGAAATAAAGAAGGCATTGTTTCAAATGAAAACCAATAAGACACCTGGATAGGATAGATTGACAACGGAAATGTTTAAATATGGCGGAGAACCTCTACTGAAGAGACTAAAAGAAATCTTTAATGGGTGCATTGCTGAACAAAGAATACCACAGTTATGGCAAAACGCAACAATCACATTCATCCATTAAAAGGGAGATAACACAAAACTTGAAAATTATCGCCCCTAAAAATTATTCACAAAAGTGCTTACAAACCATCTAACAAACAAGTTTGATTTCTATCAACCCCCAGAGCAGGCAGGGTTCAGAAGTGGATACAGTACTGTAGACCATCTTCAGGCGATCCGCACACTCATAGAGAAAAGCACCGAATACAACATCCCTATATACCTGGCCTTCGTAGATTATGAGAAGGCTTCCGACTCTATAGAGCTACACGCCATTTTAGAAGCCTTAAACAATGCCAGAATAGACCATAGATACTCTGGCATAATATCGTTTATCTACAAAACAGCTACGATGACTGTCAAACTAGATGAAATAACAACGACGAAGAAAATCAAAATGGAAAGAGTAGTTAGACAGGGAGATCCTATTTTCTCAAAACTTTTTACACTGGCTCTAGAAGACGACTTTAAGACGTTGTATTGGAAAGAGAAAGGTATTAGAGTGGACGGTAAAATGCTCAACCATTTGCGCCTCACGGATGATGTTGTTATCCTTGCCTAATCATCAGAGGACCTCCAAATAATACTCGAATAACTCCATCTATGTGTCTTTTCAGCGGACAAGTGCCTCTTTGGTTGAAGGGTTCCTCAGTTTCGCCCTCCTGTTCCTTCTTCTCCGGTGCCGTAGCGTCGGCCTTTGATGTGCTGGCCTTAGGACCTACGGCGGTATGCTGGACCTTGTCCTCGGGTTTCTTTTCCCGCTTTCTCCTGAACTTCAGCCTTCCAAATCCGAAGTAGGGGCTCATTTCCAGTTTTTGCAGGCCCTCTAGCGACTGCTTGTCGATAGAGAAGGTCCAGAGTTGACTTTTGTCCATTGGGACTGCGCCCCAAGACTTCCACAGGCTTGTGTTCAGGCCTCTGTTTCTCACTGAGAGCTTCTTGAGGATTCTCTCGCCGGACAGTCTTTCTTCCTTCTCGTCCGGGATGAAGACGGTGCAGGTCTCTGGCTTTGGCAAGTTCTCGCCTGTTAATGCCTTCAACGCTGCGCCCTCCCAGGGCTTGAGTGTTGGCACCGTTTCCATAAGCCACACCGCGCTGGTCTTGTCTGCGCAGGTGACCTCAAATTATCCCGGCCTGTGGCTGCATTTTTCAAAACGCACTCTTGGGCCATTTTCAGGGATATTCCCGTGCGCCGCCGAGATCGCTGCTTGGACTTGTTCCATCCTCTCGGTCGTCATCTGGGCTTCCGGGTAGCCTTCATTGACGACCGCAACTTTCTCGCTGCTCGCCACATCCTTGTACGACTTACTTGTCGTGGTAGCCGGGATCTGCCCACCTCTTGGATTTTTAGTTTGCCTCTTTTGGGGTGTGCCCTGTTTTTTTTTTGGGCCATGCTGGCTTCGGCGCTCTTTGTCGCCACCTTTGCTTTGCCCTTTCCCTCTATGTAGTTCAGGAAGTTTTCCCTGATCACGGTGCGCTTAGCTTCAGTGTAGCTTTTGCCTTTCGTGACTAGGTTACGCAATTTTGCTTTTGATGAACCTGACAAAGTGGCCTTATAGACCTCTTCCTCCGTCAGGTTATCGATCTCCTCCAGGGAGTTTGCTCTGTAGCTGGACAATGTCGTACTTTTGAATTTGATGTTACATATGTAACAAAAAATATTATGTTAGAACTCACATAACGGTTATATAAATTTGACACTTTTAGTGCCGGTACTTTAGCTCTCATTTGACAGCCGTTAAAAATAATCAGGGCTTAGAATGTGCTCTAACCACATCATACTTTTTAGACCTTGGCCCATGCAAAATTTTGACAACGTATCAAATTCGTTAATCGAGGGCAAAAGTATCGGCCCTTAGCATATAAAATTATATCACGATAACAACACCTGTGTACCTATAAACATTTAACATTTGGTTATTTTTCATGAATGTAACGTACATACACATAAACCAAAAAACGAATGACCAGGCCACATAACACAGATAAATGATAGGGAAGGCAAGTTTTAATAATATGCCTCTCTAGGGTCACATTCGAAAACCCCTCTATTTTTACAATTCTATCTCCATTATTACTTCACAAGAAATAAAACTTAACTTCACCTCTCTTGATTTTATGATAAATTCTTGGATCCTACAACTTGCTTACTTTGTGAATTAAGAAATTATAGTTTTTAATCTTCATAAACCACAACTCTATTTTCCTCCATAGCTCGTAAATTTTACATCAATGCCATAAAGACTATTTTTAGGTTTTCTCCCAAGGAAACGACCATTTTAATTTAATACCATGTCAGGGTAAAACAAATTGTTAAAACTTGATAGTTCTTTTTACGACAAAACACTTATATACAATCTCCATAAAAATATTTGCATTTTTAATGTTGATTCCCTAACTTAAATCATTTTATATTCCACCCACTAAGTTGATGTTAGCCCGAATTTAAACGAGGGCACTAAGTTCCTATTGCTATGCACGTCTTTTGCCTATAAATTTTGGAAGCCCCGACACGTTCCCACTTTAAAATAGAATTTACTCTTGTTGTTTAAAACATGACCTTAAATTTTCAGTACAATGGTCTACACGTTCGGATTTCTCTATAATTTCCGGTCATGAAGAGCTTACAGACATGACAAATCTCCGATGTCATATAGAGCTAACACAAGGAAGACGGTATTATTTTCGAGCATGCTGTGGCAATTTGAAGGGATATGGTATGTTTCGGGCAAGTACTCCTGCTTCAGTGGTACCGTCTACTTGGAGAGAGATTGAACAAAGAGGGCCAAGGTAGGAAGGAATATTTTTGTTTGTTTTCTTATAGTCAAATAACAAAATCAAATTACCAGATTTGGTGAAAGTAACCAACACTTGGACCAACTAATAGAAGAAGTGAGACAGTTCAGACCTTCCACTGAAATGTTGGATGCGGCTGGACCGTCACAAAGGAGAGCTCAAAGAAAAAAGACTACCATTAAACAACTCTTCACTGCAGCTAGCAAGTTTCAGAAACACTTAAAAAGGTACTTATATAAATAACAATAATATAAAAACTACATTTATTGTATTTTCACTATAGGGGTATTCACTTAGCTTGTATCCTTTACCACGAAGACAAAGTCCTCGTCACCAACGAAGAGTTCCTTCCTGTGATAGAAATCGACGAAACTTTTCCTGGTTGCATCAGCAACGACCTCCATTGGTTGATGAGGGTGGCCTGCACTTGGGACGACACTAAATCCTTAAAATCCGTTATGGAAGAACACACTTCGTCTACAATACATTTCAGAACCAAACTTCTACTAGCAGCTCTGCAAATGCAATCCTCGCTATGTCTACAAGACCTCGGTCAGCTCTACTATAAACCACTAAGAGATTCCCAAGGCACTGTAGTCATTAGCACCATAAATTACGTTAAATCTCCAAAAAGTGTTAGTGTGTTGAACTCGAGATGGCTACCGATGAATAAAATTTTCAAAAAGACTGTTTTGAGTGATGATAGTAACATATCGGATGTTCTTATGGCTAGTATACAGGATCAAATCAATTTCCATCAAGTTTCCAGCTTGAAATTGAACAGAGGATTGTATTTGGCTTACCTAAAAATGCAAAGCTCTGTCGATATGATTCATTTGGTTGTTTCATCGAAAACGCCCAACATGTTGCCGCATTGTAAAGTTAGGGATAATCCTCATGTATCAGCGTAAGTCGTTTTTATTTATTAAAACTTAAGTATTGCCGAATAAAAAAAATCTTATATCGATTCCTCTAAATTGTGAAAAGTTTCTCTTTGGTATATTTCGCACATTTATTCTTGATTCGATGGGACGTTATTGCCATCCCTAGGGAACTGGCCTTGTGCGATAGCGGGATTTCCGGTGGGTTTCTGTACCATTAAGGGAACGATAACATTTGATTAAATCGTCTAGTGTCATATGGGGAAACTATCGGGAGACTATAGAGAATTACAATAGAATCCTATATTGAGAGTATATTTTTGGGAGAAAGATTTATCAATCGTTTTAAATTCAAAGCCTTATAAATACTTATATATATACATGTATGAAAAGGGGGTGAAAATTGCCTAACAAAGCGTAAAAGCGAACCACTCAAGAGGTATTGATTAAACTTAAAAATAAAATCCTTATATTCACAAGGTCAATTAAATTATGTTTTAGTGAGGAATGGGAGTATCTGAAACAACAACACTTGCCGGACGTTTTGGATAATGCCTCAGAGCTTCAGCGCAACTTCCTAGAGCTAGTTACTAGTGCTGCAAAACGTCTCTTCAACTATATGGATATTGCCAATGATGATGCCAACACCCACAGGCTCTACGACACTGAAGTAATCGAGCTGACCGATGATGTCAGTTTTATCGTTATTTGTCCTAGTGCTGAGTTTTCCTGCGCCGTGCCTGGTCAAAGGGAGATATTATTGCAGCGTGGAGATTTGATTAGTTTACCAATACAGGTGAGTTGATTTTTCTTTTGTACAGGGTATTGGCAAAACATTGCATAGATCTTGCAATCATTGTACGTCGATCAAGGAATTTAAATTACAGACTATAATTTGGAGGTCAGCTGTTTGTGGAGGAAGAGATTTTATTTGCTTCTATTATTTGTATATTTTTGTTATGTTCAACACTCGGTTTAACCATTCCATCTATTCCTGAACATTTCCATACCTACTGAACCTTTTAAGAAGATTGGTTCATATGCTTGATAACACGTAAAAAAGCCCCAATTTCTGAATAAGGTGTTACCTATAACTAATAATCTTCAACCCAAAACATATGTTGATCAGTGAAATTTGATTCAAATCTTAATGTAAGGCAACCTTCAAAACTGTAGTGTCTGTAGTTCAATTGATTCTTCAGGGAGAGGCTGATCTTGTTGCTTTTCTGTCTTCCGGATCAATGCTCGAATTAAGGCTTTCATAGTGAAACCTCCGATGGCTATGGCTGTTATTATTCCAATAGTAGAAATGTGTCCAAATATGTTGATGTGAGTTTCATTCTGTGCTAGTTCAGTTGTCAACAATGAGGTTAGCATACCTCTATTGAACTGGATGTCTAATAGCTGTGTATGAAAGTCGCCGAGTTCTTTGATGTAGTTAACGTCTATTTTATGTGCGCTCAAGATATGAATGTTGAGCTTTTTCGTGTCTATAGAGCAGTACCAGTTCTGCATGACATTTACTGCCTGGAATCCTTGATCCATGCGTAGTTGAAATTGCTTAAGTTGTGTGGCAATTTTTGTTTCAGTTGCGTTTAAAGTTGAAATTGTGGTAAGCATAAATTTTGATTTAGTGGTCAGAGCTTTTTATTAATTTCTGTTGATTACTCTGGAGGGAATCATTGTCCTGGTAAATTTCTTCGTTGACTCCAAACACTGACGTAAGGACTTTGTCCAATAATTTTTTTTTTGTGCTTCATTTCTTTCAACGTGTTCATAAAGGTGGTTTGTTAGTGATGTGCAATGTGTTCCATTTGATAGCAACACACAGGTAGTTGTTTTGTTGCAGAGGTCATCAAACTGGTTGGTGATGTTGATATAGCTTCGGCTGTATTGTTTTCGATTTTTGATTTCTCGTAATCAATTTCAATTCTGAATGTTCCTCTATTAATTCTAGCAGATCCGAGATGCTCAATATAAAACCCTGAAGGTGGATATTTTGGCGTAAACCTTCCTTGTTCAGGCAATATTCACGTGAAGTATCATCATCATTGCATAAACGATGCTTATTCGTACGCTTCTGACGTACGTTCTGCTTATACGGGTTGCTGTTGGCCGTGTCGTAGTTGTAGTCACCATAGTTACTTGGCTGGACGCGAGTTTCCTTCTTCAGTTTCACTTCCTACTAGTAGTGGAATTAATACATGAATGGGACGTCTTAATAATGCTCCACCTGCTTTCTTCATTGTGGCTACATGACCGCACCATCTTAACCAGGGTGTACTTCAATGATCCGCTTTAATGGCCACTGGTTTGGAACTAAAGTTAAAAGTCCTTCTGGACTGTTCCTTTGTATCGTTGCTCAATTTTGCTCAGGTACCTATTCTGTACACCATATCTTCCAGAAATCTTTCTTCCTCTTCTGTATCCACCTTCATCGCTGTGATAACTCGGTAGTCCTGTCTGTTATTACTTGGCCTGACGGTGATACTGGTTCTCTTCCTATAGGGAAATGACCAGTCGTTAGTACCAAATGTTCATCCAATTCGTCTGATAGCGGCCATAATGACTGGAGTTTAAACATGCTTCGATCTGACATGTTAATGTTGATAGCTCTTAATATGTATGTGCAGTTTCTCCTACGATACGTTTCAAATAGTGCTTCATGGATTTCACTTCAGCCTCCCACAAACCTCCAAAGTGTGGCGCCGCGAGAAGGAAGTGCCATTTGATTCCCAGGTAGGCAAATGCGTCTGTAACTGATGCGTCTTGTACTACGTTTCGAGTTTCTGCTTCAAACTGCCTGGATGCTCCGACAAAATTAGTTCCAATTGGTTGGGCAAATTCATCAATCTGAACTTTCCTGATAACTTGTGTTATGGTGTCAGACATTTCTTCTACAGATAAGGCTGACGAATCCTTCCCATTACGGATTCTTCGACAGTATGTTAGTAACTGCACCAATCTTCTAATGTTGGAAAATCGGGTGTATATGTCATTTTCTGCCTTTATGGATACTTGGTGACACATTTTAACTTCTTGCTTTACATCTAGGCAAGTGTTTGTTGTGGATAACTCAGCTGCAGACGAGAACCAAGATGGTCCATTTCACCATAAATCGTGATTGATAAGCTTCTCTGGATCTATACCCCTAGATATTATGTCTGCGGGGTTGTCACTTGTTCTTACATGATTCCAGCACTCTTGTGGTATATTTGTGTGTATTTCGGCAACCCTGTTCGCTACAAATTTTTTCCATTTAGTCGCATCACCTCGAATCCATCCCAACGTTATCATCGAATCACTCCTGAAAGAATCCAGAATCTAATAGAAGACATAGAACCTGACTTCAGCCCAGGTCTTAAAACATACCTTTAGGTGACACTGAAATACAACAAGTGACGTCCTATAAATACTTAGGCCATGAAATTCGCATAGGTCGAGATAACCAGAGACCTGTGAAATTTTCAGGAGACTAGGCTTGGCATGGGCAGCATTTGGCAATCTCAGAGACTCATTTAGGTCTGATCTTCCTATATTTCTGAAGCGTAAGCTTTATAACCAATGTGTCCTGCCTGTCATGACGTAGGGAGCTGAAACCCTAACACTAACCAAAAAGTCTATTAATAAAATAAGAACAACACAGGCAGCAATGAAAAGATCAATGCTGGGAATTTCGCTTAGAGATAGAATACCTAATAGAAAAATAAGGCGTAGAACAGGAGTTACAGATGCAGTAATGAGGATAACTTATTTAAAATAAAACTTGGCGGGGCACGTTGCGAGAATGAAAGATGAACGATGAACTTAAAGGATTATCGAGTGGAGGCCAAGACAAGAGGCATATCGAAGTAGAGGGCGACCCCCAACAAGATGGACGGATGACATAAAGAGAATCAGGACAAACTGGATGCAAGCTGCACAGAATAGGGAAGAGTGCGGCAAAATTTGCGGGACGCCTATGTTCAGCAGTGGACGTTACTATGAGTGGACGGCTTATTCATAATCTTTTTCCGTACTAGTAAGTATCACCGGCAACCAACTGGAATGTTCGATTAGTCCCAGTTTCAACATCTCTCCAATCTCGTCCTACATGATCTTTTCTAACAACGGAAAAATCCTCTCAACAGCAAAGTAAACTCTGTCAGAGCCAACTACGGAAAGAATCTTCCAGTTGATTTCACACATATATGGTAATAACTCTATTTTCATTTGTGGGTAAGACCTTCCTGATGATACAATGATCATGATTCCACTAAAGACTGATGAGAAGGTGTGGATAGAGCGAGCGGTGCACATCAGCCGTTCAATCACTGAGACGTTTCATAGCTCGAAGAGGAAGACCGAAAACTATATTCTCTGTTAATGGAACTTATTTTGTTGAAGCAGAAAACGCTTCAAAGAATTTAGATTGGAATGAAATTCAAGATAGGGATGTAGGGTAGGTAGTCCAGAAAATTGATTGGAAATTCAATCCTCCGACGGCATAATAATGTGGAGGATGGTTTGAACGTTTGATCAGACTGATTAAGGATTTGCTGAAGAAGATCCTAGGAAAATCGCATTTTTCTCTAGAAGAATTGAGAGTTATTAACTGTTCTGTGTGAATGGGAATTTGTAATAATCTCAAGACCGCTAATCTATATTTCTGGAGAAAGTTCTGATTTGACGACATTGACATCCAAAATGTTTCTTCAACAAATTATCGGAGCTGGTTCACCTGATCTGAATCATATCGAAGCCAAAGATCTAAGGAGGAGATATATTTACCTATACAGACTAAAGCTAAAGGAGAATTTGAAGGCGAGGATTTAGGAGCTGTCTATAATGTCATTGTAATTTTAAGAGTTGTCAGAGTTATAAAATAAAGGTAAAAGGTTTCCTCCCAAGGTTGTGGAGGTGTTTACTTACAGAAAATTCAGGGACTTCCACCACTACCTTTGGAGACCTCGCGCCTCTGGAAATAGTCGACAAAATGGAAGGGTGGGCTTCAGGAGCTTCTGCCTGACTGGTACTCCTATAGTGGGACGTGCTTTGTCACCCCACAATGTGGATGCCAAGTGTTTAGCAGTTACTGGGTTCCGCCTCAGCTCGATTTCGCCTAGTTATTGGTGTCAGTAGCACCATTTGGAATACCGTATTCAATTATTGTTGTGGAACTCAAAATCTTCTAGACCAATAACCATATAATCGCACCTTGTTCTTCAGACCACCAGTTTCTACTGAAATTTCGCATTTTGCTTCTTTTTTGTTTCGAGGTTTCTATTGCCAATATTTCCTTCTCCTTTCCTCAATATTTATGACTGAAATATTTTTCTAATTTCCAGGTTTTCGAAATGATCCACATGAACACCTACCAAAGCACCATAGTCCAGAAATACTCCAAACTCAGTTGTCTGCTAGAACTGGACGCAGCCACAGCTAGTCATCTACATCGCGAAGCTTTCTCCAACACCGAAGTCGCGATAGCCAAAGAGCGCCTGTGTAGACTGCAAGAGCTTCAAAATAAACTCGAATCGATTTGGAAAAGTGTCAGGTGGTTGGCGGACGTCATCACTTTCGCCCGAGACAAAAACATCGGCTGTATTTGCATGAGGCACATTCTAGAAAAGGAAATCGGTGTAGCCACAAGTCCCAAAAGAGACTTGTTACAAATACCGCCTCCTAAAGTGGTCAAAACTTCACCAGGAAGAGGTTCGTGGCCAGGACCGGGTGGCAGTAGCATGAGCCCGCAAAGCAATTTAATAACTGAGCATAGTAAAAGCGAGCAACACCTAAATATCAACGGAAGCGTGTCGCATTATTTAAGTGCTTACAGTGATCAAGATTCTCGTAAAAATAGCGATAGTTTCGCTAGTGCTAGTGAGTACTTGTCACAGCTGAATCCTAGCAGAAGTGAAGATGTGCTTTTTGCAGTGCCAACATCTAATAATGCAAGAAATAGATCTATAACAATGCCAAGTTGCTCCATGAATACTAGTCCTTTATTAAATGTCAGGCCCCTGTATGGGGGTAGTTTGGTTAGTGTTAACACTATAAACACCACAGACAGTATGCATAGCTTAAGCTCAGACAGTGATCACACTCATCCAATAGGAACCTCCACGCCTCAAAACAAACACAAGCCAAAAATGGTTCCTAGCAAAAGCATGGCAAACGTAAAGCAGAATTTTTTAGAACCAACCAACGGAGATCACAATGTAATGTTTCTCACCGTAGATCACGCAGCTCCGCCTGTTAGAAATCTGGAAACTAGCCTATCCAAAAGCCTAACAAACATACAAACTATATCTGATTTTGATTTGGGCAAGCCCTATCCACAACCTCCGGCAGATTCACCCAATTGCCCAGTGGTGTTTCCAGAAATTTTCAATTTGCCCAGTGACGATCCAGAACCCTATGCCAAAGACAACTATGATATTTTACAAATATATGCAGCCTATGAAACCGGTCTAGTGATTGGTACTAGTTTAAAGGTCTATGTGACACCTAGAACCACTGCCCGAGAGGTTGTTAATGTAGTTGTGAGGCAATTGAATATGGCGGTAATTCTCAAAGGCAAAAAAGGCCCTATTTACAATAGAGACATGTTGAAGAATTTTTGTTTGGTGGCTATAATTGGTGCCAGAGAAAGATGTTTGAGGGATGATTTCAAACCCTTATTATTGCAGAATCCTTGGAAATTGGGTAGATTGTATGTTAGGAGAAAACATGACGTTTTAGCTGCGTTGGATCATAGCAGCAAATTGGATCGGATTGAGAGGATAGATAGGATTTAAGGGATATAATCCTGGAAAATTTAGTCAAATTGAAATGGTGCTAGATTTCTTATGAATAATATTAGCTAAGAAGAAAAAAAATCTATTTGTTGCCTATATAATTATTATTATAAACAAAAAGGACTAATTGTTGTAAATAGATGTGCATCTCTGATGTTACTAATTGATATTAAATAATGGCGTTAGAGATATTTTAAGACTGTGATGACGAATATAATTTACTGTTGTGGTTGGATATTGGATGTGGGTGGGCCAATATCCACCAGCAAATTGTTAGGACCACAAACTAAGAATTTATTAGGTATTCTTGAGTAGATTGTTCAGAAAAATTATACCGCCTCTAGAGCAATCCTAAACGATATTTTATCAGGAAATCAAACCAACATTATACGTCCGATTTGTAAACGAATAAGTAAAATATATGCTTTGGAGCTTTAAATATGGTAGATTATTGTTAGCAACAATTTTTGCCTTGTAGGTTAGCTAGTCCCAATTTCGAAAATTATTTTTAGAACCTTTTTCCCAAAATTTATTTTAAATTAAATAAAAATTATTGCTAGTTTTGTGATTTACGATAGTGTATTATTAATTAAGAGTATACAAAACAAATTTTAGAGGGTATTTTAGGATATTGTTGTATTAAAAGAAGTCATATCAAGATGATTTTTCTCAAATCACCTACTATTAGTTCGTAAGCACTTATTTTAGTACAAAGAAAGTTATATTTTTAATTTTTTTTACAAATGCTTTATTTTGTATCTAATGAGGATTCAATTTTTTAGTTTATTTTTGAGAGTGTGCTGCTCTGTATATGATTGTAAGTGAGCGACTTGTCTCTTGTCTCGATATTGTATAGATAATTTTAGGTGAACAGGTGCAGAATTAATACAAAAAATGCATCAACAATTTCCGAATTTTCCCATTAAGGTATCAAAAATTTCAAGAAATGAATCTTTGTCGCTCATTTATTTATCAATACCTTTTTTCTTGGATGCTCTTGTGATGTAAGCAGGACTTTATTTAGGGCTGGATGAGATCTGTATATAGAAAATAAGTAATTATAAAGTTCATGTGTAATAAAGATGTTTGAAAAATAGAAAATTTGATTTTTACTTTAAAACCGTTTGTATGTACATGTACATACCTACTGGAAGAAACCCTGTCCGAATCCTCCATCCATCCCATACCTTTTGCCTTTCACCACACTTTTAGACATGAAATATTAACTAAGGAAAATAAATCAAAAACACAGTCAATGGGAACACACCAAAGACAAATTCTAGCTACACAAGACTACAAAGTATGAAACTTCTGAACTTAAGTTGCATTATGAAATTTATTCCCGGAAAAGAAGAATTTGATGCTCCAGATTCTTTATCCAGAGCTTCTTTTGAAGGTGGATAAATATTGTGATGACGCCTAGAAACGAAGTCAGATACCTTGTGAAACATAATGGAAAATAACACGGCCGGCCCTGGTAAACCTACCGAAGCACAAAGATATTTACAACCCTACAATCAATAGCGCCAAGATACAAAAATGGGTACCTGCTGGTGCGAAAAGGGATGGTTTTGGTCGTTTGATTTACACGAGCGTTCCTTTGTCAAGAGGCAGTATTTTTGCGTTTGTCACAGTGGCTGGGCGTGACCATATTTTTCTTGTTTGGAATATCGACTATCTTCTTTAAATAAAGTATTTTTTCTACAAACGTGTTAAAAATGCAATTTTTAACAATCCCCCGAAGCATTAAAAATGTTACTTTATCGCACTAGTGCCATAAAGTCTTTATAGCACTAGTGTTAAAAATGAAACATCAAATTTTGAGAGCGAACGTCAAAAAAAGTTTGTATTTTTAGTTATTTACATTGATAATAATGGTGAAATTTGAACAACTGGGGTAGCCCGACTAGCCGCCTCATCTATATTTTTCAAGGGATCGATGCAGCCCTCTTTTTTTTCTGTATTTTGTTACATTTTTAGCAAAAAGCATTACTGACCACGACATACTTTCAAGAAACTGACAAGACATTTCATTACCTACCTGTAAAACAAGGTGCTGGTTATTTGGCTTTTTTGACAAATGTCAAATTCAATAATTTTATGTAGGAAAGATGCTAAAAATCCAATTTGTTACTGGTTATTGCTTTTTATTGCCGTTTGTAGAAAAAATAGTGTATGATATTTATGTTAAAAGTATTTTTAAGGCACTTATGTGAATTGCAGAATTCGCTTCGCTCATTCTGCAAACTTTCACATGCGTGCCTTAAAAATGTACTTTTAACACTTATATCATAAATAACTATATTAAAATATTTCGGTTTATTATTTATTACACTTGAAATATTTAGTTCAATCTTTAATAAAAATTTTACGCGAAATAATACACATTAAAAACCGTCCCATGAACGGTTTCGAAACCACTCAGTATACGAATTTCGGTTTCTACGCAAAAACGGTACATTGTACGTTTTCCTGCTGTATTGGAACAAACTTAAGTACGGAGAAACAAATTGACGTTTCTCTTTAAACGTGCTAAAATTTATTACTGGTGAATCTTTGAAATATGAGAATTTGATATAAACAAAATAAGATGTTTTCGACTCGATAGGCTGTAACATCAGCGCCAAGTACTCTATTATTTAGGTTAGATGGTAAATTGCGAGCGGTCGTATTTGATGCTAATTATTTCCTTGGGCAGCTACTGAAAAATAAAATTGTGGGGGCGGGTCTATTTGCAAGTGAGAGAAACAACTATAGTTCGGTTATTCATTAATAAATATACTTTATTCGAGGAAATAAACAGAGCTTCACCAAATTACAATAGTACAATTTTATACCCTAAATTCAACACCTTTCTTAAAACAAAAATAAACAATTCCAAATGATGCTAACTTACAGCCACCTCTATATACTTTCTCTGAGCTTGTAAATAAAATGTTACAATCAAAACCCACATAGCAACGAAAGTAAATTGATATGCCATATGCATATCTTAATAACGTTCATTTAAGCACATGCGTTTTGGTATATTCTATGAAAATCCGTTTCATGTTCGTCGGCCATATGCTGAAAAGGTACATTGAAGTACATCTGTTATGTACCTTTCAATATTCTATGAATATGCGTTCCATATTCGAACAAAAATTATGATTATTATAGAACCCGCAAAATATCGAAAAACTAAAAATCGGATTGTAATAGAGCAGATAATCGATCAAACAATTTTTTATGCCAAAGAAGGAGGCGCAATTAAAATTGAAAATAGGCCCCCGTGAATTTCAACCAAATTTCAATATTTCAAAGGAATCATCATTGCAAAAAAAAAAAATTGAAATGTAAAGAGGATCGTATGTCTGTCATAGCAGATATAGCTCATCAAAGTACGTAAGTGCTGCTATGCTATGCATAAGAAATATCCGAGGAAATATTCCTACGTAGATTTTCTTGGATATCTCGAACCTTTTTCGAGTTGAGTGTCAGGTAAAAGTATTAGTGTCAGGTAAAAGTATTAGGTAATCCTGAAACATCGAGTGGTATTCAAAAGGTTATACAACGAACTAAACTTTAATGCTTTAAATTTTTTTAAAAAATCTATATTAGAATTTGCTATAAATGCCACCAAGCACGATAATCCCAAAAGGCTTATCACTTTTTAAGCCTCTCGTGTCATATGGGAAAAATGTACAGTGAGTTTTATAATCGCTGTAATTCTCTCTAGTTAAACTAATGGACAAAAGAATTTTCCAATGTAATACCGCAAGAGGTTTCACCTAATACTTACTTTACCTAATACTTTTACTTGACACTCGACGCGTTACCAGCAACACCACTCCTCCTTCGGAGTCGTGGTGTTGCTGCGCAACGCGTTTCGTGACAGGTAAAAGTATTATCCGGTAATCCTAAAACATCGAGTGAGTAGTGATCAAAGCCCGGAGCGCTCTCTCCCCCCACTCCTGACCTTGTAGGTGACATCATTTGGCCTTGGTTCCTGACGTCATTTGGCAATGACTCCTGACCTTGTAGGTGTCATCATTTGGCCTCGGTTCCTGACGTCATTTGGCAATGGCTCCTAACCTTGTAGGTGGCATCATTTGGCCTTGTTTCCTGACGTCATTTGGCAATGGCTCCTTGTCTTGTGACGTCATTTGGCCTTGGCTCCCTGTCTTGAATTTGAAATATTCTCCGTACACATTTCCTTGATGGTGACGCAAATGCATAATAGACCGATCTCCTATTACCTGGACTGCGCGCGTCGCTTGTAGGCTGCAGGTGAGCGTCCAATGAGAAGCAGGTTTCTTACAGGCTTACGTCATATTCTTATTCAGGGGCCAGTTCAGAATGAATCGTTCCTTCTTTCTTTGTAATGTGTAATTCGACAAAGAGCAAACTAATACTTTACATATTACTTGAACTCACCGCAGTGTCGTTTGAGGTTATGTTAAATTATACTTGACATATTCCTTTGCAATTTCATTGTGCGATGTTGCCGGATGAAACATTTATCAAAATAAAAGTGCAAACGATGTTAACATACACTTTTCAAGCGCTTCTTTTGTCTGATGTAAGGCGTTGTAAAACACTTGACACTATATCACTTCTTTAATGTTATAATGTTCAATTTGTATTGTCTACATTTGTTCTGCTACAATACAATCTGGCTACACTGCACCTACGAGTTGCGCGCGCATGTCATCTTTTATTACTTTCTAACTTGTATTTATTACAATTAAGCTCTCTTTTTCTATTTATACGAGACAGGTCTATTCTATTCTGTTTAATTAGTTGGCTACTTTCCATAATTAAAATGCTGTTTTCGGGAGTCTTAATAGCAGAAGATAAGATAGTTAGGAATAGAGTGCTTAATATCGTTTTGTCATGTTTGTTGATTAGTACCAAATAGCCCTATTAAAGTCCGACAAATGCCATTTTAAAGTCACGTGATATTGGTGGCAAAAAACGTATGTTCATTGATTATGTCGTTGATATCACCTACCAAAAGCTACTGGTGGTTAATTACTATTGAATTTTAAGATATGTTCCCACTAGCATTTTACAAACGCGTTTCTGAAGTAGTATTGACCAATCAGATGGGAATTTTAATACTTGCAATTGTTGCGAGACTCACTTTTGTCGCTTCTGCTGCCCCTTATACATTCTGAACTTGAATTGGGTACCCGATTTTTATTTGCTTCTTTTCGAGTTGGAAAAAGCTTAATATAGTCAAAATTATGAGCTGTGTTTGTATTTTTCGAAAATAACTTTGACAAACTAATTGATGACAGTGACGGATTCTATTTCAGGTAAGAATTTTATGAACAATAATAGACCTATCTATTTTACCAGACAAAGAGGCAATAATACGAACACTTCATTAGATAAAAAAAGACACAGAATGCTCATTGCGCAAGACGAGGCAAAACGTACCAAATTATGTTAGACTTACGTATAGCAATCCGCCCTTCTTATTTGCATGGGATAAAAAGGAAAGGAGAAAGACCGCATGTTGTGCAGCGTATTTGTCAATGAAAACTTCAAACAACTTTTGAATGACACTTGTCAAGTTAAATATCAACCTTACGTTTATTCTTGTCAAACCACGGGCAATAAACAAGGACAAGAAGATACCCAGGGTGCAAAATGATCACCTCACACCTGTACTAGTTAGCCAATGAAAAGGCATTGCCTCGTGTTGCGCGCGCATACCAGGTAAAAATAGATAGGTCTATTGACGTGTTTCGTAATACCAGGGCTGCGTTCAGGAATGGCTACAGCCAAGCCAAAATTGGCATTTTGCGTTCGAGTTCGGCTCCAACCTACGTGGTGCGGCATTACCAGTGGAGGGGGAAAAGTAGGTTTTGGCATTAGCATTGCCGTCTTTGAACGCACCCCTGGTGTGTGCGCGCAACTCGTGGGTTGCAGGTGAGCGTCCAATGAAAATCGAGTTTGTTACGGGCTTGCGTCATATTCGTATTCAGGGACGAGTTCAGAATTAATCGTTCCTTCTTTCTTTGTAACGTGTAATTCGACAAGGAGCAAACTAATACTTTACGTATTACTTGGACTTATCGCAGTATCGTTTAAGGTTATGTTAGATTATACTTGATATATTCCTTTGCAATTTCTTTGTGGGATGTTGCCGGATGAAACATGTATCAAAATAAAAGTGCCATCGATGTTAACATACATTTTAAAGCTCTTCTTTTGTCTGATTTGAGGCGTTGTAAACACTTGACAATATATCACTTCTTTAATTTCATAATGTTCGATTTGTATTGTCTACATTTGTTCTGCAATATGAATACTGGCTACACTGCAGCCACGAGTTGCGCGCGCATGTAATTTTTTATTACTTTCTAACTTGTATTTATTACAAGTAAGCTCTATTTTTCTTATTTCCGCGAGACACGTCAATTAGACACCAATTTTTTCCATTAAACAATTCTAAAATAACTCTTCCGATTATTTAGAGCTCGTACATAATGTTGAACGAATTTAAATGTTCTTTCTTTCACGATTTTTCGTTACTTTCTCAAAGATTCGATTTAGCGCGTTTTCCCGAGGCAACAAAACAAAAGTAACTCTTTGCGAATTTTATCCGGACTTGGATTTATTAAGAGGGGCGTTTAAATAAAATGTCATTTACAGACCTTCACAAATTCCTGTTCAATTCCAAATTTAGACCACTTCTCAGTGAAATGAAGTAATGTTTATAACAATAATAGATTGGAGTAGGAGTCGAAGCATTTTTGGTTGCAAAATACGCATTCTAAATAGTAAAATTATTACCATTTTGTTGACAACAATATGCAAATTTTGGTCACGGATTTAAATGAAAAAGGAATAAACATATAGAGTAGCACAACAACAATAAATGTCCAAAATTTGGGATAGTAAAATGCTGGAAAAAATGAATAGAACAGAATTTTCGAAAATTATAATTTTTGTATCACAAAATTAATCAAAATCTGCCAAACAACGAGGTGATTGCTGTCATTTTCAGCAAAGACTCAAACCAAACGCTGAGTTCGGGAAGGATAGTCACTTCTTTTAAACGCCACTAAAAACTGTTTTACCTAGCTGAAAATGTGAAATACTATCATTTCATTTGTATCTGAATAAAATTATTTAGTCCACTGTAAATTACTGTGTAAACGAATTGATATTGAAGATGTCGCCATCCACTTGTAAATTAGTCAATCACTTACAGAGAATTTGAACCCCTGTGATTAAAAAATATTTAATGTATGTCATAAAGCCTAAAAGATGGCGCGCTGGCTCTTATCTGACGCCCCTCTTAATCCTACTGTAGATTCAAGACTCAAGACTCTAGGCTGAACTGAACTCAAGACTGAAATGAACTGATTCCAGAATTCCGAAACCGTTGTTTTTATATTTTTCGATCCCCCACAAAATTTCGGTCATGTTCATTTATTTATAACCTACTAAACTATTATAACCATTTAATACCTTGGTTACAATAATCATAAACAGGGTCTTAACTCCCAAGGGAGTTAAGGATTTCTATAACTCCCGCTTTTACCTTGAATAGGTAAAACTTTGAGAAAAAATAGAGACTTTGATTTATGGTTTATTCCTTTATAAAAATAGACAGAATACAGTAACTTCAGTAGGATATAAAATTATCTATGTACCACGGGAATTATCAGGTGTTAATACCCACGGGCAATTGGTGTTGCAAACGTTGCCCTGGGGTATTAACACCCTCATAATTCCCTTGATACATAAATAACTCTAACCTTCCTCTTTTCTAAGAAATATAATTATTTTTCTCCGAACGTCAAAAAAACGTCACTTTGTTAACCCCTGTCAAGATGTCAGAAATTTGATTTCTATGCTGCGAAGCAAATCCAGCGGGTTAACACCTGTCGAGGTGGTAAAAGTTTAATTTCTATGCTGCTTGGCAACCCCAGCGGCAACAAAAGTACTTTTAGTGCCGCTCGTACTTTTACTGCCGCTCAACCATTCACTTGCCCCCGAGCTTACCCCATTAGTTTGGAGAAAAAATAGCGTGTTGCATACGGAGTAGAAGCACTTTTTCTACTCCTAATACAACAATATACTATTGTCTGAATCCGTATATGTCGCAATTTCATAGATTATGGGGGTCAACAGATTTGAAAGAATGCGGAGGATACCGAATTCAAAGAAGAGCCACACTCGTGCCGGCCTTAAATCATGATTTATTTTCAAGTTTCAATAAGTTATACGAAAATATTGGGTTTCTGATCGTAAATGGGCCTCTGCCGCCCGCCTATAACTCAATAATTTAGATTTTTTAATATTTAATAATTTTTATTTCGGAAAGTTCAACAGTTTATTAACAAAATGTTCTGTTAGTCGGATTGCTTTTTCATTTCGGCTGAGCTGACTGAGCGGACACTTTTCTTAGGTGGGACTTGACTTGCTAAAATATTTCAATTACCTATTATTTAAAAAAACAAACCTATGGTACACACAAACTTACGAATTTGGGGAATACTCTTCAATATCTCTTGGGAAGCTACAAATTTTCAAAAAAAAATCATCATTCAAAATAAGAAAAGATCCCTAAATATCTAAAGAAAAATACATTTGAATTTTTATTCAAAATTCCAATAATAATAAAGATGTGAAATTTTTTAAGATTAACGAAGAAGGTTATGGGAGTAGGTATGTTGTGCTAAAACATCAAGCCAAATTCCTTGAAAATTAGAAAAATCTCCTTTGAAGGAAAAAACACTATGAGACATTTGAATTCGGTGCATACCAACCAGAGAAATCGGTGAAGCATTCGATTTTTTCATTTTGAAATGTATGTACATTGAAATCATGGATTCAGCACCCAAAAAAAAAACATAAAGAATGGAGAAAATCAAAACTACCCCAAAACTTTCCCGTGAGATGCTTTTATAAGCACAAATTAATTAAGTTATTTGCATTTCTGCAACCATTTAGACAATGTTTACTTACCTCCACCCTTACTCGTATTAATGTGCATCACATTCATAATAGGCGCTTCGACCTTTGGACTTGGAGGTCTCTCGAGTGCGGCCGCCCTTAGAGCCGTGTCATCTCGCCCTTTGTAAAGCTGCAAAATATATTTTAAATAATCAAATTTATGTAGCTGAATTAACCTTACCCGTCCGTCTGTCCCTTTAATTGGAACATCTTGCACCGGAGCAATTTCGGGGCCCCATTGTTTCAAAAAGTGCCCTAGACGGATCACCCTTTGCTTGGACGTGGTAACTGTATGGCTACCGCCGCAATAACGGTTGCAAATATGATCATCGCCCTCTCTATAATCGAATGTTATTATTGTAATTGAATTTTTTTTATTATACTTACAAATGTTTCTGGCCCATAGCGGCCTCAAGAACATTCAAATTTTTGCCCATGGTAATTCCTTTTTGTTGTTTCCTTAACAAATCCATCTCGTATGCTAAATAAGGACCAGGGCTTTTAGCTGCTGGCATTGCATAGGGCTTCGAGTACATTGTTATGTCTGTAGTCTTTTTCATTACTACATCTGCATCACAGCTTATACAATTAACGTTTCTAGAAATATATTAAAACTAACAATTTTCTTGGAGTTTGAATAAATTTAAACCTTAGAATTTTAGTTTTGGTTCCTGCGGCCTCGTGTTCTTGCTTCAACGACGACATCTTCTTGAATCTGTCCTGGATCGCTTTCAGTTTATGATCTATAAACTCTTTAAGAGAGCCCAGTTCCATTTTATCCAGCTTATTGCCCAGGTCTCTTTGGGTATCGGCCAGCGATTGCACCCACAATGTTTCTTGAGTTGCCAATTTTTCCATGGTGGCTTCCAAACTTTTCGTTACTTCCTCGTAGGCGGCGTCGAATTGTTCGTGCGAAACTTTCCGATTGATTTGACAAGCGTCCGCTTTATCGGCCAGCGCGTCTTCTAGATCTTCTCTGTCCGCTTTTACTGTTTTCAATAATTCAATTTGTTCGTTCATCATCTGGAAAAAATATTCAACTCGTTTACTAATTATTCGAGCTAGGTTCCTGAACCTGAAGACGAACCCATAAATTAAAAGCAAGACTAAGGTAATCAAATTGTGAGGGCCAAGTGACCAGATTCATATAAAAAACATTATTTATGACCGACGCGAGTTTTGATAGATGCGGTCTTTGAAATCCGTTGACAGTGGCGGATACAATGGGGGGCAGGGGGGGGGGGGGCAACCACTCCCCCCTTTTTAAAATATAATAATAAAATTAAAAAAAAAAGAAAACAGAACCATATTTTAAGTTTTAAGAATAATGTTAGGGCCTCTAACTGAGGTGTCAACATTTAATTTAGGGATAGATCACTGGATCATAAAGGGAATGGGGATGTCACTGCTAAATAATGCACTCACACTTCCAGTTTTATATCTCTCTATTGTTGCCAAAATAATCGTTTAATAAAGTAATAAATACTGTAACCACATTCAAGTACTTTTAATTATTCACAGGTTAGTTAACAAGTCGCATTTGAGTTATTCGAGAACATTCACTAATCGGTATAAATTCACTAATTGCTAAGTGCTCAATAGTCAATTTAACAATAATTGTCAGTATTAGCGGAACGCTAATATTTTAATTGAGAGCACAAGATAAAGTTTATTCTTAATAGAAATCTTCGGGAGTTGAGAGTTTTTATATTTTTAGAGAGCCCTTAAAAAAGGGGAGTGTGATTAACTCAATGTTTTACGCGATATTATATCACTTGAGTTTTCAAGCCAGCAGCCAGAGAGATAAACAAATAAGTCTTTTTATTTAGAGAGCGAGAGAGAGACTGCACAAGGGTGCAACTAGAGAGAATAATTAAATAATTAAGAGAAAAGTGAGCAGGTTCAAACTTGTATAGAGCTAGACGTTTTTACGCACTATTTACTGCTAGTGAAACCACACTACTACAATCACACTGCGAAGTGAAAAAGATAAGGAATGCATTTTTTCCCTTAGCGACAACAAACCAGACTGGATCCATCCAGTACAGCCTGGTACGGCGCCAGCGGCCATCGAGCTTTCACGGCGGGGGGCTTTTTTGCAACGTTGCCACTGTGATCATAAAAAATAAATACGATTGTTTTGCTGTTTCCACAACATTCTGCCCCGGGTTGAAGTTTCCAACTTCAAGAAATTAAAAGAGATTACAAGAGGAGAATTATGAGAGTTATTAAAAAAATACATTACGAAACTTAAGAATTAAGAAATTGAGACAATGAGGAAGATTATAATATATCTAATACTCAGGCACAGATTACTTACATACAGATGCGAAAGAGCTGCGAATTCGTGGTTCAAGATTAATTTGATAGACATAGGCTGGCCGCACCAATGCCACATCAATGTATTTTGAACATATTTATTATATAAATGCGGAAGCTCAATAATATAATATTATTTCTTTAATTGGTTCACAAACAGTAAAAAAATATTTTTTTCTACCCGCAAAAATATGTAAACACACAGGCTGGAACATGCTCACGCACTTGGCCACGGTAATTGTCCTGACGCGGGCGATCTTTATCTATGCGTCGGAGCGCTGGCGGCCCGGCTTTGTCACAGAATATCGTCGACGACAAGTATACGTACTTTCGCATCTGTATTAGGTAATCTGTGACTCAGGGTTATTATGTGGGGGCAATAAGTTAACACTTTCTGGTAAGGAACAAACCTTTGTTATTGAACGTGTGAAACTTCCATCAGATGTTTTAAGCTTAACAATTCTAACTTTTCCATCTGTGCCTTTGACAGTTTCAGTGACTCTGGCCAATGGCCACTTGAGCGGAGGCATATTATCTTCCTTAAGAAGAACGAGGTCATTTTCACATATATTTCTTGAGGGCTGGAGCCATTTGGGGCGATTTTGAAGTCTATTTAAATATTCAATGCTCCAGCGCTTCCAAAACCTTTGTTGAATCTGAGAGCACCTTTTCCAGGAGTTAAGTCTATTTTCGGGAGTATGAGTGATGTCTCTGTCAGGATATGCAGTCAGTGCCGAACCTATAAGGAAGTGTCCAGGGGTTAGCGATTCGAAATCCGAAGGGTCGCTAGATAAAGCGCATAAAGGCCGAGAATTTAAAATTGCCTCAATTTGGCATAGAATTGTGTCAAATTCTTCGAAAGTGCAGTGATTATTTCCTACAAGGCGGTTTTGCATTATTAATGTCACTTTTCGTTGTTCGGGTAAATTTATTTCTTTTTGAGGTGTGTCGTAATCAGATAAATTTAAATCAAATTTGTTTAAAAATTTAGGGCCATGAAACCAAAATCCAGAGTCCAAAACTTTTTGGGACAATAACCCTCGAGACAACATGTCTGCGGGATTTTCTGAAGATTTTATATATCGCCAATGACAGTTTGACGTTAATTCTTGAACTCGCGAGACTCTATGAGAAATAAAAACAGTCCATCTGCTGGCATGACTTTTGCACCAAGAAAGCGCAATTTGAGAATCGGACCATAAATGTACTTTAGAGAGGCTTATTTTCTTTTTGAAAACAAAATCAATCTTTTGGATGAGTTCGGCTAAAAGAACCATGGCACAGAGTTCGAGCCTTGGTAGAGAAATGCTTTTAATCGGAGCGACTCTGGACTTTGATGAAATTAAGTCACAAGAAATAGTCTGATCAGAGTAGACAGTTCGGAGATAGAGACAGGCACCGTGTGCTGCTAAACTAGCATCAGCGAATCCATGAATATCCACAGATTCAATCTTTTTATGGGAGAACATATTTCGAGGAACTTTCAAACTTTTTAACAGAGTTACACTTTTCAAAAATGAAGTCCATTTTCCTAAAATAGTCTCATCCGTTATGATAGTGTCCCAATCAAGTTTTTTGCACCAGATTATTTGCAGCAATATTTTTCCCTCAACAATAACTGGATTTACTAAACCCAAGGGATCAAAACACTGAGAAATTGAAGAAAGAATTTTTCGCTTAGTTGGGAACTTATCGTCTAAAATTTCGGGTGTTGATATACAAAAAACATCTTCCATAGGGTGCCATTTCAGACCTAAAATCTTGTTAGGAGATTTATCAATATTCATGTCATATTCGTGAATTGTTTCGTGTGAAATTTTGTTTAAGAAGTCTCTAGAATTTGAACACCATTTGTGTAAACTAAAACCACACGGGTTCAAGAGGAAGTTCAGTTCATTATAAAGATCTTTCAATTCGTTGTAATCATCACAACCTGTCAAAATATCGTCCATATAACATTGTGTCAAAATGGAATCTTTTGCTCTTGGGTATTTATCAGAATCGTCGGCATTTTGTTTTAATACACGTGTGGCAACATAGGGAGCGAAATTAGTGCCATATGTTACTGTCGATAATTCTATACATGCTAAAGGGTTATCAGGCCTCTCCCGCCATAAGATATTTTGAAGAAATCTATGATTGGGGTTTATTTTTATCTGGCGGTACATTTTTTGCACATCAGCCACCAGTGCAAACCTAAAGAGTCTAAATCGGGCTAAAATATCGTACAGATCGGGTTGTACTTGGAAACCTTTGAATGTGATGTCATTTAGGGCATAACCTGTAAATAGAGCTCTTTGCCGAAGCATCGAAAACTACACGTAACTTTGTAGTGACACTTGATTCTTTTATGACACATAGGTGGGGAATAAAATATTTGTTTTCATCTAGGGAATTTCTTTGAGTTAGAGGAACATATTGAGCGTGGCCAAGAGAAACATATTCTTGTATAAATTGCTTGTAATCAGAAAATAGCTTAGGATCTTTTTCAAACCGCTTTTCAAGTGCAAAGAACCTTTTTTTAGCGATCATGAAAGAATCGCCCAATTTTTGATGCTCATTCTGAGATTTTAAAGGAAAATCCACTTGGTAAGAGCCATCTTCTAGTACCTTAGTAGTTGAGACGAAAATGTCTTCTATTTGTACATCTTCAGGGGAACAGACAGGATCTTCAGAGACTTTTTCTAAGTCCCAGAATTTTGTCAAAGCATTATCGAGTTGAGAGTTTGTGAACGGCTCAATTTCTTGAGAAAAATTACATGAAGAGAAGAACGAGTTATTTTGAGTATGAAAAGATAGACACTGAGATGGAACATTTCCAGCTATTCTCCAGCCCAAGTGTGTATTCAACAATGTAGGGTAATTTGTGCCCAAATTTAGGAACTCATGAGAGAGTAAATTGTAGTACAAATCTGCACCGATAAGTATGTCAATGTCAGTAGGTGTATAGAAGTTAGGATCGGCAAGCTGATTTAAAATGTCTCTTGGAATTTTTAGATTATCCACTTTAATGGGCACTTGAGGTAGCCTATGAGTAATATGGTCTAACACAGCACAGGAGAGTCTGAAACGTTTTTCTGGATTGACATTTGAGTACAAAAATACATCAATCATTTTGTTGGACAGTGTATTATTCTGAGCTATTCCTGATTTATTGAGAACTCTATGATAGGGTTTCAGTGAGAGCTGATCAAGTAAATTTTGAGTAATAAATGAGTTCTGAGAACCATTGTCCATCAAAGCTCTAGCCTCTATAGGTTCACCTTGTTTAGTATACAGAGTAACTCTCGCAGTAGCTAAAAGTATTTGAGAATATTTTGAGGAGGGTGCAGAAACCGAGGCAGAGACAGAGAATGATCGGGCTTGAGATTCTTGAGAAATGAGTCGAGAACCATTAATGTTTAAATTTGGCGAATAATTTGGGGATGAGATTAAATTTGGGCTCTGAGTTTGTTCCCAATTTACACTACTGGTTAGAGATTGACTTGGGATTTGATCGAGAGCTTGATTGTCTTGGTGATTACGGTGAAATTGGGGTCGAGAGTTATAATTAGAGTTTTGTCGAGGTTGAGAGTTTGGATTTGAACCTTGAGGAGTGTTTTGTGAGTGAGGAGAGTTTTGAGCTCGATTTTGAGCCTGATGTGCAGAGTTAGAGTTTATGGGAGAAGTTGTAGGTCGCATTGAAGGTATGTGAAGAATATTGTGATGTTTCCTATTACAATGGCCTCATTTACGAGATGAGGTACAAGTATTCAATGAATGCTTGCTTCCGAAACAATTTCTACATAATCTTTTTGAATCTATGAATTTCAGTTTGTCATCATGAACAAGGGATATGAATTTCTGGCAAGAATAAATACGGTGGCCACGAGTGTTACAGTATAGATATAAAAAATCAGTCAATGAGGAACGACGTGGCTCCTGCTCTCTATTTTGTTGCTGAGCTAACAGGGACACTCTCTCTTGCTTTCTATTATGAGTATTATGTGATGTGTCATGATTGGAGGATAGATTTTCAAGAATAAGACACCGTTTGTTCAGAAATTCAAAAAATCCATTAAGATCTGGCAATTTTGTTAAGTCACGCTCTTCTTCAAATAATTTCCTATTATAAAAATCTAGCTTTTTCTGAAATATATTAATGAGAAATAGTTCAAACATTCGAGAATCCGAAATTTTTAAATTTTTTAGAGCGTCCAAACTTTTTCTAGAATTCGTTACAAACTCCCGCAGATTTTTACTATTACATTTTGAAATTGAGGGTGTATCCATTATAGAATTTACATAAGCATTCACAATACAATTCAAGTTTCCATATCTATTTTTCAAAATATCAATTGCTGTTGCAAAATTATCATTTGTAACTTGCAATGAGTCAATAACGCTCAAAAGCTCTCCTTTCAGGAACGAATTTAAGTAAAAAAATCTTTGAACGTTTGTGAGTAGGGCATATTAATTATAAGTGATTGAAAGAGTTCGTAAAAAGAGTGTCATTCAGTTGAGTTACCAGTAAAAGGTGCAATTGTAATATCTGGCAACTTAACACCAACATTTTTTTGTGAAGGAGCAGAAGAGTGAGCTGGTTGGTTGCCTTGAATAGATAAATTACTTAAACAATCATTAACTAGAGAAAAAGTGTCGTAAAATTTATTTTCTGTGCTCACCCTATCCTCTGCATCTTCCTCACCAGAATTTTCAATTATGTCTTGTGCAGAGTTATATTTATCAAAAGCATTTTGCAAAGAGACTAAACGAGTTTGAAATTGACCAATATCTTGAACCGTGCTTTTATTTGTCAGAACCCAATTGAAAATTCTTGTTTGAGAGGATTTGGCAGATTTACGAATAGATTTTAATTGATCTAAATCCATTTTAACTTTGGGCAATTAAAAAAAAATACAAATCGAAAAATCAAGACCCTTACACTAAAGAAAATAGTATAGGTAGAGAAAATAAGCGAATACCTTAAACCTAGAAAGAAAAGTAAATAAGTTTTTAAAACTCAACTTTACAGAGCGTCGGTTTGGTGCAAAACTATCCTAAGTCCATTTTTTCCCAAGAAATGGGTTATGAGTGATAGTTGTGAAAAAGACCAATATTTTACTGTTAAACTATCCTAAGTCAGAATTTTTAAATTTCCCGCCTTTAAAATTTATAGAATACAAAGTATCCTAACAACGGAGCAGAATTTCTCCATTAATGTAAACTAGCCTATGTCCAAAATTGGACTTAGGATAGTATGCACTTAACAAATGGTTGACTTAGGATAGTATGGACTAAGCAAAACCATATAAATAATGTACAGAGAATTTCGAGACTTGTCACTTTTTTCCCGCGTAAACAGCTGAGAACCACTTCCAACGCTCCAGACTTCCAGACCAGCCAAATAATTATTATCTCAGTGTTGTTTTGTTTACTTCAGATTTGTTAAGAATTCTGTGTTTTGACAAGGTGTATACAACATGAACACAAGAGCCAAAAAAATAATGGGTATGTTACAAACACCTATAAGTTCCGATAGACCGCCAGGTAAGATCGAAAGCATATACATATTTTAATAACAGTTACTGAGCATAATATGGTTGTAAATAAATTTTCATATCTCAAAAACTCTTTAAGACTTGAATTTTTTAGATTTAGTGAGCAATATAATCAGTGTAGGACTAGAAAACGAACATCACTGCACTAAAGTCGACGTCATTGTGGAAAATATTGAACCTGCAGCAGGACAGGGCAATGCAGAAAATTCCTCAAATTACCCTGAACTGACCGAGTTGAAAAACGTTCCTATTGAAAGAGATACAATAGAAGGTAGGCTCTAGCTTACCTACTCATTTACTCTCTTCCAGAGAAAATATTTCTTTGCTAAAATAGTGATTGTTTTTGCAGTCAATGACACAACCCCATCTCCTGAGCACAACAGGGGAAAAAGTGCCTTGATTATCCCAGAAATGACTGAGTTAATGAACATTTCTATGGAAAAAAATACAATTGAAGGTGAGTAATTCAACTATTACTCCGGAAACTTTTTTTAATAATGGTACCTACCATTGGACTTACTGGGTTACTTTCAATAGAGATATTTTGATAGTTTAGGAGACGACTTGTTTTTTTTTAGATGACGATTCCACAACTTCGTCATTGGAACGTGATAATCCTTTTTCTACCGACTCGGATTCGGATTATATACCTGATACTGATGATACAAGAAACAATAATCGCTCTCTTGTAAACTATTTTTCAATGTCAAGTGAAGATGATAACAATGAAATCATATCATCTGAAGAGGAAAACCAAACAATTGCTGATGGCGAAGAACTCGAACCACCGAAGTCAAGGAAAAGGAAACGGAAAGTGAATGCCTGGAAAAGAAATGAGATGAAAAAACGAAGAAATTTGGGACAAACATATACAAACACTAAAAATGAAATGGTACCAGAGAGAAAATTGAAAGAGGCTTGTAAAAATACCTGCAGACTGAAATGTGTGAATAAAATATCAAAAGACATGCGACTTTCCATTTTTTCTGAATATTGGGCACTGGGAGACGTTAATCGCCAACGATATTTTATTCTAAGGTTTGTTGATTTTAGAAAAAAAAATAGACAACGTCTTCGTCGAAACCAGAATGTCCAAAGACAAGAGGATATTAGTGATGAAGATAATGACGTGAATGTGGGTGATAATAGTCGTAGAAAAATGACTTACTTTTACCATTTGTCTTCAGAGGAAGGAGAAAGAGAAAAAGTCTGTCAAACGTTTTTCCTCAATACACTTGGAATAAGTCACCAAGTTGTAAAGACCGTAGCAGCGAAGCTCAATATATCAGAAAACAATGTGGTTACCATAGATGGAGATAATAGGGGAAGAAATAACATAACAAAAACCCGTATAAGTCAGCGACAAGAACTTCTAGTAAAGGATCACATAAATTCATTTGAAGCCGTCGAAAGTCATTATACTAGAAAAGACTCTTCAAAGAAATATTTACCTGGGTCATTGAATATTTCAAAAATGTTCAGACTGTATATGGATTATTGTAAGGAAAACAGAGTTGATAAGAAAGACATAGTTCGTGAGTCAATGTATCGCTGGATATTTGTGAATAAATTTAATATAGGATTTCATATTCCAAAGAAGGATCAGTGCGATCTTTGCGTCAATTATCAAAACTCAAATGATGCCGAGAAAGTTGAGTTGAAACTTCTCGTCGAAAGTCACATATTAAATAAAGAAGCAATGCGGAAGAAGAAAGATGATGACAAGCTAAAAGCTTCTGCAGATAACAGTTTTTGTCTGGCAATTTTTGATCTTCAACAAGTGTTACAATGCCCCAAGATAGAGGTTGGTCAGGCGTATTACAAGTCAAAAATAGCTACATACAATTTAACAGTCTACGAGGCTGCAAAAAAACAGGGATATTGTTACATGTGGCATGAGGCCATAGCTTCTCGAGGAACCTGCGAGATAGGCAGTTGCGTTTTGAAATTTATTAAAATGAAGGCAGACAGCGGCTGCAGAGAGATATCGTTTTATTCTGATAATTGCGCAGGCCAAAATAAAAACAAGTTTATGTACATTATGCTACTTTATGCAGCAGTTACAAACCAAGTTAAAATAACTTTGAGCTTCATGGAGGTGGGACATACCCAAAATGAAGGCGACTCTATGCACAGTGCCATCGAGAGATGTGCCAGACGTATTCCAATATACACTCCAGGACAATGGGCTACTATAGCGCGCACTGCATGTGTAAAAAAACCTTACTTTGTCAACGAGTTGAATCAAACTGATTTTTTTGATTTTAAAGACTTATTGGCACAATGTACCAAAAAGTTAGATAAAGATACTTGCGGAACTATTGTTAAGTGGACAGACATTAGCTGTGTGCAAGTGGATTTTGCTAAGCCAGATATTTTGAAATTTGCATACAAGCTACAAGAGGGGTTTTATGAAATTAACATAAAGGAGGGCTCTAGAAAAGAACCAATAGGTTTTCTTCAATATAATCTAAAACCCCTTAGAAATAGATTAATATCAATTTCGAAGATTAAGTATGATTCTATAATTTACTACTGCACGAAGAATGCTGTTGCCAAGGAATACCAGGACTTTTTTTTAAGTTTGCCGCATGAATAGGTCTGTCACTGGGCCAATATTTTCAGGTACATTGTCAGTATTTAGTTTGAGACTCTGTTAATCTGTTAATTTCTAGAAATAAAAGAAATTCATTCTTAATCCTAAAATCTACCTTATTATCACTATCAAGTTTCAAAAAATAAATAATCCTATGTCCAATATCAATTCTCTTTTCATATCCTATGTCCCGTTATGTTGGATAGGCTAGTTTGCTTTTAAAATCTTAGATGGTCAAATTATCCTATGTCCTTTATCACAAGAAGTTTGATGCTTATCAAAATTAAACATAATGTATCTCTTAAGTATGCTTAAGTTTAAGTAACTCCTGAAATTGTAAACATCTAGCTCAAAAAACGATCTAGTCACAAGCGCAAGAAATCTTTAATTCCGTTTTACTCCAATTCTTCCTAAATTGACTTAGGATAGTTTTGCACCAAACCGACGAGAGTAGAAAAACTCAAACAATGGGCAAAATAATCAAATCAAAATAAATCTAAATTTGCAAATAAATCAAGGTATTTTTATTTTTTTTTGTTTTTAAATGCAATAAATAATTCAGTAAATAAATCATTAAGCTTAAAAAACCAAGTGTGAGAGAGTGAGAGTCAATATTTACAATAGTTTGTATAACATTCAAAAATAGGAACAGTGAAAAAATCACTGTGTTTTAGTTATAGAGCATTAGAGTACACTGAACACCGAGCTGAACACTTTAGTCTTGAAATAAATAAAGTACAAGTTCTGTTACCTTTTGTGAAGGTCGACGAGGCAGTAGAAGATCTCGAATAACGACGTACCAATTTATCTGCTTTCCGGCAAGTATCCCAGAAACTTACTTGTGGATCGAGTTGTTGATGGTTGTTGATCATTAGCAACAAACAAGGGATGAAGGGACGTAACACTTCCAGCAGCACACCCCCAGTCCGGCTCGAAGGACCAAAATGTTAGGGCCTCTAACTGAGGTGTCAACATTTAATTTAGGGATAGATCACTGGATCATAAAGGGGATGGGGATGTCACTGCTAAATAATGCACTCACACTTCCAGTTTCATGTCTCTCTATTGTTGCCAAAATAATCGTTTAATAAAGTAATAAATACTGTAACCACATTCAAGTAGTTTTAATTATTCACAGGTTAGTTAACAAGTCGCATTTGAGTTATTCGAGAACATTCACTAATCGGTATAAATTCACTAGTTGTAAGTGCTCAATAGTCAATTTAACAATAATTGTCAGTATTAGCGGAACGCTAATATTTTAGTTGAGAGCACAAGATAAAGTTTATTCTTAATAGAAATCTTCGGGAGTTGAGAGTTTTTATAAAAGGGGAGTGTGAATAACTCAATGTTTAACGCGATATTATATCACTTGAGTTTTCAAGCCAGCAGCCAGAGAGATAAAAAAATAAGTCTTTTTATTTAGAAGCGAGAGAGAGACTGCACAAGGGTGCAACTAGAAAGAATAATTAAATAATTAGAGAAAAGTGAGCAGGTTCAAACTTGTATAGAGCTAGACGTTTTTACGCACTATTTACTGCTAGTGAAACCACACTACTAAAATCACACTGCTAAAAATCACACTGCGAAGTGAAAAAGATAAGGAATGCATTTTTTCCCTTAGCGACAACAACCAGACTGGGTCGATGCAGTACAGCCTGGTATGGCGCCAGCGGCGAAGTTTTCACGGCGGGGGGCTTTTTTGCAACGTTGCCACTGTGATCATAAAAAATAAATACGATTGTTTGGCTGTTTCCACAACAGGTATTACAAATACTATAGGATAGTATTTTTACAATTTTTGGAGCCGAATATATGAGAGACTGTTCAATCAAATATAGACTAATTATATATTTTTGGAATCGGGGCATTGTGCTCTTCAAGCTGGAAACATGCAAAATTTCACATTTCTGACATTCAAATTTAGTTTTTGACCATGGTTTCTAAAATTTCAGCCAGAACTGTAAAACTTTTTTATTTACACTTTTCTTTTTTAAAGGTAAAGCTACAGTCTTGGGGTGTCAATATATAAAAAAACACCCTGTATCTACCTATTTAAAATCACCTTATTCTCCTAAATAGTTCCCCTATTCCCATATTTTTATGGGCCATTCCTTCGAAAACCCGTATCTTGCCCAATTCGCTGCCAAAACTAACCCAATCTGGCTTACTTTAACTTAAACTGCCCCCCCCCCCCCTCTTTCAAAAGGCCTGTATCCGCCCCTGTCCGTTGACCCCAATAATCAAGGAAATTGCGACATCTTCGGTCGAACAAATAATAATATTTCCTAGAAATAGCGGGAGACTCTGTCTGAGACTCATTATGGGACGCAGGACACTTTACTTCCAGCAGTGATGATTTCGATTCCAACGAAAGCATCAATGGTGTTGTCTTTTGCGTTAGGACAATTCTCTTCAATGGTGTTGGCTTTTGAGTGGCAAGAGCCCACGTGAGGACAATTAAATAGTCAAGAGGAAGCTTATTTTCAAGAAGAAGTGGCTCCTTGATCATATAAGGTTGCAACGAACAATGGACAAACATTTAGAAGAAATAGAAGACATTTACCTGTAAAATAATAATTATTACTTATTCATTTGTGTTATTTAGTTGATTTTGTAAAAAAAGAGGGATGCACCTACTAGTAGATATCTAAAAAAGGAAGGTAGCTTCACACACATGTCAGTACTTGACAAGTAACGAAGGTTATTTCTAACAGATAATTTACCATAAGTCTTCCTATATACAGACAATCATATACTAACATCAAAAGTAGTTTGCCTTTCATCCCTCTCCGACACCAGCACAACAGTAGCCTTATTTATCATATGAATTTCTTCTTGGAGTTGCAGCATTTTATTGTGAAAGTCTTGGACTTGCGAATTTCCTGCCGTGGAAGCACTACCGCCTGCAGACAAACTAAAACAAATCTGTCATTTACATATCAATACTATCAATAAAAATTACCCTAAATTAATTCGTTCCCATAAAGCTGCTATTTCTTGTTCCAAACGATCTAATTTCGTATTGATATCGGCAAATTGTTGATGATCTACCGTATCCATAGTGCCCAATTGGTCTTTGAGCTCGTTCAATTTGATTTCGATTTGTCCGACCTTAACATCGGGTGAAAAGCTACTGGATGCATCGTTTGATAGTAAAGCTTGTTTTAATTGTTCCACTTCCTTTAAAGCTTCCATGCCAGCCTGACTGGGCAAATCGATTTCTTTCATGCTCAATATTTCACGTTGTAAAATTGCTATGGCTTCATTGGGGGGGTAAGTTTTGAGGTCGATTGCATCAAACTCCAAATCACCTGTGGATGATTCTTGTTGCGTTACGAGGCTTGGTTTTGGTGACCTTGCTTGATTATCTTTGGATTCGTCAAAGCTGGCTCTTTTTTTACTTGCCAATTTTGTAGTTTTTTCTTCTAACTCAGTGGATTTTTCGGCTAATTCGTTCACTTTGGCTTCCAATTCGTTTACATGATTGATGATGTCTTGAATTTGTTTGCCGCCTCCGCTTGTATCGTCCAAAGATTTCCTAGATTGCGTGTGTGCTGATCGTGCGAGCTGTGCGGTTTGGCTTTTGAACGACTTTATCGCTTCTAAATTTGAAGCTTGTTCTTTTATCTCTTCCTCCGTTTTGCCTTCACTATCTGCTAAAGCTGTTTGGCCTTGAGCCAAGTCTTCTATCATCGATGCCATTTTGGTCACTACCAATTCAGTAGCGTCTAGTCTTTTGACCAATGTGAGTATCTGGAACATGTCCAAGATTGGTGAGTTGCTGCTTGTGCTGTTTCTGCTATTCCTACAAGCTTCGATTAAACCAAGGCTACTTGGGAGATCTTTAAGCCCTTTTACTTCATCTTGTAGGGTTTTGATGTCGGTTGTCATTTGTTTCAGTTGATCTTTTGTTAAAGCTACTCCCAGCTGCGGAGTTTCCGATTTTTCCTTCGAAGCTGGTTCGACTAATATTATGGTTTGTAGCGAGTCGGAACTTTCTGTAGAATGAGCTTCTTCTTTGCCAGACTCCCCTTTCGTTTTTATGATGTTTATTTGCATTTCCTTTTGGTTGTCATCTTTTCTATCTACGGTCCTCTTGCTTTTCTTCTTCTTTATTTTTTGCTTGCGTTCCTTACCGTCAGCGTCCACCGTGTATTCAGTCAATTTGATAATCGGTCCTGGTTTGGCCGACTTTATGAAATTTTGCAGTCTTTCGCCGTCGCTGCCGCTAAATTCGATATTGCACTTTCCCAAGTTGAGCTGGTGCACTATGACTTGAAGCACTGCGTGAAGCATCGTGAAATTCACTATTCCAACCTGGATAATTAATGGAAAATGAATATTTGATAGGCTTAGGGAATAGGTTTTACCTCTGGCGAGTTCAGTGCCAAATCCACCAACTGTGGCAGGCTGATCATCGCTATACCACCATCTTCTGCGGCCATTTTTCTCGAGGATTGGTTTTGTATAAAATTTAAAGCATATCAAATATAGAAAAAGAATATAAGGAACTAAATTATTTATGGAATTCTAATGACAAATTTTATGTTGACAGTAGTATGAGTATGAGTTTATGACAAAGGATTTTTTACTTGGTGGTTTTTCAAACAGGTCCAAATAAAGTATGTCTCCAATAATATTATTAGCTATGTTGAGGACTGCCAAAAGAGGTGAGCCGTTATTAAAATAGGTCTTTATAGCTTAGACAATTTCACCGATGTGAATGGAAATTAGGGTATTTTATTTGATTTTTCTAACTCGACCAATGGTACTTTCATCTAGGTAAGGTACGCCTGCCTGTTGATTTATTTTTGTTTTACAATTAAAATGAGAAAATCCAATGCTTTACCGATTTCTCTGGGTGGTGTGCACCAAGTTCACATGTCTCATAATGCATGTTTCCTTTAGATGTTCAGGGTTCTTTTCTACACACTAGAAAAAATCCCGTCTATAATTATACGAGAAAGTGGTTAACGCGTTGTGTGTAAAAATTATACACCATTATTCATAAAGTGCCGTCTACTTAACCAACAGTAATTTGGTAAAGTGATATTTTACACAATACATTGTTGAATCAAAGTTATGTTTTACGGTTCCGTATTACTCTACATGACAATGTGTAATTTTTTACACTACTCTCATTAAATGAACACCAAAAATGTTTAAATTTACACGGTAGACCAACGTTTATACACCAAATAGTGTGTCGGGTCAAGCCCTCCGTCTTCTACCTTCTTTTGTGTGACCGTGATCAGTTCCAAGCCTGCTAATGGGATGGTTGATGTTCGTTTGTCGTTGTCTACGACTGTCTGGGACTTTTGCTTGATAAAATTACATCGTCAAGATAAACTGCAGCTTTGTCGCGATATGGCCCTAATATTTGATTCATCATGCGCTGGAAGACTGCTGGTGCGCTACTGAGTCCAAATGGCATTCGGTTGTAATGGTATTGTCCTTCAGGTGTTATAAAAAATGTAAGGTGTTTACTATGTTCGGCTATTGGAATCTAGTAGTATCCTGAGCTACGGTCTAAACTGGTGGATACTGAACATCCGCTTAATTTATCTATCTGGTCATAAATACGAGGCAGTGGATATCTGTGCTTGAACTGTTTCCAATGGATTTCTGATAAGAGTATCATCATCTTGCACCTTGTTACCGGCACGATATTCTATAGTAAATGTGTAATGTGTACTCTTGAAGTTGCAGCCACCAACAAGCTATTCTGGGTATGAGGTCTCTTTTAGAACTAGCTGTTTTTAAAGCGTTGCAGTCGATAACAACTTTAAAGTTTAAGCCCAGTAAATAAACCCGGAATTTAAGAAGTGTCTCTATACAACCGCTAGAGTTTCCAACTCGTAGGAGTGGTATTCCCTCTCTGCATTATTAGTGTGTCGACTGTAATACGCCACTGGTCTTAACTGAGATTCATAATGCTGACGTAAGATTCCCGCTCCTGCAATGTCGTCTTGACTGGCGTCTGTGTGAATTTCTCTTGCTAAACTTGGGTCATATATAGCAAGGATAGAGCGTTCTATTAATCTGCTTTTCAAATCTTCAATGCCTTTGTTTCAGGATATCCCCATTCCCAAGGGATTTTTTTTTTTTGTTAAGAGGGGTGTTTAAGTAAAATGTCATTTACAGACCTTCACTAATTCCTGTTCAATTCCAAATTTAGACCACTTTTTAGTGAAATGAAGCTATGTTCATAACAATAATAGATTGGAGTAGAAGTTCAAGCATTTTTGGTTGCAAAATACGCATTCTAAATAGTAAAATTATTACCATTTTGTTGACAACAATATGCAAATTATGGTCACGGATTTAAATGAAAAAGGGATAAACATATAGAGTAGCACACCAACAATAAATGTCGAAAATTTCGGATAGTAAAATGCTGGAATAAATGAAAACAACAGAATTTACGAAAATTATAATGTGTTTATAACAAAATTAATCAAAATCTGCCAAATAAGGACTGACAAGGAGCTTATTGCTGTCATTTACAGCAGAGACTCAAACCAAACGTATGTTCAGCGCTTCTCTAAAAGATGTCGCTGAGTTCGGGAAGAATAGTAACTTCTTTGGTAAAAACTGTTTCACCTAGCTAAACATGTGAAATACTATTATTTTATTTGTATCTGAATAAAATTATTTAGTCCACTGTAAATTACTGTGTAAACGAATTGATATTGAAGATGTCGCCATCTACTTGTAAATTAGTCAATAACTTACAGAGAATTTGAACACCTGTGATTAAAAAATATTTAATGTATGTCATAAAGCCCAAAAGATGGCGCGCTGGCGCTTATCTGACGCCCCTCTTAATGTAGTTAATGGTTTTACAATTTCTTAGTAATTTTTGACGAATTTCCTAAAATATTCAGTTAAGCCTAGAAACCAATCTAGAAACTGAGGAACTTGTTCAACAGCTTTTGGTACAGGGAAATTCTGAACAGCCTCTATTTTTGCAGCCCCATGTTGATCTATTTCAAATCCTGAATAATTTATGGATGAACAAAGAAAAGCGCATTTGCTGATGTTGAGCGTCAAATTTTCATTTCGTAATGTTTGGAATATTGTTTGGATGCTACGTAAATTTCTTTGGGACTTTTGCTTGGTAAAATTACGTCGTCAAGATAAACTGCAGCTACGTCGCGATATGGCCCTAATATTTGATTCATCATGCGCTGGAAGACTACTGGTGCGTTACTGTGTCCAAATGGCATTCGGCTGTACTGGTATTGTCCTTCAGGTATTACAAAAGATATAAGGTGTTTACTATGTTCGTCTATTGGAATCTGGTTGTATCCTGAGCTAAGGTCTAAACTGGTGAATACTGAACATCCGCTTAATTTATCTATCTGGTCATCAAAACGGAGCAGTGGATATCTGTCTTTGATTGTTTTGAGGTTAAGTTTTCTGTCATCCACACACATTCTGTCATTTCCATCTTTCTTCTTAACTATAAGAGCACAGGAGAAGCATAACAAGAAGCAGATTCGTATAAAGAATCGACGATTGGCGCCAGAGAGTGACAGCTCGATATCCGATTTTCTAATTAATTTTTGCGAAACTAAATGAAACCAGAAAGTTTTTACTAAAAATCAATCAAGTATACCTGGGGGTAAGTACCTAACACAAAATTTAAATCCTTGCTTGCAGTAGTATATAGCCTTTTTTATGCTGTTTCCTGCTTTTGCTTTTCCTAACCTAGAATAGTTTGAGAACCACATGAAAGAAGACACAGGGGGCCATCGGAGGCCCCCGCCTAGTAATATGGAAGCAAAAAAGACAAATAGCCATAATTTTCTCTGAAAGTATACAGAGATTCGAAACCCTACATGGTCATAGTCGAAACCAAGAATGAGGATCATATTGGAAACTTGCACCCCATGAGTGTAGGTAGACTATTGAAAAACAGTAAAGTTGGTGGAGTTGAGAAAACCTCTAGAAAAGGGAAAAACAGAGTGGGAATTGAATTTACCGATTATATAAGTGCAAATGAATTTCGAAATAATAAAATATTAACGAATGAGAATCTAAACGCCTATATTCCAGTAAAGATATAGCCAGAGGGATGTACAGAAGTATAACTGAAGAGGAAATAGTTGAGAAAACAGAATCTGTAGCAAAGGTTGTTGAAGCCAGAACACTAAAGAAGAGTAGGTACAATTGAAAACGGTGAAATCAAATATGTAAATACTGGATCAGTGGTGTTTACGTTCCAAGGGAAAGTGATTCCAAGGGCAGTTAACCTAGATTTCTGTTGTGTATTAATTTCAGTATACATATAAGTCCAGTATTGATGTGCTTTAAGTACTTAAGGTACGGTCACACGGCTAAACAGTGCCTAGGTAAACAAAGGTGCCCAATATGTGCAGAGGAGCATGACGAAAGAGAGTGTACACAAAACACACAAAACTATTTATATTGTAACATGGGGCACAAAGCTACAGACACGCAATGTAAGGAATACATGAGACAGAAAGCAATCAAAACCACTATGATCACTGAAAATATATCCTATTTTGAAGCTAGGAACAAACATCCGAAAGGAGATGAAATTATAGGACAGCGACTTGGACAAAGAATAAGTAATTTAGACCATAGAGATTTCCAGCCTTAAATCATGCAAGAAGAGCTTCGGAAGCCAATACACCAATTGAAGTTAACCAGAGACATCTATACATATCGAGACCCAACACATCATATGCCTCGGCGGCATGCAATCTCAAAAGGAAAATGCCCAGTTCACCAGGGTACGACAGAGAAGCGCACAAAAAATGTCTGATTCCTGCATCAGCTAGAACTCCAACCCAAATAAGCACAAGGGAAGGTTCGGTGGCAGGAAGTGCATATTCCATACAGCCAACACCAATATTTGATGTAATACAAGAAGTCATTGGAGAGACAAACTTGTCTCAGGAGGTCAAGGACTTTATTATGGGGGAAATCCACAATGCAACTTAGATATTTGGGGGATCCGCTATCTGCAAATACCTACAGGAAGAGTACACGCTATTAGAGATTTACAGTTTGAAGAAACGCAATATTAAAATAGTACAATGGAACATTAGAATCATTCTAAGAAATTATAGTGACCTTATTGTTTTGATAAATAGCGGAGACCTAGATGTAATACTTATTAATGAAACATGGCTCAAGGCAGATTATGTCTTGAAAGTCAAATATTATGTTACGCATAGATTGTATAGAGATGATGGAAGAGGAGGCATTGCTATACTGATCAAGGAAGGCATGCCGCATATTAAATGTAATATGAACAATAATTTTAATCAAAGGTTTCAAGCAATGGGAATTAAAATCAAAGACATGACTATTGTCACAGTTTATAGCCCACCAGACATCTCACTTTCTATAAACAACATCCATAACGCTTTTGGAGGGATACAAGCTCCATTTATTATTATGGGAGACATAAATGTCCAACACAGCCTATGGGGTTCGCAGATTAACAACTACAATGGTAGACACTTAATGGAATACATTGAGGATAAGAATCTAATAATATTAAATGACGGCAAGAGCACAAGAATAACCCACCGAACCAAAACAGAGTTTGCCCATACATAAAAATGGTAACCCAGGATCTTAGAACATTCTGCAACGGGTCGATCTCCAACCAGAGCGGACTTAGTGATCATTTGCCTACCATATGTGAAATCAGAAAACAGCTGCTAGATCAAAAGCACAGAAGGAAACCACTAGGAAAATGGAGAACTGATAAAGCTGACTGGGAAAAATATGAAACGGCGTTTCACAAGGGTGGGGAAGAAATTGAGAATTATCAAGCATTCATAGACAAAATAGATAACTCTGCTGGGGAAGCTATCCCAAAAGTAAAAATAAATATACTCCAAAGCCAAACTGGTGGGATGAATACTGCAACAAATTAACAGAGGAAAGACGAGAGGCTATGGGAAATTACTTAAGGAGCATGACTTTGGACAATTTTCTGAAATATAAACAACTTGCTGCCAGGACAAGGCGTATCCTAAAGATAAAAAAGAAAGATGGTTTTAGGAGGTTCACAGAAAAATTAAGTAGAGAATCATCAATTGGATATGTCTGGAGGGTTATTAAAAAATGTTCAAACAATATAGTAGATGAAGACAAACACACAGACAAGATAGACTGTGTTAGTGATCTATTAGACACACTGGCTCCTCCGTTTGTCGGTAATAACCCTGAATTCGCGGCGAATAGGCGGAAGGAAGGAGATTGCTTTGAAATAGGAGAAGAAGAGTTAGAGATCGCTCTTCAAACAAAAAAGGACGCCACTCCAGGATGCGATGAAATTACCTATCCGATGTTGACAAGAATACCACCTTTTATGAGAGAATCACTAGGTAGGTATTGCAATTCCTTAACAAGATCTTGAAACAGGAAGCAGATATTCCGCAAGATTGGAGAAATCAAATTGTGAATCCGATCAAAAAACCCAAGAAAGACCCTGAAGACTACAAATCCTATAGACCAATTGTGATAACTGATAACTTCCTGTTTGGGCAAAGTAATGGAAAACATTCTCAAGACGCGAGTAGAGCATTTCCTGGGAAGAAAAAAAAGGTTTTCTACTAGGTACTCAACGAATGTCCTATTTTCCTGGCGCTCCAATTCCCTAGCTGAAGACGCCACAGCTAAAATTACCCATCTGATTCCTAGTAACTCAGAAACAATTGTCCTCACTTTTTCTTTTTCCGTTTTTGCCATTCTATAGGGTCTGTAGGTAAAAGGCTGGCCGTCTCGTCTGTGAGCTTGAATACCATCTAAGCTGATTTAGCTTGCCCAAAATGTTCAGATACAGTGCCCAATAGACCTCTAAATTCCTGTAATATATCCATTAGTTTCTCCCGAAGAAAGTTGCGGGTCACTCGTACCAATTTCAACATATTTGGGGAATTTTGTTAATTTTAAGTCGCAGTATACCTACGTGCAGATTGGTCTCTAGCTTCCATTTAGAAGAAGAATGCTCTAGCTATACGATCTTTATTGTTTAGAGTAAGATATTTGCTCAATAAATTTAATATTGGTAGTATTACTGGTACGTTTTCTATAGAGATAAAAGAATAAGGATCCGAGGAATTGCATATTCCCTCCCCAGTTGACATCTGAAACAGGCTTCAATGTAAAAGTCTCCCTGAACTGATGATTTGCTAATAACACTAAGATTTTCAACATGATATGGTGGAATAACAGTTGCTTCTTCTAACCATAACGTAATTTTATTGGTATATTATAGTCTGGTTGTTGAATTTCACTGAATCTCAGACTTTTCCTATCTTTTGATACAAGTAACCCTGGTTGCTCAGTAAATGCTTGTCCTATTATTATTGGAACCTCGAGTAGATTATCAGGAACCACAAGGCAATCTACAGTTCTTTGGACACCATCAACTTTCAATGTGACTGTTATTTTTCCTAAGAGCTGTATGTGGTTAATTCCATAACGTTTCAGGGTAACTTCACAGTCTGAAATGGGAATATTAAGCTGTTTTGCCTCGGATAAACGTATCAGATTGCAACTAGCACCGAAATTACATCGTCAAGATAAACTGCAGCTTTGTCGCGATATGGCCCTAATATTTGATTCATCATGCGCTGGAAGACTGCTGGTGCGTTACTGAGTCCAAATGGCATTCGGTTGTACTGGTATTGTCCTTCAGGTGTTACGTAATTTTGAAGGGATCGGCTTGAGATTTTGATATCATAAAATACTCCACTTCTAACATTCTTATATTATGGACTGACACACAGAATTATTTAAGCATAATTAATTAGATACCTACTATTTTTTTTTTTTAATTTTCAGCTTCTCGCGAAATATTGAAGAGTATTCCGCAAATTCGTAAGTTCTTATTTCGTGTACCAATTATTTTCTTTACAATAATGGAAATATTTCAGCAAGTCAAGTCCCACCTAAGAAAAGTGTCCGCTCAGTCAGCTCAGCCGAGAAATGAAAAGACAATCCGTGTAACAAAACATTTTGTTAATAAACTGTTGAACTTTCCGAAATAGAAATTATTGAGTCATGGCACGGTATCAACTTTATTCTAACAGTTGGACCAACAAAATAAAAGCAAAAATTCCTTAAGAAAATCTTTATTTCCGTTATCATTAAAATAACAATAAAACAAACCAAGTTAACATAATTAAATTATTAGAAAAACAAAAAATATATATATCACAACACAATACTGTATATTAAACATACAATATCGTTTGCAAATTATCCCAATAAAGCCATTATACAATACCAAAAAGATATTTTAGTTTCTGCATTTACCCAACAAACATTTAATAATCTCTCGATCATATCAGCAACCATTTGCTTTTTATTCATAAAATTTATACAAAACAAAATTCCCAGGTTTCCACACCCGGCAATCCACCATAGTACTACTTTAACCCTATCTTTCTTGAAATCTGCTCGTACACAGTCCAAGCCATAGCGGCCATCAGCGTACGACGCAACATCCTTGGAACCATACCTTTGAAATACCCTTGCACTCCATGGTTGCTGTGCACGTAAACGATAACAGACCAAAGTCCATTGAATTTGTTCGGATAGAGTTGCATTTTTGTTTTGAGGACGTCAGCAGGCTGAGTGACGATCGAGGCTAGAATTCCAGCTGAGAGGCCACAAGTGAAGTGAAGAGGCGAGGCGTAGGACGAATTGACTAATTCTAGATAAAATATTTGTTGTTGTTTTATCATGGTATAATGAGAACAGGTCATTGATGATTAGGAAAGAAAAAAATGAAGTGTTGTATAACAAATCGAGAATTTAATGAAAAATTCTTACCTTTGGGGACCATCTGCTTAGTTTGAGTGTAAAACATGAGATAGAGACCAGAAAATGGGGCATCTCTGAACAATGTCGGTACCAAACCGCACGTCATTCCACGAAATCCTTCTGTACGATAGATGTGCTTCAAAGCAGACATCATGGTTTTATAATCGTAAACTCCACTTTCAAACCTATAGAAGATTATTATAGAAAAAATTACAAATTTGTTTACCGAATTGTATTTACCTTGTTTTTACGACAGTAATTGGTATCAGAATGGCTCCGCTCATAGATCTGGCGCAAAAGCCCATTGTGATTGACTCTAGAGGTGTAGGTGTTCTTCCTTGGAGGTAGTGAGACTTTATGTAGTCTAGTGATGAAAAATAAAGGCCGACTCCTGGTACACATCTTGTGATGGACTAGAAGGAAAATAAAATAATATTATAATAAGATAAACCTTGGAAGGAAACAATGGTTCATCACGTCAAGAACTGGATAGTAAAGTGCAGGGTATTACTGATAATAAGTTTTTCTTCAAAAATGCCTAACCAAATACCTCTATTTGGAACGATGGAAGTCATCTATTTGAGTAAAGTGAAAAGCTACATGTGGACTACCTATATTTTCCTACCACTTATAGTAGACATAGATTAGTTTCTCGTATAGATTTAATTTCTCATAGAATCGTCCTTCATGATACACTGAGAGATTAGTCATAACATTTAAAAGTACAAGAGATATCTTGATGCAAAAAATATCCACAAATCTCCCCAGATTACCCGGGATTCCACAAAGTTTCTTCAGATTTCCTCAAATCTCCCAAGATTTCACTAGATCTCCCTAATTTTTCAGGAATTTCATAGAAGAATACCAGCACAAGTACACATCCAAAACACAACTCCAAAGGTCTTCTCCTTCTCAACACATGTGTATTTTCTTTTGATTTATTACTTTCTTGACAATATCTTCTGGTTCCTATTGATAATCATCATCCACTCCTTTGCTTTGACCTGCCTATGCTGCAATCATGTTACACGTCTGTTTGTCTTAGAGCCGATTGCTATTACTATACTATACTGGATACAAACAAAGCAATGGGTCCGGATGGCATTCCCGCAATAGTACTCAAAAATTGCGCCAACGAACTCACCCCAACTTTCGCAAAATTATTCAATTTGTCTTACAGGCAAGGAGTATATCCATCATCATGGAAGTCTGCCGCAGTACAACCCATTCCAAAGAAAGGAAAAAAGACAGATCCGTTAAACTATAGACCAATTGCTCTACTTCCGGTGATATCAAAAGTAATGGAAAGAGTTGTGAACAATCACCTAACCAAGTACTTGGAAAAGTACAAAATTATCAACGATAAGCAATACGGATTTCGAAAATATAGGTCAACTGGCGATTTACTTACATACGTCACTCACTTATGGCAAAAAGCGATTGAGTTGCGGGGTGAAACAAGAACAATTGCCTTAGATATATCTAAAGCATTCGACAAAGTTTGGCATGAAAATCTGCTCAACAAGCTCAAAGCAATGGGATTATCGCCGAAACTTTGCACTTGGTTTGAAAGTTACCTAAAGGACAGATCCATTTATGTTGCACTGGATGGCCAGAACTCCAACTCTTACCAAATAAATGCTGGTGTGCCACAGGGAGCAATCCTTTCGCCAACTCTTTTCCTGATTTACATAAATGACCTCATAGATAAAACAGTAAATCCACTTTATTGCTTTGCAGACGATGGCAATGTAGTCTCCTCACTCATACCACCCACAGGTCTTTCCGCACGTGAATTCCATCATCTTAGACTAACTCAAATATCGCAGATAAATAACGACCTGGAGATAATAGAGGACTGGGGTAACAAAAACCTTGTACAGTTCAACGCGCAGAAAACCCAAGCAGCTCTGTTTTCAAAAAAGACCAGCACCGGTGAGCCAAACATCATGCTATCTGGAAGTGCTGTCACATTACAGAGTCAGTTGAACATCTTGGGGGTTACTGCAGAGACCAACATGTCTTGGCACAGTCACGTGGCAGATATTGCTAAAAGGGCCTCCCAAAAGCTGGGGGTGCTATTTCGTACAAGACATCTGTACACACCAAGCCAATTGCTGACACTCTACAAAGCCCAGATTCGACCAACTATGGAGTACTGCTCACATATATGGAGTGCAGCACCCAAACATACCTTAATGCTTTTGAATACCGTGCAAAAACGAGCTATCAAGCTGATCAATGACCCCGCACTTACTCGTAACTTGGATGGTCTCGAACATCGCAGAACGGTGGGCGATTTATCTCTCTTCTACAGGTACTATCACGGAAAATGCTCTGAAGAGTTGGCACGTATGATTCCACCGAGAGTAGCACCTACCAGGCGAACCCGTCAAACAGACGGTAACCATGAATTTACTGTCAAACTAGAGGCACCAAGAACCTCATTATATCAGAATTCATATCTCTGGAGAACAGCATCGCTGTGGAATAAACTCCCTGCGACGGTTTTCCCTGCAGGTTACAACCTGAACCGTTTCAAGACCAACATACACCGACATTTCCGCGCACTTGCCGCTTCTCGAGCGTGATAGGACATTTCCTTGCGAGTGCGCATATCCGTAAAAAAAAAAAAAAAAAAAAAAAAAAAACTATGATTTTAAATCTGCAGAATTTGTATCACTCAAGGTATCACTTAGGTGCTTTCTGTTGGGATAATTTGTTATCCAATCTGGATGTTAAACACCAAGGGATAAACCACCATCCCAGAATTGGTGCAAACAATTCCTCAAAGCGGATTTTTTTACGCATCATTCCTCAAAATTCCTGCAAATTCCTCCAGATACCCCATCACAAATTCCTCCAAATACCCCACCACGAACTTCTCCAAATACCCCACAAATTCCTCTAAAAAAAAGGGAAAATTTCGAAACTTTTTGCATGTAAAGAGGAAAGTGAGAAGATCATTTTTCCAAAATTTAAAATTTTCCCAGTGGAAAATAACAACATGAGGAATATTGGAAATCAACCTACAATAACTGAATTAATTGAAAATACAGTCTCACATATTTCAAAGTTTTCCTGGAAGACTAGAGAAGGGAAAATTTTGAAACTTTTTGCATGTAAAGAGGAAGATGAGAAGCTCATTTTCCCAAAATTTCAAAATTTTCCAGTGGAAAACAGCAACATGAAAAATCTTGAAAATCAACCTACAAAAACTGAATTAGTTGAAAATACAGTCTCACACATTTCAAAGTTTTCCGGGAAAACTAGTAAAGGGAAAATTTTAAATTTTTTTGCATGTAAAGATGAAGGTGAGAAGCTTATTTTCCCAAAATTTCAAATTTTTCTAGTAGAAAATTACAACATGAGGAATCTTGGAAATCAACCTACAATAACTAAATTAATTGAAAATACAGTATCACATATTTCAAAGTTTTCCTGGAAAACTAATGAAGGGAAAATTTTGAAACTTTTTGCATGTAAAGAGGAAGGTGAGAAGCTCCATTTTCCCAAAATTTCAAATTTTTCCAGTAGAAAATTACATGAGGAATCTTGGAAATCAACCTACAATAACTGAATTATTTGAAAATACAGCCTCACACATTTCATAGTTTTCCTGAAAAACTAGAGAAGGGAAAATTTTAAAACTTTTTGCATGTAAAGAGAAAGGTGAAAGGCTAATTTTCCCAAAATTTCAAATTTTTCCAGTGGAAAATAACAGCATGAGGAATATTGAAAATCAACCTACAATAACTGAATTAATTGAAAATACAGTCTCACACATCCCAAAATTTTCCTGAAAAACTAATGTGGTGAGAAGCTCATTCTCCCAAAATTACAAATTTTTCCAGTGGAAAATAACAACATGAGGAATATTGGAAATCAACCTACAATAACTGAATTAATTGAAAATACAGTCTCACACATTTCAAAATTTTCCTGGAAAACTAGTCAAGGGAAAATTTTGAAATTTTTTGCATGTAAAGAGGAAGGTGAGAAGCTCATTTTCCTAAAATTTCAAATTTTTTCAGTGGAAAATAACAATATGAAAAATCTTGGAAATCAGCCTTCAAAAACTTAATTAGTTGAAAATACAGTCTCACATATTCCAAAGTTTTCCTAGAAAATTAGTGAAGGGAAAATTTTGAAACTTTTTACATGTAAAGAGGAAGGTGAAAAGATCATTTTCCCAAAATGTCAAATTTTTCCAATGGAAAACAGCAGCATGAAAAATATTGGAAGTCAACCTACAAAAACAGAATTAGTTGAAAATACAGTCTCACACATGTCAAAGTTTTCCTGGAAAACTAGTGAAGAGAAAATTTTGAAACTTTTTCCATGTAAAGAGGAAGGTGAGAAGCTTATTTTCCCAAAATTTCAAATTTTTCTAGTAGAAAATTGCAACATGAGGAATCTTGGAAATCAACCTACAATAACTAAATTAATTGAAAATACAGTATCACATATTTCAAAGTTTTCCTGGAAAACTAATGAAGGGAAAATTTTGAAACTTTTTGCATGTGAAGAGGAAGGTGAGAAGCTCATTTTCCTAAAATTTCAAATTTTTCCAGTAGAAAATTACAACATGAGGAATCTTGGAAATCAACCTACAATTACTGAATTAATTGAAAATACAGTCTCATACATTTCAAAATTTTTCTGGAAAACCAGAGAAGGGGAAATTTTGAAACTTTTTGCATATAAAGAGAAAAGTGAAAGGCTCATTTTCCCAAAATTTCAAATTTTTCCAGTGGAAAACAACAACATGAAAAATCTCGGAAATCAGCCTACAAAAACTGTAATCCTTATTCTTTTGAATTTTTCAAATTTGGACCTGTAAATCATGTAGTGTAATTTTCTAAGGATTTCTTTAATAAAAATGAATATCCAGCGTCCAACACAAAACTAGATTTCTTGACCCTACAATTTCCTTTAAATTCCTCACAAATTCTCCCAAATTCCCCATAAGTTCCTCCAAATTCCCTATAAATTCTCCAAATTCTCATAAAATTCGATGAGTTCCTTCAAATTCCCCACAAGTTCCTTTAAATTTCCCACAAATTGCTCTAAATTCCTCACATTTTTGGCAAAGAATTCCTAGGTGGTTTGCCCCATGTTAAACACATTTTATGATTGTATATACCTAGTTACTTTGATCTATTTGTTCCAGTCAAAAAGGTTGTTTCCTAAGTGGTTCAGTCAGGATCGAGGTCAGGATGTTATAAGCCTAACAATACAAAAGAAGATTGCCCATAAAAATTACAGAAACAGTAAATCCGCTCATGACTATAAAGTTTATGCCAACCTGAGATCACAGTGTGCAGTCCTTTCCTCAGAATGTTATAGGAGTTTTGTCCAAAACACTGAAAATCACCTTTCTACCAATTCAAAACCATTTTGAAATTTCTGAAATTTCGATTCATAAATCCTGAAAGTTTCAAGCCACTGTGATCATTAGAAATATTTTGCACAAGTGATTTTTGCAGATTTCAATCATTTTTGCATACATTAATGTAACTTGAATCCTCACAAGGGTCCAGGTCCTGATAATATTCATCCTGTCTTTCTTAAAAACTATCCCTTTATTCTCGCTAGGCCCCTACACATTATGTTTAACAAATCTTTGGAAAGTGGATCTTTTCCCAAATTCTGGAAAACAAGGTATGTCGTCCCAATACGTAAATCTAACATAAAAAATTACCGGCCCATTTGCATCATCATCAATACCATCCCTAAAATTTTTGAAAACCTTGTAACAAGTATCTAAGCTCACTATTGCCTCCATTAACCAGCAGTTTGCCTTGTGTGTGAGTAGAAATACTGAACCTAATCTCCTCACCAATTCTCAGGTTGTATTGCAGGCCTTGGAGAGTGAAGCAGAGGTCCATTTCGACTACACAGTCTTCCATAAGGTTTCATGGGCAAGTTTTGTTCTATTATAGACATTAAATTGGCATATTTGGCAGGTTCCAGTCGTCCTCGTCCCTACATCGTTTTTACAATCCCAAATCGTGGTCTGTTTCAATTTAAGAGACTCCCATTCGGGTTACATAATACCCCTGCTACTTGGCAAAGACTCGTTGATAATGTTCTTGGAGTTGATCTTGAGCCATATGTTTTCGTGTATCTAGATGATACAGTGGATTTCGAGACGCACTTGAAGGTCCTGGAGGAGGTGTTTCGTAGGCTACATCAGGCCAATTTCATTGTGGGTCGAGCGAAGTGTCAATTTTGTAAGCCTAGTCTAAAGTATTTTGGTTATGTAGTCTCTCGCCAAGGATTACACGTCTACCCCAATAAGGTTAGGGCCATGTTTGACGTCCCCGTTCCCACTAGTGTGACTGAGGTTAGGAGGATAGACAAACTTAAAACGATGGGTATAAATGAACCCTTACTCTGCTAGCTGGACAGCTACGTTTCGAATAGGATTCAAATTGTAAAAATTAACAATTTCTTGTCTAACGAAATTCCTGTGCCGTCTGGGGTTCAGCAGGACTCCCACATTCTTATTATATTAATATCTTCATCAATGATGTTGCACCCTGCTTTCAGTCTTCGGAGTTCCTTCTGTTTTGGACTGCATTGCTTTGAAGGAGGATATCCATAGATTTGTAGCTTAGTGTCGTGATAAGGGTATGCATGGTAATACCTCTAAGTGCAATCTCATGATAAAAATTTGAAATTTTGGGAAAATGAGCTTTTCACCTTCCTCTTTACATGCAAAAAGTTTCAAAATTTTCCCTTTACTAGTTTTTCAGGAAAACTTTGAAATATGTGAGACTGTATTTTCAACTAATTTAGTTTTTGTAGGTTAATTTCCAAGATTCTTCATGTTGCTATTTTCAACTGGAAAAAAATTAAATTTCGGGAAAATGAGCCTCTAAGCTTCTTCTTTACATGCAAAAATTTTCAAATTTTTCCTTTCACTAGTTTTCCAAGAAAACTTTGAAATGTGTGAGACTGTATCCTAGAAAGGTTTAGGTTAGTTTAAACCTCTGCATTCTGGATTACCGAAAATCAATCATTAGTTCTAGCTCTAAAGTCAACTAACGAAACCTTGCATTTGATCCTTATCTCGATACTATGTGGAGGAATTTGCGGGAATTTGGAGGAATTTGCAAAGAATTTAGAGGAATTTGTGGGGTATTTGGAGAAGTTCGTGGTAAGGGTATTTGGAGGAATTCGTGATGGGGTATCTGGAGGAATTTTGAGGAATTATGTGTGAAAAATTCCCCTTTGAGGAATTGTTTGCACCAATTCTGGGATGGTTGTTTACCCCTCCAGAAAAGTTAAACAGGTTTTGGACAAAACTCACCCTAAAAGTGACAAGCTTGAAACAAATTGAAGGCCGGAAAGCGCAAACAAAAATCAAACACCTTCGATTAGACTTTGTTACTAGATATCTTGAAGCAACGTTAGGAGCATGACTTGGAACATGAAGAAAAACAAGGAAATCACAAATACTGATGTACTAGACGATTACAGGTTGCCCAAATTGAAAAAACCCAAGAAGATGTCTAATGGTAAAGGGGCAGTGGAGCTTTTTCCCAACGATTCTAAAGACGACGAAACCAATTTGAACGCGAAACGCAAAAGGGAAGGTAAAAATATTAAGAAAAGGTGCCAAGTTGTGGAAGAATAATGAGGAAGTTGTGAAAATATAGTAGAAGAAAAAAGTTTTAATCCTGTACCATCTGTATTGTACCAAGCTGTTTGAAATAGGTAGGTACCTCTACATACAGATAATATTTTGGGATTTCATATTGTTGTCTTCTAGAAGCTCTATTAAAACTTCTTCTACAAAAATTCCGATTGTATTTAGGTACAGTGTGTTCCATGTACCAAAACTGATTTTTATTTGACCCAAAAGTCCACCACATACCAACTTGCTGCTTGTGAAACATTTTAGCAGCCCATTTATTTCTTCTGGAGTTATTTTCTGGCAAGTGAAATAGCCATAATATACTGTAAGTATGTTGGTAACACAGTGAAACGATGACCAGAAAAGTGTTGAACCTAAAGAATTTCTATACTGCTTGCAGAATTCTTACCTATGAGCTAAATGATTAAATTTCAAACATAAAAGTACCATTCTGGTTTACTGAGATTTAGCAAGACCTTGAATAAGTAATTCTCAGTAATAAAAGTAGAAAGTAATTGAAATTATTGACACCTTGACTCTTTGTCCATTGACAAAAAACTCTCAACAGGAAATTGTAAACTTCATTATCAGTATTATTTGCCCTAATAAACTCTTGTTTTCTTCTTTTTTTTTAAATGAAAACAGGTCAACAATCAATTAATATTAACAATAAGTATTTGTAAACTTACAGGAGTCATTCCTCTCCATAATCCTCTAATACGCTCTTGTTGTACGATGTTGCTGAAAATGCTTAGCATGCTGATAGCTCCATGTCGTCCACTATAATAAAAACAAAAAAATATTAGAAATGCCTGTTTAAACAAAACAACATTGCAATGACATACTTAACAAATGTGGTCGGTGTATTTTGCAACCTCGTTTTAACCAAATCCAATGGCTGGAATAAAACGGTGGAAAATGTTCCAGAGAATGAACCAGCTAGGAAGGCTTTTACTACAGGATACTGCAACAAAAATAATTTAGTTAATAATCGAAAAATTAGCCCTTTGACGTCAAAGAAAACTCTAAGTATTGTTTATTCACAATCTGTAGTCCAAAGGTACAGGTAAAATTTATTACCTTTCAATGCTATTTGATAGGGAAAGGTGATAAATTTACCTGTACCTTTGGACTACAAATTGTGAATAGGATTTAGTACTTACACTGCTAACAATATCCATGACTAGATATAAACTTTTAAAAAATAAACTTTTTGTATGGAAGTTGCAAAGTCGATTTGCTCAACACACAATTATTGTATCGGAATAGTCTGAATAGTAGATGGGGTTTACACGGAATTTATTAGAGATGCTCATTTTTTCCACATGCGAGTATGAAATCATTTGAACTATAACTACTACAATAATGATTAGAAAAATTTGAAAAACTAGAACCCGGTTTTATACTAGGAAGTAGGCACACCAATATTTTACTTGCTATATCAATTTAAAATAAAAGTTCACGGTTTATACTAAGATGTAAGTACACTCTGGGGTACACTAATATTTTACTTGCTGTATCAATTTAAAATAAAAGTTGTTAGCACGACAACGTCCACAACAAAATTACTGTTTTCTCAAGATACTGTTTAACCTTTTATATCAATTTTCACAAGGCAACCGATAACGACATATAATTTAATGCTAGCAAGACCCTCTCTTATCAGTAAAGGATATTAATTATTCAAATCCATATCGACCTTATTGACCTACACTAATTAAAAATCTATTTATGAAATGTTCCACTTACATTTGCCAAATATTCTTTTTTCTGGGGGGTCACTAATTGACCCCCCAGCACTACCGGGGGCTGTTCTACTTCTTCGACATGGTCTAGCACGTACATTTTGTGCGAAATCTTATCGTACTTTTCGTTGTCATCGTTGTTTATCGCTTATTTACCTGAGTTTTTGAAATTGCGTATTTTCTTTTGCCAAAATTTTACTTGTAAAATACATAACCTCAACCTTTACCCTTTACCTGTAATCAGCTGATTGTCAAAATTTTCTAGAGAAGAGGGTTTATCGGTAGGAATTTGTCATATCGATATTATATCGATAAGAATCTTGCAAAAGTGATTAGAAAAATTATACGTAAAATAAAAATATTCATTTGATACTTTAGTATTTTACATAAGTACTTTCATAAGGAGAGTACCTCCAAAAAAAAAAAAAATCAATATAATTTTAAAAAGTACTTGTAGGTACTGGTAAGGTCCGTTTCACCAGGGTTCATACTTGTCCTTTTGAAACTTGAAAAAAAAGGGTTGTCGTAGATTGATTCATATGACACATGCAATTTTTTTGACAAATTAAAATGAATGACTTTTGGTTAAGAACCGACAAACGTTTTTCACGTCATTGATTTATTTCAGTCAATTTTTATTTGTTAAACAAGGAAGGTAAATGCTGGTGGCAAGTACAAACCCTGGGCGAAACAAACTTTACCTGCTTAAATTTGACCATTTATTTCAAGTAGGTACCTATATATACTTACTAGGGACTTAGTACTACCTACTCAAAAATGTATTGGAAATTTGAATCTGCTTGAAAAGTAGTTTCCAAAAGTAGGTACTTGATCTATTTTTTTTAAATACCTAAATACCTACTTATTTATTGTTCAGTATTTCACTTAAATTATGAAGGTACTCTTAGTAGGTTGGTACCTACTTAATACTTATCTGGTTTAAGTATTTTCTAGAAAATAATGCTCCGTAAATCTAAAAAAACTGATAATGGGTTGCTACGTATAAGTGTTGTTTTGCAATTATGTATTTAACTCAGTTTTGAGTGCAACCGAATTTTCGCGACGAATGTAGTTCATCAATAGTTCACTATAGTTCGTCTTGTGACGTCATGAGTTCGAATGCTGGCTAGAAGCTCCGTCCATGCTTTTGGCGAACTACGTCAATATGACGTCATAAGTTTCTCGCGAAAGCGTTTGTGTTTATGAAATCATGGAAGTAGCTCGTCACGAAAATTCGGTTTATGTCTTTCCCAGACACAAATCCTAAAGACGTCTTTCTCAGGTCTGCATTATGTCTGAGTCTGAACGTCTGAAGACCATAAAAAGACGTTGACAGAAGACGTTGTTTTTATTTATTCATTTATAATTTCTTCGGGATATACAACATGAATAAGGTGTCGTAAATTCACATTTTAAAGACAAACTATGTATTTGGTACAACCAGGCCTAAAGGTGAATAATGGTAAAATTAATAAGAGATTCAAAGACGTCTTTAAGACATGTCGTTGAAGACGTCTTTAGAATGTCTTAGTCGTGAAGACGTCTTTAGGCAGACGTCTGAAAGACGTTGGGTTTTGTAACATACGACGTCTTCAAGATGTCTTTAAGACGCCTTAAAGACGTAAGGAAGCAACACGTCTTGAATGTCGTTAAATATGGACATCTTAAGGACGTGTTTGAGATGTCTACAAAAATTTCCCACAGAATTCATTTCTCGATCAATCTAGAAGTTACTAAGAACCATTAGAATGCAACAGAACACTTTAGAACTTTGATAAGCTTTTTTGGAAAGTTCAAAACACTTAAAATTCAATTCATAATTTCCAAAAGCATTCTGTATTGCTTCAGAACATTTTGGAAATTTCATAACTATTTTAGAATGCCCCAAATCATTTAGAAAACGATTTACAATTTCCAAAAGCATTTAAGAACAATTCAGAACTCAGAAACCCATTTTTAGGACACTCCAGGTCACTCAAACATTCTAGAATCCCAAGAAATATTTTGAAAAGCACCAGAATCATAGGATTCAGGTTAAAAAGTTAAAAAAACGCCTTTTAGACTTTTAAGAGCGAATTTAGATTGCTTTCAGATCTTTAATAAGCACCCAAAACAATTCAGATCCAAATCAGAATTTTCAGCCGGTAATAGTTCAAATTTTGATTATCTGTGACTCTTGATCCATTGGATAATTTTTCTAAAGCCAATCAGAAGTTGCGGAAAAAGAAATCTTGATTAATATCAACTTAAGAGCTGTTAATGATCTTTCGAAATTTTGATTATTATCGGCGCTTGAGCTATGCCCTCAGAAAAAATTCTCTTGCGAATCCAGAGTTGATAAAAGTTCCAATTTTGACTATAACCGGCTCTTGATTGGCTCTAGAAAGGTTTTCCAAAGAATCAAGAGCCGGTTTTCAGGAGCATTTTGGAACAATTTAAAAACTTCAAAGTTATTTTAGAACAATTAAAGGATTCAATTTCGAACTGGAAACCTTTTAGAACTCTTTTGAACCAATTAAAACACTTTGGAGCTTCAGGGCTCTTAAATACTTAAAAATCTCTCAGAACAATAATTTAGAAATTTCTGAAAAACTTTTAGAATGCTCCAGAACTCTTCAAGCCAAGCTAAAACACTTTAGAACTTCAATGAACAATTTAGAACGTTCCAAAACACTTTCCAGCAACATTCTGAATGGCTCATCAGAGAACAGTCTAGCGCCTGGAATAGACAAAAATTGAAAGTTATAAAATGAAGTGATAAGTAATAATAATGAAATATTAGTCCTGAAGACGTCATTAGGCAGGTCTGAAACACAGAACATGTCTGAAAGAAGTTGAATTTTCTAACATACAACGTCTTCAAAATGTCTTCAAGACGCCTTGAAGACGTATAAGCATACATACATGTAAAAGACGTCTTGAATGTCGTTTGTGGCCATCTTAGGGATGTCTTTAATTATGTCTGTGCTGTCCTTATTAGACCTTTGCGGATAGGTTTTTCTCAGAGAATAATATTGATATGATTGCCGCAGGTAGGTAGGTATATTCTGATGAGCAATCGCTCCTTTTTGAATGGGAAAAATCGGGTGTCCCATTTTTAATGCGCGTGACTGTACTCGCTACTTGAAAATCTAAATCTACTGAAAATTTGAATTTACTTCAAAAGTACCTATAGTTTCCAAAAGTACCTACTTGAAGTATTTAAAATATTTTATTAAGTACTCACTAAAGGGAAAAAATCGAGAACTGATAATGGTTGCTAATTGAGAAGTGTTGCTATACAGGTTAATAATTGGCACTTTATCGCTCAATTTTGTATGTAGTTATGCAAAACATTACTGTAAAAAATGCGACAAACTGTGATTAAATGGGTACTTTAACTAGGTACCTACATAAAAAATTGTTTCTGAGTGTATTGTCCGTCGATTTTAATCTGATACTCGGACGGAATGTGAGTGTCAGTGTACATTTTTGAAAGAATCATACCTACATAATAAAATTAGTTAGCACGTGCAGGGAGTAATAGGTAATTATTCAACAGCAACGTGGTTTTTGTAAAAATAAGTCAACTGTCACTAATCTGAGTATTTTTTCTGAATATATAAGCAGTCACCTGAAGATTGGATCTCAGACAGATGTTGTGTATACTGATCTAGCGAAAGCCTTTGACAAGGCTGTGCTTGTCAGAAAATTTGAATCCTTTGGTTTTGATTAACTCTATGCAGATGATTTGAAAATGTACAGTTCAAAATGAAACAGACTGTCAACTCTTACAAAGAGATAATGCTATTGTATCATACTGATGTGTCAACAAATGACCTGAAATTAAATATTAGTAAATGTAAATGTTTACCTAAGCATTTTTAGAAATAAGAGTCCTATTCTAACCAGGGCCGCAGCCAGGGGGGGGGGGCATTGGGAGGCAATGCCCTATCTTTTAAATGATAATGCCCTACCTTTAAAAATCAACATACATTAAGGTTTCTTTAGAAAATTTAAGAGTAGATGATGCCTGAAGTAGATAGGCCTGAAATCGAGTAAGCAAGGATGAATGTTTCCGAAAATGCCTAAATCTAATGAACAATGGTTGACGTTTGCACAGAGGAAGTTTTTTTTTTTTTTGAAATAGTGCGAATGGCCCAGGCGGCCGGCACGAAAATCCGCGCCATTTTGTTTACTTGTCAGAGATGTTATTTATTGCAAGGTTGTTTGATAGAGGCGAGAGAGGTAGGATGCCTCCTGACCTGGTAACTTTATGACGTCATCTGGGGTGCCTCCAACATAATGCAAATCTCTATAAGGTATCCCAGATCAGATGCCTCATCAAGTTACCCATTACCATACTTCACCATACCTTATACATACCTTGATGCGTCATTAAGTTACCCATTACCATACAACGTTGGACAGAGTTCAGGCGATATCTGATCTAGGAATACTCTGTTCTCTGAGGGTTTATCGTTTGGTGGACACATTAATACTTTGTATGCAGATGGGATGAGGAAGCTAGATTTCATTCTGCGCTCCTGTGCAGACTTCAAAACCCCAAAGACACACACTAGGTACTGTTTAATGCATATGTAAGATCAAAACTGGAACATGCCAGTATAATAAATATGGAACCCTACAACAATGTATCACAAAGACATGCTAGAGAGAATTCAAGAAAAGTTTCTGAGGTTTATGTTTTTTAAGAAACATGGATTTTATCCTTGTTATCCTCATCTCATCTCGTATAAATCTTAACTTGATGAATTTGGTGTTGTGGAATTTAAGATGCGTAGAGAGTTTATTATTGATGTGTTGTTGCTAAATTAAATAAATAAAATAAAATAAATAAAATTCTTTATTATTATTATTATTTATATTTATATCAAATTGAGGCCAATCAAATATTCTACAATTTTCTAATTGATAGTTTTGGTTTTAATGTATTTTGTAGCTTCAAATTAACCTCCGAAACCTGATACACCTAGGAACATGGAGGAACATGGCCTTCTTCGAACTCGAAAAATAAACATACTGGAATAAAAGGTTTGCAGAGAAAACCTCAGTGCAGTGTGCGGAATCTCAGAAATACATAATTGGAAATGCATGCGGGCATTTCGCTACAGCTGATCATATTTGTTTACTTATCAGGGGCCAATGAAGGAAGAAATAATGTGGCATTTTTGATTACCAAAAAGTACACGAAGTATGTGGAGAGTTACAAGCCTATGAGCGATCGAATAATTATAATATCATTTAACTTTAGACCCACTAAACTTCAAAGGTATATCTGCCAACTACAGACCACGAGAATTGGAAGCGGAATATGAAAAACTAGAAAGAGTTATATATATACCACATTTTGCAAAACGACATCGTAATTGTTACTCGAGATTTGAATGCCAAATGACCAAATAAGAAAAGTTTTAGGGAAATATGGATTTGGCGATAAAAATCAAGAAGAGGAGACTTATTCAGTTTTGGACAGAAAATCAAATAGCCATCACAAATACAATATTTAGACATCAACCAGATTATACACTGCGTTGGCGGACATCAATAATTACCAACACCTGCGATTGACTGGGTGCAATATGTGGTTCTAATTCTGGTCATAATCTTTTAAAGTCTTATTGCCTTGTCATAAAACTGGAGACAATGAATCTTTCCAAGCCTAGTCAAAGACTGCCTATTGGCGACAAAAGAGTTTTTCAAGAAAAACTGCAAACTACTGGTCCACCGCCGATTGGGGAGAGATTCAATATTCAATGGAGATTCATGGATCGTGTCTGGTATATAAACGAAACTCTTACGCCAAACCAATGAAGGAGAAGCACTGGACTGGATGACGGAATTGATATATTTTCGAAGACAGCAATTCCTCTCAAAAGTAACTACTCCTACTCCTGAAAATAAGAAAACTCTCGAAAAAGGAATTAAAAGGGCGTGTATGAACGACAAAAATGTTGCAAGAACATGCAAACCGCAACATCTCACGAATTCTACGATAAAGTTAAATATCTGTTTAGGGAATTTAAGCCAGAGTGGCAAATAATCAGAAATAACAACAGAGTGGTTACCATTACAAGTGTCAGCAACATATATGGAGACACATAAAGAGCCTCATATTCTAAAACTTGAAAAGCCATTAGCTCTTTAAAAAACAATAAATAACCGGGTGAAGATGGCATACTTGCTGAAACAATTAAAGCTATGGGCGCACTTGGTACTGACACAATACACAAACTATGTGATATGATATAGCCAAAAGAATGGTGTGAATCGGTGTATATGCATTACACAAGAAAGGTTCTCTTCTCCTACAGATTGTAGCAACTAGAACAATAGCGCTTATGTGTCGCATGCAAGTAAAATTCTGCTATTCTGCTCCATATAATAAAGAACCGGCTAAAACCTTCCCTGCTTCGACAAATTCCTGACAAACCAACAGGTAAGGGAACAATAATACTAAATGTCAGACAACTTATCGAGGAAGCATATGCCTTCAATGTCAAAACTTATTTGTGCTTCGTCGACTACAGTAATTCTTTGGAGAGTATATACAATGGGAAAAGTTTTAGAAGGTTGGCGAGGCGAGGGGGACTAACGATAGGAGAAAAACCTCAGATATGCTGACGACACCTTAATTCTAGCGTGCTCAGAAGAATTCAAATAATAAGACAATTGGACAGGATCAGCAGAGAACATATGAAAAGAAGACGCAAATTATGATAGTAGGAGGATGTGACGAAAAAATAAAACTCAGACTGTCAATTGCACGTAATTCGACAACAAAATTATCTCGACTATGGAAAGACACTCTGCAATATCCCAAAGCAATAAACTAAAACTACTGAGTACCTCGATCTTTCCCATTGCCACATATACCTACCTTTGAGAACTGGACTTTAAAAACCTTGTAACCGAAAAAAAATATATGCTTTTGAAATGTGGGCCGCCTACAGAAGAATGCTTCGAATTTCTTACACAAAACATCGTACCAACGTATCAATTCATAAGCAGCTGAAAGTCACTTGGACTTTCAATCAAAATAAACTAGTCATACCTGAGGTATGACTATCCAATGAAGAATGGAATTCTAAATCTGTCTCATGTGTATATGATATCACGCCTAATATTTACAACAGATAACGAAAGTCCATAGAATGTAATTATAAAAAAAATTATTGATATCAACGTGCAAACAACAAGATCATCAAGTCAACAGGGGGTCCGATAACTTATAAATTCCAAGATCACAAGTTCAAGCAATATTGTTGCTATCGGGCTGGCGGTTACAGAATTAAGGTCGTTATAGGGGCTAATTAAAATCAAGAAAAAAATATGACGACCAAAGGCGATATCATGTAAGCAGTTTACTGCAAAATCCAGACATGGTAAATAAATAATATTTGAGTCAATTACCTGCAATTCCATTATATCCAACTATAATCTCAACAAATTAGGATTGAACTTGAACACTCTCACTACAAGACTAAAATTCTATATCCTAAATTTTACTTAAATTGGCAATCTGCTGAGAAAAATTCACATATATTCTCCTTGAGGCAAGTACTTCCACCTCTAGTTACTAACTTAACAGTAGTTTTAGCCATGGGAAATTAACTGCAAGATAGAAAGTCAAGCATTTACGTATAAAATCTCTCTGCTGGGGGCATAATAAAAGTTCTCCAGGGGTCAATAATAATAATAAATTATTATTTATATTTGCCTTATCAACATACGATTGTTTGCTAAAGATGAATGTATTTCAAAATAGCTAATAGGAGTCATACGAAATGGAAAATAACTGGATAAGATTTTGTTGTTTCAAAGAAATAAGAATGATGACGTCAAAATTTATTACGAAGTTTGTGAAGAAATTTAGCGAATAAGACTTTTATATTTTCATACTTTGTAATAGTCAGAACATTCAAAAAACGAATCAAACTTGAAAGCACTAAATATTTGATGGAATGGTATGAAAGATCTTTGGTCTTAGAACATGAATGCTATGGTTTCATCAGTCCAAGCCCTCTTTATTCCATTTCCCCCTGTTTTCAATGAAAATTAACCACAATTCTTCCCTATTTTCTTAGCATTTCCTTTACCAGTAGGCTGAGGTGGAGCTTTGAGGTTCAAAAAATTTACTTTGTGGTGCTTTTTCTTCTTTTGCCAATGGTTCAAAGTCAGAGACAGCACGAATTATGGGAACTGATGGGCATCCTGAAGCTAATTTGGCTGTATGTACCTCAGAGATCGATAGCAAGAAAGTGGAGCTTCAAATGACTTGAATGGTTCTTCTGAAGCTCATTCAGATCTTACTATACCACCATAATTACTATTACGGTGGATTAATTATCACCTGATCATTGGACAGGTCCATTGAATAAATACCAACAAAAAACTATTCAAGTAAACATCAAAGTGACAATATGGTTTATCAAAAAAGAAAATCGGTCACTGAAGGATCAACGGGTATTTCCTCATTATTCGATAATTCCTATAAAAAGAAATATCCAATTTCAGATAGTGGATATTATACGCCCTGCCACAGCTACAATACCCGATTGTCTTCAGGTGAAAACATTTAATTCGACAAAAATCCCTTTAACTTATTTTTCATTTAGCAATATCTCTTCGGATCAAATCAAATCTTCAAGATAATGATGACGCTTATCTGCTAGACGAAAATTTCGATCCAATTTCAGAGAGCAATTCATTTTATCTTGACAATTCTTCAAAAAGTTTGCTCGAATACAATTTTGATTACACATCAATAATGGACTGTTTTGATGGTCCTGTCCTTCCATGTCCTGGTATGAACGAAAGACGTAAATGGCTGAAAATTTTTGGTATTGTCCTAGTTATTAGTAAGTAAACAAAGATCCTTTATTTTATTTAATTTTTATTTCTAAATATTGAAGCTGTTATTAGTTGGTATGTAAATTATGTAAGAATGACGTTGAACAAATTGGAAGATGGACTAGAGTTATCTAATGTAAGTAAAAAAAAAATAAAAATTATACAATTTAGGTGCATAAAAAAATCTTCAGGGGCGAATTGGCGATATCGTAGATTCAAGGTTGGATGTTCTCAGTGCATTAAGCGAAATGAAGAGTCAACTTAACGATTTGAGGCAAAGTCAAGGTAAAATATTATTAGGTACAATATCAATAAGTACAGTTAGGTACACGGTCTTGCCCCATATATTGACTCCCCCCTGAAGAGAACCTCGTGGGACGCCCTGTATATTTCAAATCGGAAACTTCCCAACTATGAAGTGACTTCATATATATGACTTTTGTCCTCAGCCTTTAGACACTGAAGTCTCCAAAAGAGCCAGTCAAATAAATTTCAAGCCTTTCTAGTTTATATTCATTCATAAAATCTTTGGAAGTCTTTAGTAATAAGACTTAAGTATCTATTTCAAAGTACCTACTGTAGAGGTTATAGGAGTCTTCAGAATCCGTGTTCCGTGCTCTGATCAGAATTAATATTAATTTCTTGAAAGGCTTTAGTTATTATTTCAAATTTAAGCTCTAAAAGAGCCAGTCAAAGGAATTTTTAGCCTCTCCAGTTGATTCACAATCTACAGTTGTAAAGATCTTTAAAGTCTTTAGTCATAAGCTTTAAAAAGCTATCTCAAATTCTGTAGGGGCTCCCAGCAGTCTTCAGATTCCGTGTTCCGTATTCCAACTAAAATTTATATCAATAAGAACCTTTAGCCTTAAATCATCAGTGTCCAGATACTCTAGAATCATTGGAGAATATCAAATGATTTTCTGGTGTTATGTCTTTGGTCTTGAATCATGAGTTCTTTAAAGTCTTTCCATGGAAGTTTTATTGGAAATCAAGATAAAAATAATATTTTTAGCCAATTTCAAGCAGACAGTGAGAAAAGTGGTAGACCAAGAAATTACTAAAATCTACAGCGACAAAACTGGCAAAACCGATTTTGCGTTGGAGTCTGCAGGAGGCAGAGTGGTACACTTATCTCAAGGTACTGAAAATTACGTCCAACCGAAAAGCTCACTATTGGGTATTGGCATATCTTTGTGCGACGGTATGCACGGGCCAAGATCCATGATCCAGGTAGAGGCACTTTTATGTATAGTATTTCCAAACTCAATTGGAACAAGGTACTAACTGGTGGCTGACTGGTCACTGAAAATTTCCATAAGAAATGTACTGCCACTAGTCAGCCACCAGTTATGATTTATGTTCACATTGTTCCAATTGACTTTGGAAAAACTATAGTACGTGAACGACTTTCCTAATTTAGACTGGTACTTCGCCCGGGGAATGTTGGGCATTCAAAGGAACCAACGGAGGAGTCTTAATCAAACTATTGGGACCAATAAAAATCGACGCTGTCAGTCTGGAACATATTCCAAAAACTATTTCTCCTTCTGGTGATTCGACTACTGCACCTAAAGATTTTAGCGTATGGGTTAGTTTGACTTTACATTATTAAAAATATGTAATTCCAAAGCAATTTTCTATAGGGCATGAAATCGGTAACAGACAAAGGTTCTTTACTAGGTCAGTTTTCTTATAAGGTGGACGGTCCTCTGGTTCAAATATTTTCAACCACCCATAGTGTCAATGACGTTTATGATTTTGTTGAACTAAACATTCAATCTAATCACGGAAATGAAGATTTTACCTGTGTTTATAGGTAAATGTAACCCAATTTTGTTCGGGTACTGTGAGCTGAAACCTTTTATTTTTTTAGATTCAGAGTTCACGGAACCATGGACAAACCGAAAGACAAATAATACAACATTTTATTTATACTATTGTAATGTTTATTTTATGTTTCTATACATGTGTGTTTTAATACATTTATTTATTTTTTTTAAATAATAAAACCTATGATTGAAGGGTGTAAAAATATGGACGGCAGTAATTTTTAATGAGAAAACAAAGTGTTATTTAAAATGTGCTAAATAACTACCTACGAATTTTATTATTGCTTTGTATATGAAGTAACTGTATGCTTCATTAACTGTTATTTGAAAAAGTAGTAGGTGAGTATAGATGACACTATAATTTAATGGGAGACACTTTGTTCGAGATTTAGAAATAAGCCTTTTTTATGCACTTGATTTTTATTTTTAGTAACTTCAATAGCTAGAATTATTTGTATGCCTAAATCTACGAGGGTCCAAATGGACCAAACATAGGGCAATGCAATAATCTGGCATTGATACAAATTATCTAAAATACGTTCAAATTTTAATAGCCAGTCATCAAACGTGTGTGCCATGACGTTTAACTCATAAATCAAATCCACAAAAATAATAATAACAAGGCCAGAGCACGTAATTGAATTGGGTCCCAAAGTGACAGAATTATAATAAAATCATGATTTACGGCCGGCACGAGTGCGGTCTTTCTTTGAATTAGGTGCGTCCTCAGCATTCTTTCAAATCTGTTAACCCTGATAATCTAGGTGTGACATATACGGTTTCAAACAAATAATTATATTTCTTAGAAAAGAGGAAGGGTAATGAATGGACATGACCCGAAATCTTTGGGGGGATCGAAAAATATAAAAACGGTTTCGGAATCAGTTTAGCTTAGAGTTTTGAGTCTTTAATCTACAGTAAGTCAGTCCGAATAAAATTTGCGAAGAGTTTCTTTTATTTTGTTGCCTCGGGGAAATGCGCTTAGAGAAAGTAACAAAAAATCATGAAGGAAAGAACATTTAAATTCATTCAACATTATGTGCGAGCTCTAAATAGTCAAAAGAATTACATTTAGAATGTAAAAGGACGGAATGTAAGTACTCTAGTGACATGTTTATTTGACTTTATTAATGTTGAAATGAATATGAAGTAAGTTAATTAACAATGGAACATTATTGCAAATATGTTATTCTCTTGAGTGAAATGACTTTGAATATTTTTGCTTAGTAGGTATAGATAGAGGAATTTAATTCAAATTTTTGGTAATTGAATGAGTGCCTGTTGAGCGCGAATGTAATTTTTAACTGGAAGTTTTAATAATAAAACTATGTGATGAGAAATGGTTATTGTTTTGTCGAGTAAATGAATTTTGGTTAAAGATATTGTAACAGAAGTTAGATATTGAAGTACGGCTCTAGAAAAAGTTATTTAAGTACAAGACTTTTGATTGTAACATTTTATTATAGTAAATGCAACAATACGTTTATCTTCTTACTGCAATAATACCCTCATTATCCTTTTAACCATGAAATAAATCATAAAACGCCAAATTTAAAAACTTTTTTGAGCAGAGCTGGACCATCAGGGTATAATCACAAATTCTATTTATAATAGGTACCTAGACTATGGTTTGAACATAAACTCCCTAAAAATATACCCGAAAATAGCGTCATTGTAATGAATAACGCTAGTTATCATAGTCGGCAAGCAAAAATCATTCCCAATTCTAATAATACAAAAGAAGAAATTCAAAAGTTTATGATTGAAAATGACTTATATTTTGAAGAAAATTACAAAAAACTAGAACTGCTAAGTATTAAAAACTTTTTAAATAAATAAGGAATGCGAATGTGACAAACTTGCAGCCGAAAATGGACATACAGTGTTGCGTCTTCCTCCATACTATTGTGTATTTTACCCTATCGAGCTAATATGGCACCAATTGAAATCCAATATTAGGAGGAATAATATTTCTCCTACATTAAATGCATCTGTAGTAGAAATAATTGAAAACAAAGTAAAAAAAAAATCGGCAACAGAGTTAAATAATTCGTTAATTTCTATTGTGTTTCTTATCTTAAGAGTTATACAGTAGAACCCCGATTATCCAAGTCGCAATTATCCGAGGTCTGGATTAACCGAGCCAGTCTAAAGACCCAAAAATCCTAATTATCCGAAGTACGCACGTCTATACTCCATATTAATTGAATTTCTAGAATATACAGGGTGTTCTTTTATATATGTATTGACACCCCACCTACAGCCTTTACCTTCACTGGTAGAAGAAAGGTGTAGGTAAATACAGTACAGTTTTGACTGAAGTTTTAGAAACCATATTCAGAAATAAAATTTAAAAGTCAGAAATGTGAAATTTTGCATGCTTCCAGGTTTTTTCTGATGCCCTATATTTCATTCTATATTCTTGAAGAGTACAACTTTTGTATTTACACCTTTCATCTACTTGCAAAGGTGAAGGCTGTAGGTGGGGTGTCAACAGGGTTGGATGAACCCACCGGGATACCGGGAAATTCCCGGTGGGCCGATCTTTAGAGCAACAGGATCTTTATCAAAATACCTTCAAACCAAAATCTAAGATCAAACCATTGCTTTGGAGGCTCCATATCTCAAGGACTGTTCGAAATATTGAAATCAAGCCTATTTTATATTGTGAAAGAAAGCATCCAATTCTGATTCAGAATCATGAAGTTCAAATTCAAATTTATAGAGTAATAACTTCACGCAATCAAATTTCAACTTTAGGAGAGCCTGGAATGAGATTTCCACACTTTGGAGGCTCCATATCTCAAGAACTGTTCGAAATATTGAAATCAAACCTATTTTATATTGTGAAGCATTCAATTCTGATTCAGAAACATTAACTTCAAACTTGTAGCGTAATATCTTCTCTCAATCACATTTCAATTTTAGGAGAGCCTGGAATGGGATTTTCACACTTTGGAGATTCATATCTTAAGAACTGTTCAAAATATTGGAATCAAACCTATTTTATCTTGTGAAGTATTCAATTCTGATTCAGAATCATGAATTTTAAATTCAAATTTATAGAGTATTAACTTCTCCCAATCAAATTTTAACTAGGAGAGCCTGGAATGGGATTTCTACACTTTGGAGGCTCCATATCTCAAGAACTGTTCGAAATATTGGAATCAAACCTATTTTATCTTGTAAAGTATTCAATTCTGATTCAGAATCATGAACTTCAAATTCAAATTTATAGAGTATTAACTTCTCCCAATCAAATTTTAACTAGGAGAGCCTGGAATGGGATTTCTACACTTTGGAGGCTCCATAGTCCATATCTCAAGAACTGTTCAAAATATTGAAATTAAACCTGTTTTATCTTGTGAAGTATTCAATTCTGATTCAGAATCATCAATTAAAATTCAAATTTGAAGAGTAATGACTCCTGTCAATCGAATTTCAACTCTAGTAGTGCCTGGGATGGGATTTCCACACTTTGGAGGCTCATATCTTAAGAACTGCTCGAAATATTGAAATCAAACCTATTTTATCTTGTAAAGCATCCAATTCTGATTCAGAAACATGAACTTCAAATTCAAATTTATAAAGTGATAACTTTTCCCAATCAAATTTCAACTTTAGGAGAGCCTGGAATGGGATTTTCACACTTTGGAAGCTCATATCTCAAGAACTCTTCGAAATATTGAAATCAAACCAGTTTTATCTTGTGAAGCATCCAATTCTGCTTCGAAATCATGAAGTTCAAATTCAAATTTATAGAATAATAACTTCTCCCAATCAAATTTCAACTTCAGGAGAGCTTGGAATGGGATTTTCACAATTTGGAAGCTCATATCTCATGAACTGTTCGAAATATTGAAATTAAACCTATTTTATCTTGTAAAGCATACAATTCTTATTCAGAATCATCAACTTCAAATTCAAATTTGAAGAGTAATGACTTCTGCCGATCAAATTTCAACTGTAGTAATGCCTGGGATGGGATTTCCCCACTTTGGAGGCTCATATCTCAAGATCTGTTCGAAATCTTGAAATCAAACCTGTTTTATCTTGTGAAGCATCCAATTCTGATTCAGAATTATGAAGTTCAAATTCAAATTTATAGAATAATAACTTCTCCCAATCAAATTTCAACTTTAGGAGAGCCTGGGATGGGATTTTCACACTTTGGAAGCTCATATCTCAAGAACTGTTCGAAATATTGAAATCAAAACTGTTTTATCTTATGAAGCATCCAATTCTGATTCAGAATCATGAAGTTCAAATTCAAATTTATAGAATAATAACTTCTCCCAATCAAATTTCAACTTTAGGAGAGCCTGGAATGGGATTTTCACAATTTGGAGGCTCATATCTCAAGAACTGTTCGAAATATTGAAATTAAACCTGTCTTATCTTGTAAAGCATTCAATTCTTATTCAGAATCATCAACTTCAAATTCAAATTTATAGAGTATAATAACTTCTCCCAATCAAACTTCAACTTTAGGAGAGCCTGGAATGGGGTTTTCACACTTTGGAAGCTTATATCTCATGAACTGTTCGAAATATTGAAATCAATCCTGTTTTATCTTGTGAAGCATCCAATTCTGATTCAGAATCATGAAGTTCAAACTCAAATTTATAGAATAATAACTTCTCCCAATCAAATTTCAACTTTAGGAGAGCCTGGAATGGGATTTTCACAATTTGGAGGCTCATATCTCAAGAACTGTCGAAATATTGAAATCAAACCTGTCTTATGATGATGACTCCACCCATTGTGCGATTATCGCGAGCTTCTGATACAGCTGATGGTCGATATTTATTGGCTAGACTAAGAGACCCTGCCATTCTTAAAGCTCTTAGGCTATTCCTGGCTTATCTCCATGACCAATCATCCACCGTGTGTTTTGATGGGCACATTAACACCAGCATCAAATTAATGTTAGCTTCGGAGGGACTTCCTAGTGACTTGGACTCATTGCGGAAGTTATATTTCCGTTTCCACAACGCGTATGGCATTGGTCTGGCTGAAGTTGACGCTGATCTCTCCGCCTTCAGGTCTTACTTCTCGTCCGAGAAACTTCTCCGGTTACAGAATATTAGGGAAAGTCAGAGCAAATATTTCTCTAGTGGCTCTCCACGTAATAATAAAAATTTTTAGATAAGGTGACGCGACCAGAGGATCAAGCACCCTCTGTAAGGTTGGACGATGGCAAGCTTAGTGTATTTCTTATTAATATTCAGTCCTTAAGACACAAAACAGATGAATTATTTCTTTTATTAGAAGAGCTTAATTTTCCAGAAATCATCGCCATTACTGAACACTGGTTAAATATGGATGAACCTGTGTTTGTCAAAAATTACACCTCAATAGCTAGATTTAATCGAAGTAATTTATCTCACGGAGGCACTATGATAATGTCCACTAATAATGACTTTACTGCAATAACCAAGTTTGATAATTTATTATCGGAAAAAATATTTGAATTTTCCATCGTCTATCATAGTGGTTTTGACCTTTATATTGTTTGTTTATATCGATCACCGGACACAGACGCGCACATGTTTTGTCGGAATTTGCTGAGCTTGCTTGACTCCTTGCCCTTGAATTGCAAAATAATTTTATGTGGTGACTATAATATAAATTTTTCCTGTGTGTGCGCTGCTCAAGAATCTCTCCAGTCCATTTTCGACTCCTTTGGGATTGTGTCGATTGTGATGCATGTAAACTCTCCAACCAGAATAACCAAAACTAGTTCTACTACCATTGACTATGTCGCTTCATCTTTTGATCCAGAATTGGTCAACTGCTCTATTTTTAGTGCAGGGTTTTCTGACCACGAAGCAGTATTAACGAATTTCTCATTGAATTCCTTACGTAAGGGTGCTTCCCGCAAATTGGGCAGAATATTTTCGGATGGAAATTTTTTAAATTTCAGTCAACTTTGCTTATCAGTTGACTGGGTCGTCCACTCAGATGATGTTGACTCCGAGTTCTCTAGATTCATAAATACCCTATCTGACCTGGCGACCAAATCCTTTCCTCTCAGACCCATCAAAGTCAAACGGCATAAACCATGGTCCACTAGTGGCCTGCGTACTTCTGGAAAAAATATGCGATCCTTGTCTCATCTAAAAAAATTCTCGGATAGCGTCTTCTTCAATGATTACGTAAAATTATACCGAAAAGTCTATCAGAAAACCATAAAAGCCGCCAAAGACATTTATTATAATAGGAGGCTGGCAAACTCCAAAAATGTTGCAAAAGAAACATGGTCAATTGTTAATGACTTGAGGAATAAGGCTTCTTCATCTAGCAGAATTCCTACTTCACCTGAGATCCTTAACGATTACTTTGTTGATGTGGCTAAGAATTTAGTGAATACCTTAACTCCTTCCCAGGACCTACTTTCATATCTCCCGAATGCTAAGGTGAACTTACACAGTTTCTTCTTCACGCCTGTAGTAGTTCCAGAGCTTCGCAGTACAATCAAAGATATTAAAAACAAATCTTCATCTGGGACTGATGGACTCACCCTCAAAATGTTCTCTAATCTTCCTGGTCGCACATTAAAACATCTTACTACTCTGATCAACAAGTCGTTTCTAAATGGAGCTTTTCCAAACTGTCTTAAGATGGCGATAATTATCCCACTGCATAAGGGAGGTGATAAGGAGCTACCTTCAAACTATCGCCCCATTGCACTCCTTCCTACGCTATCAAAGATCATAGAAAGATTGGTTAAAAAGAGGCTTCTATCATTTCTCTCTAAATATAATATTCTAACTACCAGTCAATTCGGTTTCCTAAGTAACAAATGTACTAATGATGCAATGTTTTCTCTTTTCAATAATGTATACTCCAGCCTGAACTGCCACCACTCTACAGCCTCAATTTTCTGTGATTTCTCCAAAGCTTTCGACTGTGTTAATCATAATATCTTAATTAACAAATTACAGTTCTACGGTTTCAGAGGAATGGCTCTCGAATGGTTTAAGTCTTATCTTGGTAACAGAAGTCAGCTTGTGAGGGTGGACTCGACCATGTCCTCTTGTAAACCAATTGAATGTGGTGTGCCTCAGGGTTCAGTTCTTGGCCCTATTTTGTTCCTGCTATTTATTAACGACATTGCTAGTCTGGATATTAGCGGCAAAGTTTGTCTCTTCGCAGACGATACTAGTTTCACTTGGAGCAACCCGGATATTACGGAACTCCATAGAACCGTATCTAGTGACTTAATCACCATCAAATCATGGTGTGACTCAAATCTCCTGTGCCTCAACCTCTCTAAAACCAAAATTTTATCTTACAGAGCTTCGCTCCAATCTGTAGTACTGGATAACAATACCATGGAGGCCGTTGATTCCGTGAAATTCCTGGGGCTTGTTGTTGATAAATCTCTAAAGTGGGACCTGCATATCGACGCCTTAGCAAAGAAATTAAGTCCGGCCTGTTTTGCACTGAGATCTGTTTCCAGGGAGCTTAACTCGGCAAGTTGCAGGATGGTATATTATGCTCTTTTTGAGTCGCATTTGCGTTACGCCCTTCCATTCTGGGGCACGTGTTGTGCGTCTCAATTTGAACGCATTTTTAGACTGCAGAAGAGAGCTCTTCGTTATTCTTTGGGACTTGGTAGTAGAACTCACTGCCGGGAATTTTTTATCAAGTCTAGTATATTGACTCTTCCATCTTTATTTATTTTCGAATCCGTCTGCTTAATTCGTAAGCACTTAATATTAGCTATCTCAGAGAGGCCATCTCACAATTATCCACTGAGGAACGCAGAGTTGGATCTTTATCTGCCAATCCCGCGCTCAGAGTTAGTTAAAAGTTCAATACTTTATAATGCTAAAAAGATGCATAATCATCTACGGCCTAACATCAGGTCCATTGCATCTTTTCTCGAATTTCGCAGGGCGTTGAGGGTGTATTTACTGAGGAGAGCCTTGTACACAGTAAGCGAGTTGTTTATGGTTTCCTTATTCTAAATTTTGAGCAGCTTACTCACAGGTTTTGTTTTTGTTCCTGTATCATGATAGGTTATTATAAGTTATTGTTTGTTTGTTTTTTTAGTACCTATAATATGCTTACTCGCACAGTATAAGCAGTTAGACCTAGATGTTTGTTTGTTAGTTTTAATCAAATTTTGACCATGAACTATTTGTTCAAGTGTTTGGTTTTGTCTGTGCTTTTGCATTTGTATGTTTTGTTTTTTATTTTTTCAGCTTTGTCCACAAAATTGTAAAATTTTCTGACAATAAAGCAAATTCTTTCTTATCTTGTAAAGCATTCCATTCTTATTCAGAATCATCAACTTCAAATTCAAATTTATAGAGTATAATAACTTCTCCCAATCAAACTTCAACTTTAGGAGAGCCTGGAATGGGATTTTCACACTTTGAAAGCTCATATCTCAAGAAATGTTCAAAATATTGAAATCAAAACTTTTTTATCTTGTGAAGCATCCAATTGTGATTCAGAATCATGAAGTTCAAATTCAAATTTATAGAATAATAACTTCTCCCAATCAAATTTCAACTTTAGGAGAGCCTGGAATGGGATTTTCACACTTTGGAAGCTCATATCTGAAGAACTGTTCGAAATATTGAAATTACACTTGTTTTATCTTGTGAAGTATTCAATTCTGATTCAAAATCATCAACTTAAAATTCAAATTTGAAGAGTAATGATTTCTGCCAATCAAATTTCAACTTTAGGAGAGCCTAGAAGGGATTTTCACACTTTGGAGGCTTCCCCAAAGAAAATATTATCATTTTGATTGTTTGAAATAAATAAACCTCGAAATAAACCAAAGATGTTAAATATGAGAGTTATTTTTTAATTTCTTATTCTACGTTTTCATTCAGCATTTATTATTTCATCCCTGTTGTTATTAGATTACATCTAAATGTGAGGATTGCGCCATAAATCCATTAATGCATGGGCCACTAGACTGAAATTTCCTGGACCACTTCCAAAATTTCGTCCAATCCTGGGTTTCAATACAAAAAAACAGCCTGTACTTGAACAATAACTTATTATATGAAGTCAGAATTTATAAGATTATCCACTTTTTGTCAATTTGCCTTTTAACAGGAATTAGTAATGTTACTTCACCAAACTAGTAATGTAATGTGTCAAGTTATTCAAGTACAAACGAGTGGATTGTTGCGGAACTTATGGGTGGACTTAGCTATCTATTCACCAATATGTTGTTCAAGTACAATACTTACCTGATTCACTCAGTTCTGAATTTTTCTCATTAGTTCAAAAACTACACGTTCTAGGTGAGTGTCTTATTTGAACAGTTCAACAGTATATTGGTGAGTAGATGGCTGCGGAACTCGCTGCGCTCGTCCCGCAGAGGTCCACCTATAAGTTTCGCAATAATCCACTTATATGTAATGCTTCCAGCTTTTTTCAAATGGGATGCCCTATATTTCATTCTATATTCTTGAAGAACACAATGCCCCGATTCCAAAAATATATAGTTTGTCTATATTTGATTGAACAGTCTCTCATATATTCAGCTCCAAAAATTGTAAAAATACTATCCTACTACTGATTTTGTGAACCATTCTACCTGTACAGGTGAAAGCTATAGGTAAAATTTGAGGTACTTGGTTTCTCTGATAGTTTTCTTAAAATTTTTAGAACCAAATATGTTTGAGACGGCTCAACCAAATACAGACAAACTATATACTTTTGGAATCGGTAAATTGTGCTCTTCAAGAATATAGAACCAAATATTGCGCATCCCATTTGAAAAAAGCTGAAAGCATGCAACATTTCACATTTCTAACATTCAATTTTTGTTTCTGACCATGGATTCTAAAAATTTAGCCAAAACTGTACAACTTTTGTATTTACAGCTTTTTTCTACCTGTAAAGGTAAAGGCTGTAGGTAGGATGTCAATATATAAAAAAATACCCTGTACATACATACAGGGTGTACCATTTAAAACGAAACAGGCTAAATATCTGATGTTACGTTTATTTTTTTTTTAAATTGCTCGTACACGTAATTTGATTTTCAAAGGGGGAAGTTTTTTGCAATCATTTTTAGCATATCAACTTCAATCCTCTACTCTCACTATTTCAAATGGAACAAGGGGTCGAGTGATACCTCTCCCAAAAGAGTATTCAATTCTCTTTTATTTGATGTCATTTGAAACAAAATTGAGCGCTCTTTTGAAACAGGTATCACTCGAATCCCTGTTTCGTTTTAAATGGTATACCCTGTATACATTTATGTATTCGGATTATCCGAGTTTTCAGTTATCCGAGGTGGGTACCCCCCCATGTTACCTCATATAACCGGGGATCTACTGTACTTTTAAGTTATATTATTTTGAATTAATACTTGTTATCGTTATTTTACCCTTACTTTAATCTAAAAGTGTCGAATTATTTCAAATTATGAAAACAAATCACGTGGTAGGTACATTTTTAAGCCGATTCTGATTCCAATTATTGAGCTTTGAAGAGGTTGAGGTCTATACAATAGGGTCTTATCCAGGTAGGTACTTAATTTATTGCAGTAAGAGCCAACGGTATATTGTTGCACCTACTATACAAGCTCAGAGATAGTATAGAGGTGGCTGTAAAGTTATAGCATAATTTAGAATTGTTTTTTTTAAGAAAGGCGTTGGGTGGGTGTTGGATTAGGGTATAAAATTGTACCATTGTAATTTGGTAAACCTCGAATAAAGTATATTTATTAATGGATAACCTTACATCAGTTGTTTCTCTCACTTGTAAATAGACCCGCCCCCACAATTTTATTTTACAGTAGCTACCCAAGGAAATAATTACCATCAAGTATGACCGCTCGCAATTTACCATCTAACCTGAATAATAGAGTATTTGGCGCAAATGCTACATATTAGTGAAAGAGAAAAGACTTAAACTCTCTTCAAATCTTGATTTCATTAAATTAAATGCCAATTATGTAGGTGTAAGCTAGTGAAAATAGCAATCGATAACAGTGAAGAGTTTTTATAATAGTGTCAGCAAAAAATAATAAGTGTTTTATTCAATATTCCTCAAAACCGAATGAACTCTTACATTGAGCCTCGCCTCAAAATCGTAATGACTATATTTACTCATTTGTTCCAGTAAATGTTTACCTTCTTCTTTAGTCTAAAATAAAATTATTATATTAAATCAAATTATTTACCAAAGACTAATTATTTACCTCTAAGCTTTGAGCCAAAATATTCCCTAGTTCGTATTGAGCAAACGCCGAAATATGGGCATCTTCAGCATTATTGAGTGCATGTGCACGTGATTCCAAGCATTTCCTAAAACATTCGGCAGCTTCTCGCGAATTATTTTTAATGCTGTGACAAGAGCCAAGTATAAGCAAAGTAAGACCAAGTCTCGGTTCCACATTGGAAGACTTAGTATAAGCAGTACAATCTTCAATAATTTCATCGATTCCTTTTGTATTACAGCTAGCCAAAGCGTTCCACAAATAAAGCATTTCGAAGACTAACACTTTGAAATAAACTGGAAGATAGTTTTTAGCATCCTGGGCATTTTTCGGAGAGCAATGGATTCTTCGCTGCAAAAATTCTTCCATTTGATTTGTCCTGGAACGTTCGCAGCTTTTTTGTAGGTCATCGAAAATGCTGTAGTCGTCAAGTGACGCGGACCCAATACAAATAGCAGCCAAATATACGTAGAATGATCTAGACCACCTACTAGCTTGTTTCAAATAGTTAAAACTACCACTGGCCTTTGCGTAGTCCAACTGTATAAGATGGCACCAGCCTATTTCGTGCAGACACAGCATTTTGATTTCACGATGGTTGGAATTATCTTTGGCTTTTTGAAATGATGTTAAGGCCATAGGTACATCAGACTAAAAAAAAAGCAAATCGTACAATATGTTTTTTGTGGTTTGATGAAACCCCTTACGTTTAATCTGCTAGCTCTACCTCCGAAAAATAGAAACAGAGCGGAATTTGAGAATTCCTTTTGGGACTCTTGGATGAGTACGTTGGCAGCTTCAACTCCTGCATCGACATTGACGCCGTCGATTGCGTAAAACGGACGTACTATTGTGTGATACCATAATAAGGCTAGACTGAAATAATAAATCTTTTAAATAGAGGTTTTGTGTGTTGGAAGGCTTAATCTGTACATCTGTAAGGGTTAATACTGTACAAAATAAGGTGTTTCAGATATTTTTAACATTTGGCGACTGTGACAGATATATTACTTGCTGGAATTATGGAGAAGAAGGAAAGAGTTCTTGATTTGATTCAAGATGCATGTAAACGAGGATCATGATGCAATAAGAAAAGTGCGACAGGTTGGGAATATAGAGCTGTATGCGAGTCCTTGATAGGAAAATGGCGAATCAGGCCAGCTTCTTATTGATATTCTCTAAGTTCTGATGGGAACTTTCACGTACTGGAGGAAGAAGTCTAAGTAATATTGATGCTGTTTAATTTTCAATAGGTACACCTACCCAGTGATTACAGAAACTCGAAGGAACTGGCTGTTCACAGACGCACCCTTACAATTTAAAATATAAGAATAAGCTTGGACTCTTATTTTTCCTATTTTATAACACTGACAACTCTAAAAATTATCGCAAAACTCCCACATTGAGGAAAGCAGTGTATCCATTTTAGTGATTCATTGATTCAACATGTGAATTTCTCTGGGGACTTACTGATTCGACCACTTCTTGTTGTAGTAACTTTTTTCTTTACACCGTCACAGTTGCTTATATTATCATAGGAACTCGACGACAGGCTTCATAATGCACTAACACATCATGGTAAAATCAGGATCTGAATCGTCTTCCCGATTACTAGTTTTGGCTTGTACATGAAAAGTGTTCTTTCCTATTTCCAATGAACAGATTCACTGTACATACAGGCCTCAAGACATTTTCTGAAGCTGTTTTGAGTTCTACAACCTGTACATTCCTATCTCTGCTACTCTGTTTTCTTTTGATTATCGTTAACTAAAAATACTATACCTATCATCAACGATGTATTTTTCTTAGTCGAAAATAATTTTAACTGTCCCAGGTACTCGATCCTAAATCTCGGCCTCAGATTCTCCTCTCGCTTTAGTCTGTATAAATATCTCCTCCTTAGGTCCTTAGCTTCGATATGATTCAGATCAGGTAAACCAGTTCCGATAATTTCTTGAAGAAACATTCTCGGTGTCAGTGTCATCAAATCAGAACTGTCTTCAAAAATATAGGTTAGCTGTCTCGAGTTTATTACAGATTCACATTCACAAAGAACAGTGACTAGCTCTTCTAAAGACAAATGCGATTTTCCCAGGACCTTTTTCCAAAAACCCTTGATTAGTATGATCAAACGTATTGGATAGAATTTCCAATCAATTTTCTGGACTACTTCCTTATTTTGAATTTCATTCCAATCTAAATTCTTTAAAGCATTTTCGGCTCCATTATCAGAGAATATAGTTTTCGGTCTTCCTCTATGAGCTATGAAACACCTCAATGATTGAATGAATTATTCATTGATCAATGAAGATACGACCTCCAAGTGTACCTCTCTATACACAGCACAAGTAAACAGAGCTATCCACACCTTCTCACCAGTCTTTACATATAAAGAACTAGGTAAATCGATGCCTACCATTTCGAATACTGCTGCGTCTCTTATCCTATCTATCGGTAGAATTAGGATCGTAATTACATTCCTTCCTTCATGCCTTTTATAAATAATACTGATTTGATAGTCCCCCTACAACGAAGAATCCAAAAGTGCTCTCGTAAAATGGATAGCAGACTTAGTACACCGATATGACAATTTTCCAAATGTTCCAATCTTATGAGTCGTATGACCACCTCGTGTTTCGAAGGAAGAACCAATGGTAAACAGAAATTCTCGTCATCAGGACGATCCGCTATCTTGGTACGGATCCCAGTCAAACCATACTCATCCAAAAGTTGACACAAACTTGAGAGTTTCTCATTATGAATTGATGAAGGGAAACTTTCTTGTTGTATCATTCTAATAACTGCCTTTTTAATGGCATCCATTTCTTTACCAGTCAGGTTCCTTGAATGTTGTATTCTTCTGCTTCCTACAATTGGAGACAATGTTGCCAGATGACCAGAACCAAATTATGGTTTTTTGCAGGATTTTATCGTAGAAAACCGAGTTTACCAGTGTGACATCATCAGAGGCTGGTGGCCCCCTTAAATTGAAGGGGTTAGGTTGTAAAGTCTGTTTTTTTTTAAAGATAATTCCCCAAGTCAAAAATTTAGTAACTGGAAAAGAGAGCTGGTATTTCAATTTTTAATGGAGGTCAGCGATTTCAGAGTATTTTTTTCAAAATTTATGAACATTCAGAAATTATCGTACAATTATCCATTATCGATCGTACATCGTACCCTCTTGTAATTATCGTACAAATACGATAGTTATCGTACGTCAAACTTGGAAAATATGTGTAGTACCAAGTTAAATGTGTTGTTTGCACCAAAAGCGACGAATTTACCTTCTTTCTCTACTCCTCATCTACCAAATCTTCATCACATTGATATTTTTGATCAAAAACTATTTGCTAACTGGTTTCTGACCCTTCCACCATCTTACATCAGCAAGCCTTCTTTCCAAAGCAACCTCTTGATGGAAGATATGCTGGATTGTCATCTCCTGGTATATGAAATCAGTCAGTCGTTGAATTTCCTGGATACGATAACATATACGAAAAGTTTCCACTGTTCCTTCCGCTTGATCCCAAGACAAAACCGTCGTAGAATCAATCCAAAAATAGGAAAGTCAAAATTATCTTTTACAACCTGTGAAAGCTTGACAGCAACTGTTAGCAATTCTAATCTTGGTACAGCTTTCTATCTATAATAGAAAGAAAGTTATGACCTGTCAAAGTTTTTCAAAATCTAAATCATAAGATAGGTACCTTCTTAATAAAACGAGGAAATTTCAAATTTTTTTTTGTTGTGATTTTGTGTCCTAATGGTTATTTGGGATCCCCAAACTCTATACACTAAATTATTCTCAAATTTGAAGCCGAAATCCATGAAAAAAGGCACTCAGAAAAATTGAAAAATTGATAAATCACCCCAAATTGCTTAACACGATTTTATCTCAGGAACTATAAGTCCAAATGAGTTGAAATTTTCAGTAATTTTAGTCCTCTACTGGAATAAGAATCGCTGAAAATTTCAGCTTTCTATCTATAATAGAAAGAAAGTTATGACCTGTCAAAGTTTTTCAAAATCTAAATCATAAGGTAGGCGATACGAAACCTTTCCATCGGTTTCTGGTCGTATGAAAATAGCTGTAAAGTAGGTATGCTTCTTTACTGGCGTCACAGAAAACATGCAGACTGCGACCCTAATGATAAATCACCCCAAATTGTTTAACACGATTTTATCTCAGGAACTATAAGCCCAAATGAGTTGAAATTTTCATGGATTGTAGTCCTCTACTGGAATAAGAATCGCTGAAAATTTCAGCTTTCTATCTATAATAGAAAGAAAGTTATGACCTGTCAAAGTTTTCCAAAATCTAAATCATAAGGTAGGTAACTTCTTACTAAAACGATGAAATTTCAAAATTTTTTTGTTGAGATTTTGTGTCCTAATGGTCACTTGGGATCCCCCGAACTCCATACACTAAGAAACTCCCAGATTTGAAGCCGAAATCTATGAAAAAAGGCACTCAGAAAAATTGAAAAATTGATAAATCACCCCAAATTGCTTAACACGATTTTATCTCAGGAACTATAAGTCCAAATGAGTTGAAATTTCCAGGGATTAAAATCGTTTACTGGAATAAGAATCGCTAAAAATTTCAGCTTTCTATCTGTAATAGAAAGAAAGTTATGACCTGTCACAGTTTTCCAAAATCTAAATCATAAGATCTAGAAATCTTCATCTGTACTAGATATGGTAGTTCACGCATCTCCCTGGGAAAATTAAGTCCAACTCTATCTCCTACTTCAGTAGAGTAGAAATCAAACGAGAAGAAGCCACGCGCGTTATCGTTTGTCTCACTTTAAATGGGAGGGACCCAGAGAAAAGCAAATCTGCTTTCTTTGTCAGCGCAGATGACAGTGGCTTCTTCTCGTTTGATTTTAACTCTATCCCACCATAACTTCAACCTCCAAATCTTCTGGAGCAATAACTTGGGATATAATGCAACTGTACTAGAAAAACCAATTCGAACATACCTACAATTTGTGAGCAGTAGATTAAATTATTCTCTCTGTTATTTTTTGAACACTGAGATGGTTCACCCAATCCGTAGAAACTTGAAATATATCCAAGTTTTTGTTCCATAGAAGCCCCAGAACTGGACAGCGACAGTCCACAACGTCATTTGAGCTCTATTGGTAAGAATCAATGGTAAGAATACTCCCACCCCCTAAGGTAGAACTGCAGCCGTACTCTGTAACAACATAGAGAAGAAATTTCCTTTCCATGATAGAAAATCGACGAAACGGAACTCCCTAACCCCACTCGGCTAGAATCGCTACCCCGAACTACCTGCTAGTGTCAAAAAAAATAGAAAGACCCTTTCGGTCTTGCTATTTTCCTTTTTCATTCTACACCATCACAATTGACGTAAGCTTATCTTCGTCTAATTTTTTTTTTGATTTTTTGTTTTCATTTGGGACTAAAGCGTGACATAAATTCATAAATGTGTTTGATGTTGACGGAAATAGCAGTGAAACTAAGCATAAATGGGAATATGTAGTTAAGAAATCATTCAACTATGAATTGGATTATGGGAGCTAGAACAGTGGAGAAGTAAATCGTACATTATACAGATGACATAATTGAGAATTCCTCCATATGAAAAAATCATGACTGGCACCCCCATAATTCGCATTTACATTGAGAATAACTTGGCTTTTTTTTGCTTCCTTTTCTGCTTGGGTCATGGGAACCTTTATCCAGCCTGGTGTAATGGTTACAATGGGTATACACCTCCCAGAGAGCTCAATATGCAAAGACAAAATGAATAAATAAAAAAAATAACATTGACAATCAAAAATTAACAGAGTCGCCCATTGTTTCTGCTAACGATGGCGTTATGTAGGATCTTTGTGAACCACTGTCAAAAACTAATCTTGCTCTATGTGTCTGGCAGTCACTTCTCAGTTCTACTACCAAGGTCTGCACTTCCAAATAGGTGTGATTTGACAAACATTGTTCATCACTTGTTGAAGAATTGGGAGCTGGCATTTCTTGATGATTTGGACACAAACATCTTAAGTGTCTTCCTTGACACTGCGTACAGGTCAATTTCCCCTCTACATCTACAAGCAATATGCCCAAACTTTGAACATAAGAGACAGCATCTATTCTGAGTGAGAATTTCTATCTTCTTAGGGATAGGCCATCCTAATGCTTCATCACAAGTCTTCTGTTTAGAACTTCAGCTCCAGTAAATGGTATTTTCTTATCTTCTTGTCCCGTCTTGACTTTTGGTACGTTTTCATCGAACTTACTGATTACCAGCGACCTTCATTTTCGATTTCTTTTTTGAGGAAATGATGCATTAACTTATGCAGACGATCCTTGAGATTCAAGTCATCAGCATAACCAGAACTTCTCTGCCAATCTCGGATGAGTTCAGCATTAAGACACGACTTGACCAAAGGATACAAAATAGCTGCACAAGTATCTGAAGTTGCTCCAAGAGTCTCCAACGCACGTAGTTGTGACTCAATCTTATCATACAACGAAGAAATATATTTTTTTCTGTTCAAATTAGTTAAAACTAACTTCTAAAGTTCCGTCACGTAGAATACAACCAGAAGATCTTGCCGTCCAAAACGTGTTTTTAAACTTTGAACTACTTTTGGATAGTTTTCTGCCATAGCAAGGTAGCTTTCCACTAAACACGAGAACGAGAATTTGAGAGAGTCCACTGTAGAAGATACTGGAATAGTAACCATTTCTTCAGATGTCCACTTTTTTATATTCAGAGGCAGTTTCATTCTGTATGAAGTACTGGTACTAATAAAATTGTCCCTACTACACATTTCTTCTACTTATGTAATTTCAATTTAAAATAATTCCTATTTAGTGTGTCAATAGAACCTCTTCCTGACATGTCAGAGCCTTTCCATCATTCAACATATTTCTCACATCGTCGTAAATGCAGTCTTGTTCAACTGAAGAGCTTTTTTCGTCTTCTCCATTTCAGCAGCACTATCGCCAAATGTTAAATCTCCAAAATGTCTACCCAGTGATTCCAGATACTCAAAGGAAAAATGAACTGACTGTTCAATAAGGTGTTTTCTTGCAGTAGGTTCAGCGACTTTCAACAATGCACATTGGACAAAGATTATCAAAAATTGAGGCTGATGATTGAAAAAATGAATAATAAAGATAATCTAAGTACCTACCCAGTGGTAGATCTTCTTCCTCACAAAATTATCTTCAATTGAATATGAAAAAACTGATGGAGATCTATAAGAGAATGATTTCACAGCATTGATGAAGATTGAGACATGAAAAACGAACAATATCTTTCACAATCAATAAGCATTATTCACCGCCTTGTCTTTTAGTTGAAAGCTATCCCGCTACAGCTGAAAACTACCGCAAAGTGATTGAATATAGTACATATAACTATAAAAAGAACAAGACAAGAAGATTTTAGAAAGAACCATTCATGAAAGACCATCCTATAGAAAATCAAATCTCTACGAGATACTCGTGTATACTTCTACTTCGAAATGGTAGAAAGATAAATATAATTGTTGAATCACTCATTTATAAATTTGGCGTGAATGTTGAAAATCGCTGACCTTAAAAAATAAGTAAATTACCTTGCTAGAGGTGCACGCATATCAACCCCTAATCGAGCGTACATCAAACAAGCAACTCCGTTTTGCCGGTTTGCAGTAAACCCCAAAAGGCTTATTATTCTCGTGTAAGTAGGAGGCAACAGCGATATTCCTAGCTGGAAAAGTCCATAGCCAAACGAAACTGCACCCATAAGCCTCATAATTGACTTTTTGCAAATTTCTTGAGTTCCCCTGTATAGAAGTTACAAGAAAATTATTAGCAAAATATTCACATGTATAAAATTTCGAATATTAAAAAAATAAACTTACGTGTAAGATTGTCCAGGAAAAATCTCTCTCAACGATGACGTCAAGTTAGTCAAAGAAAGTGTATCGGTGAAATTAGAAATACTAAACCTTGCAGAACCCATTGTGCTACGATTTCCTCTTCCACTCAAAGCCTCAGTAATTGAAATTGATTTTTTCAAAGACAAACTGTTCGGTCTGCGCAGCTTTTTGGTATTATTATTTATAGATTTCTGAGCAGTAATGGATTCGGCAAGATTGTCATTTTGAGTAAAATTAAGTGAACGCGAGTGGGACATTTTTTTAGATGAGTACCCGTTAAATACTGGTTCAGGAACGTCCCAATCTGCTTCATCGTCAGAATCAGAATTTGTACCGTTAAATGCCGAGGACGGAGATTGAGGAGTAACGATAGGATCGGGTAATTGGAGTTCACCGATTTTGTCTTTGTACAAAGTTAGTATTTCTTTGTAGGTCTTCTGGTAAACTTTCCAGGCTTTCCGCAACACCCATCCTCCTTTGAAATACCCTGACAAGTCTTGTTGGAGAAAAGTTAATATTGCTAAGCAGACCTTGAAAATAGTATGTTTCAATATCTTTTTGGTAAATATTTTGATTTTACTTGTGAATCTGCTAAAATTATTTGAGTTTCTAATTCTTCAGCTAAGCTTCGTGCCCGTGGATCATCAACATCAGTAGTAGTAGATCTGAAAACTTTTTGTGAAATTGATTTTAACCAGCCAGTTTGTGTAGTACAACGTTTTTCTACTTCTTTTAATACTAATATTGCTTTCGAGAGTTTTTCTTCTTCAAAACTCATTAGGGCATCCTAAAAGCAACCCAATAATACGCACATTTTCTTTCTTAATAATACACTCACCATAAATAAAACATAAGAATATCCTGCATACATTAGCAAACTATCAGGATGCTTTAGAAAAAAAGCTTCAGCTTCAGCATGCTCGTTGTTAATTAACAACTTTATCCCTTGTCTAGCCAGTACCCATTCAGGTCCTTTGGAAGCATCTTCTTTGGAAATGGCCGGAGCCGAGCTAGCCATTTAGTTTAAACTTGGTGGATGAAACATTTTCAAGTGAATTATTTATTTATTGCCCGCATAAATATGTTTTGTTGTATGGAAAACTGAAAATTTTGTTTTGTTTTTATTGGCTTAAATGCCACAAACGCCAATGTCAACGGTGGGAAACTCGGCTGGTTTTCTCTTGTATTGATTTTTCAGTTTTCACCCTTCCAAATCTAGTTCAAGGGCGAAACCCAACTCTTTACTTAAGTTTACAGGGAAATATGTATTAAAACAGTCAAAAGGTTAATAAAAATAATTAAATTATAAATTATTATATAGGTACTTAGTAAGGACTTATCATAGGTCGCGATTTTCAAGTACCTACGCTAATACCCAATTTTGAGAGTTTCAGCTCGATCTTTAGGTCAGTAAATTTAGGTCATCAACCACTAGACTCCACATCAAAATACTTCAAAATAAAACTTCCTCACTGCCGCATTTTCTCCTCTCTAAACTAAGATTGGTAAATTTGAAATCCAACGTGTTGTGTTTGAACTAGTATCGAAATTTGGTTTTAGAAATTCTGATTCCTTGCCACGGTAATTCCTGCTTCCACGATAATTGAGATTTTTCGAAATTTGAAAAACTTTGGGGGCTAATTTCTCAGAAACAGATCAACATATAGGATTCAATCCTGTTCTATCTTGTGTAGAGCATCCAATTCCGTTTCAAGAATCATCGATGAACATCAAAATTTTTGAAATGTAAACCTAATTATGAATGATCTTGTGATGCTTTTGTCGCAAGATTCTCAAAGCTAAAAATTGTTGAATAATCACATTTTTTTTCCCCCTAGAACACCAAGGAAAAATGGGTTTTTCGCTAAGTTTTGGACCTCCTTTCAAAATAGATGTCTTTGAATCTCGGTTCAACACATAAACCATTATTCACTTTTAGGCCCTTTTATATGTGAATTTACGAAATCGCCTCATGGACGTCTTCAAGACTTCTTTTCTTGGTCTTCAGAAACTATGCAGGCCTTAAAGAGACGTCTTTAAGGCTTTGTGCCTGGGAATGACATAACACGCAAAAATTCTTTGATAGGTATCCTACAGAGTCCAAGGATTCCAGAGTATTTGCAGAGAATTTAAGACTAAAGACTCATTGACATAAATTCTGGTTAACAGAACGTGGATTCTATACAGACTCCTGAAGCCTCTAAAAGAATTTGAAATACTTTAAAGCCTAAGTATGTCTAAAGAGTAGACCAAGCTAAATACTTTCGAGATTTCATGACTGAAGATCAACGCTTAAAGTTTTAATAGCTGGTTTTTCAAGAGCTGAAATTTAAACTAAAGACTAGAGCCTTTGAAGATCAGGACAAGACTGAAAGATATATCACTCGGATTCTTAAAGCTTATGACTAAAAACTTTAGAGAATTTATGACCCATGGTCAACTGGAGATGTTCAAAATTCTTCTGACTGGCTTCTTCAGAGCTGAAATTTGAGATTTTCAAGATGCCAAAGAATTTGAAAATTATATAGTGTCTGAAGGTTCAGGAAAAGATAGGTACCTACCTTAATTAAAGCTTATAACTAAAGACTTTGAAGATAACACGATTTTATTTCTGGTTTTCTAGAAAGATTCTTGACAAAATATAACATATTTTGAGTAATTACTCTCTTTTGAGTATCATCATCTTCAGCTTCTTTCGGTCCATCTGTGTACATAAGTCTCTCCAATTCGTCGCCATTCGCTTCTGTCGATCGTCTGACTCATCCATTGGGTACCCGCGAGTTTCTGGATGTCATCTTTCCACCTCGTTCTTGACCGTCTTGGGTTCCTTTTAGTTGTCCTGGGCCTCCACTCAGTTATCTTTTGGGTCCATCTATAACCATCTGTTCTCAGTAGATGTCCAGCCCATCTCCATTTTAGTCTTGCCACCTGTTCTGCGATGTCTATATAACTTTTGTCCTTTGCCTGATTCATTCGTTTGTCTTTTGGTCTTGTAGCCGAATTCCTAGCATTTTTCTCTCCATTTTTCCTTGGGCAATCCTTAAACATTCCATGGTACCCTCATCAAGGCTCCGTGTTTCTGCAGCGTATTATACGTTAAGGTCGGTAGGCCACATTGGTTAAACACTTATGTTTTAAGATATTGTGGAAATTTGGAATCAAGGATATCACTAAGTTTGCCATATGCGGTCCATCCATGCTGAATTCTTCTGGATATCTCCTCTCTCTTACTGTTCTTATCGAACGATATTATTTGTCCAAGGTATACACGTATTCGTCTACGACTTTAATTGTACTGCTGTTCTCGAGGTCAACATCTGTAACATCATTGGAGTTAGACATTATTTTTATTTTTGCTGCGTTCATTTGAAGGCCGTAGTTTTTTGCGGCACTATTTAACTCCTGTAGCATGAGCATGATCTTCAAGTCATCCATACTCTCGGCAAGAAGTACAATATCGTCTGCAAAGCGGAGGTTGTTTAATCTTTCACCATTGATGTTAACACCTTTGGCCTGCCATTCGAGTGTCTTGAAGACTATTTTAGGGGATATTGTATCTCCTTGTCTGACGCCGCTCCATAAGTTGATTGGATCAGTTCCCCCAAATACTTGGACTGTCATGGTTGCGTATCGACTGTCGATACGGCACCTTCCTAGAGCATTTATAAAAACCCATTTTTCAACTATGTCCAACGCTTTCTCAAAGTCGATAAAAGCGAGGAAGACCTGTTGATTATAATTCCAGTGTGTTTTCTATTATTTGCAGTAAGTAATATGTGTGGATATGATCGATCGTGCTGTACCCCCCACGAAAATTGGCTTGTTCCACTGGCTGGAATTCGTCAAGCTTGTTGGTAATTCTATGAGACAGCAATGAGATCGGCCTGTAGTTTTTAATATCTTCCGTGTCTCCTGTCTCCTTTCTAATAGAGGATATAATTACGTCCGCGTTTTACCATGCTTGAGGTAGGTATTTCACCTTTATCTAAGCAGTCATTGAAAAGTTTTTGCAGATATTCCAATAGCTTTGTGCCTCCCCTCCCAGCTTGATATATTCGATTATTATATCATCCGGACTGGGTGCTTTGTTACTTTTCATTTTCTTGAGGGCAGATTTAATTTCATATTTGCTTATTGATGGTGGTAGATCTTCGGTGTAGTACTTAGTTAATTTCGCTCTTCTCTGTTCTATCACGAGGCTTCTCTGAGTTCTCTGATAGTTTTGTCGAGTATAGATTTCATTAAATCGTTTTAAATACTGGAGAATTTCAGTTCGTGTCTAAAGTTCATTTTCCCTTTTCGTCTTCTAATGATGTTATTTCGGATTTCTTTGGCGATATTTTTTTCCTAAATACTTTTTGCCCCTTATTACTTTCTATAACTTCCTTTGTTACCCTCTTGTTATACTTGGAGACATCAGCTCTTACTTAGTCCTTGATAAGCTTGTTTCTTTCCCTCAGTTCATCATGTGTCATGGATATTTTATGTTTATTTCTATCTGCAATGAGCTTTTTAGTATCCTCAGAGAGACCGGAAGGGTTTTCTCAACAGTTTTCTTATGTAGGTTTGAGACACATTGTCCCTTTTTCAGAGGCTTCCACATCCTACAACCACACTTATTGGGCATTTCTACAACACTAAAACTAAACACAGAAAAATATCTACATAGTTTCGTGGGTACCTAGTCAACAAATATTCTATTAACGCCCGAATGCACCGTTTGTTGATTCTAATCCTAGTTCCCCAATCCTGTTTTTGTAAACTTTGGCCTATAGCTATGTACCGTCAGCGGATTAATTAATCCGGAGTGGCAACCTTGACATACCAAGAGTTTTTGCCATTTTTTAAGTCAATTAACTTTAAAATATTGTCAGTTGTCAGATCCACAGAGGGTGAATGTGCCTGTTCACCGACCTGCTCTAGATCTCGACCATTTAGCTATTTAAGGGCCAATAATAAATAGAATAAGCAGCAATCCTTGCTATGGAATGTTGAATTAGTTAGGAGTGACTTCTTGTGTGACTCTAAGTTCTTTAAACTTTTCCAGTGGCTCCCACAAAAAAAAAAGAGTGTCCCAAATGGAACAAGTACAAGCAAATATAAAGGATAGACTAAAAGCTTCCAACAAGGTCAAAGTTCAACCCCAAAAAAGAGTGCGAAAGGTACTCAACAATTACACGGAAGAATACCTAAAAAAAGCTTTGCACGAAATCAGAGAAAATAAAATGGCAATTAGAAAAGCATGTAGAAACTTTAATGTTCCAAAAACGACAGTTTTGGATAGGATATCTGGACGAGTTCCTGATCAGTTACGGAAACCTGGTCCGCCACCATTACTTACAGTGGAAGGTGAAAGTCGCGTCAAAGAATGGGTGATTAACACAGCAAAGTGCGGCTTTCCAATTAAAAAAGAAACGCTGTTCAACACAGTATCTAAGATAGCAGCTGACTCTGGCAAAGTACTTTTCAAAGATGGAACTTCTCATCAGACTTGGTATAAAAATTTCATGAAACGAAATCCAGAAATTTCGTTAAGAAAAGCTGAAGGAATTAACAAAGCTAGGGCAATTATAAGCGAAGAAAGCATAAGAAAATGGTTTAGAGAACTCACCAAATTCCTAACGGAGAGAAATTTGTTGGACGTATTGGATGACCCTCATAGAATATTTAATGGGGATGAGTCAGGATTCGCCTTATGTCCAAAATCTGGCAAAGTATTGGGACCCAAGGGATTTAGAAACTTATACGATATTAAACTAGGAAATGAGAAAGAAAATATTACTGTACTCATCGTTTTTAATGCTGCTGGAAAAATTGCTCCACCCCTAGTCTTATTCCCCTATGTCAGGCCACCTAGAGCGGTAGTGGAAGGTATGCCTAGTAATTGGGTTCTAGGAAAATCGGATAAAGGATGGATGACATCCGAAGTATTTTTTGAATACATCGCAAATGATTTTCATAAATGGGCACTATCAAAAAACATAAGAAGACCAATAATTGTAGGTATTTGTAGATGGGCACAAATCCCATATGACGTATGCTCTTAGCCAATGGTGCGAAAAAAATCAAGTAATTCTTTATGCGTTACCCCCCAATACTACTCACATCCTCCAACCAGCAGACGTCAGTGTTTTTAAGCCAATGAAAACGGATTGGAAAAAAACAGTTCGAGATTGGCAAAGTCAGCCTGAGAATATTAACTGCTCTGTGACTAAAATAATTTTTTGTAGTATCTTTAATGGAGTTTTATCAAAAATAGATCGACTTGAAAAATACATAAAAAACGGCTTTAGAAAATGTGAATTATATCCTCTGAATCCAAATGCTGTTGACTATACAAAATGTGTAATCAACACAACTGAAAAGATAAAAAAAACAATTACTAGAACCAGAAAGTCATCTGAAAATATAACCCAGCGTGATATTACATCCACTAAAAAAGTTATTGGAAAAATAAAAACTGAGTTAAGAGTCGTATGGCATTAACGTCGATATCATCCTCAATGAAGTAAATTTGCTACAAGAGGTTTTATCACCCAGAAAAAAAAGCATGAGCTCTAATGCAGTGACAACAGAGTTAGAGATAAGTGGACAACATTCCCACCATGCTGAACACTATAAAGATTCAGTTTTTGATCAAGATTGTGAATTACCTGCAAACTTATATGAACCTGAAGAGCCAATGGAAGAAACACCACCTTCATATATAAATAATGAATACCATATGAATGCATCCACTCAACCTGCAGTTGTAGAAGAAGCAGAACCATCAGTAATAATAATAAATCAAGAATCTGAATGCTCTAAAGAGGATAATCATTCGTCAACAGTTTTCAACAGTACCATGATAGATCTTCCTAGCGTAAGTCTTGCAAGCTGTTTCACAACTTCTTTTATGAATAATTTGGAAAATGAGCTAGATGAATTAGAGTTACCTATAATAGATATTTCCCAAATAGTCATTAATCAAGACAAAGATACTCCAATCAACGCTCAAATGTTTACCAGCCCAGACCTTGATATAATCCAAGTTGTTGAATCTTCCGATACTCCTGTTGACATATCCCTCACCCAAAATAAAGAAATTGAACTAAATATTACCAAACCTCTGATAGTCCAAAAGCTGACCATCAGAGTACCAATAATGGAGAAGAAAAAATTATCACCAAAAAAATTAAGATACTTAAACCGTTTAGTGAACCAGCTGAAAAAACACCAGAAACTAACATAAACACTGACTATCAATACACCAATCAAGATACTCAATTATTTAATGATAGTAATAATGATAATTCATGTAATGGAAATGAAAAAAAAAAATTGTCTCCACTTAGTAAGGCATTTGAAACTCATCTTAAATATCCTGATCCAATCAAAAGAAACAAAAACACGAATAGAAAATAAATAAGCTCCTAGTGCTATTTCATCTGAAGAGTGGCGAGAATTTTATAGAAAAAAGATGCTGAAAAATCTCAAAAGCAAATGGATATTAATAAAAGGAAGGCAGAGAGAAAGAAATTAAAGGAAAATAAGATACCAAAGAAATTAAAGTCAAAGAAAAATAATAGTGATCAGGTAGCTTTGAGAAAAGCAAAAATACCATGGATATGTGCAATTCAAATTTAAATAGTGAGACAGAGGATCACGATAATAAAAACCCTGTGTCTAGAATCCCGGTACCGGTAACACATTTTTTACCGGTAGTTCTGATGACGTCATCCATATGACGCACTTGTACCGGGATTTAAGTAAATCCCGGTGTTTTGATTTTGTTTTTATCGTTATTTATCAGCTGATTGGTATTTTAGGTTAATTTTTTTTTTTTTCGTCACTGTTTTGAAACAATTCAAACTATAATAGTACATTAAAATACAAGTTTCATAAGACGCCATTTTATCGCACGAGCCCTATATTAGAAAACGAGCCAGAGGCGAGTTTTCTAAAGGGCGAGTGCGATAAAATGTCTTATGAAACGAATATTTTATACTATTTTTTCTATTTTGGTATTGTTTAATTAAAAAAAACAAATTTTTCTTAGAAATTTTATTCTCATATTTCCTGATTTCATATGTTTAGGTTGGTAACACTGCATGCCAAATATAGAAATCTTCTATTATAAAATCGCGAATGACAGTTCGATGGCCATCAGTCAGCCAGTGTAACCAACCTCCGATAAGTAAAAAAGGAGTGTCACAAAGAGCTTCTTTTCGAAACTACTTTTAGTGTCGAAAAGACTTCGATATGACACCAAAATAGAAAAAAGTTAGTTTAGGTTCGAAATACCTTATATAAATGATTTGCGTTCGGAAATGTCGAACAACTCATCCCAGATTAGAAGTAATCTGCAATCGGATGATAGTAAACTAGGGTTGCTATTCCCGAAAACCCCTGAGAATTTAAACGAATTTGAAATGATGTCACTTTATATAGCAGTTTATAATCGGATTTAATAGATATTTATTAATTTACTTCAAGCAATATATGTAACTATACTGTTTAGGATGTAAATTAAAATTAATATCTCTCATTTTTTATTTATAAGTTTACAATCAGAACAACAGAGGTTTTGGGTATTTTATGGCCATTTGCACGGCTATCACTTAAGCGATATTTGATCTAAGTGAAGCTTTCGGGGCGAATTCTCATGAGCGTAAGTTGACATTTCTGGCGTAATCACGTGATAAAATGGTTGGGTTTTATTGGAAAACTATTTGACATGTTGGAGATTTTACCAATCAAATTACACCATATTATCACGTGATTACGCCACAAATGTCAACTTACTCTCATGAGAATTCGCCCTCAATGTGACTTCTGTTTCTACAAGGGGCACGTTCAAAACTTCACTTGGATTAAATATTCCTTGAGTTATGGGGTGCAAATGGCCGTTACACAAACTGGAACATTTCACATGTCAAAGTCTCTTTAACTTCTTTATAACTTTTAAATGTTTGTCCTACATTAAAAACCATTTCAAAAGTAATTTCACGTTGATAAACTCACGAAAACACTTCACTCTACGTTCACACATCAACAAAACAAGTTAAAAACATGAAAAGTTAGGTTAAGTTGGACTTTGATAAAACAAAAACCGCCAACGACTACATTTTTTACCGGGATTTGCTTGAATCCCGGGTACCTAGTTCGTCATATAGGTGACGGCATCAAAACTACCGGTAAAAAAAGTGTTACCGGTACCGGGATTCTACACCATTTCCACTTTTAGTTCAAAATAGATTAAGTCGATTTCAAAAAGCATCAAATGTATTTCAAAATAATAACTTCAATTTAAAAAAATATCAGATGTATTTCAAAATCATCAACTGAACATCAAAAAGCATCAATTTAATTTCAGTCTTTGTAAATTTTAGGGAGTGAATTCTGCGCCTACCGGTAGGTCCTGTTTGTTTCATTCATTGTGTGCCTACCGTATGTATAACGCTAAAACATTATGGAAGGTCCCCAATTACCACATGATATAACGCCTATCGGTAGGTACTGTTTGTAAAAAAAATCCTGAACCTACCGGTAAGTTCATATTCATTTAAGAATCCTGCGCCTACCTACTTTTTATTAACCTACCTAACCTAACAATCTATAATAACATAAACTACAAAAAGCAGTCTCGTTTTGTCCTCGCCAGAGTGTGGGCGGTTGGTTTAAGGAGCTCAAAGAGCTTCACCGGGTGGTGCACTAGAGGCGTGTAGAGACCAAATTTTGGCTCACCTCCGCGAGTAAAAACCGAGATTCATCGCCATCCGTGGATTTGTTTGCGTCTTTTTGACTAAGCCGGCTTAGATTCCTAGATAAACAGAAGGTTTACACGCGTGGTTACGTTGGCAAAATGGCGGCCAGAGTCTGAGACTCGTGAAAACGCTGTTTGTTTTGACAGAAAAAGGTTATATGCGGTTTCAGCGATTGATCAAGGCAAATCCTGGATGTGCCTTTCATATTAAGAAAAATTGAAGATAGAAGAAAAGAGTGAAACAAATAGGGGACCTATGATATGGCCTAGAGCCAGACAATATCAGGATCGCCACGAAATTGTGCTGGCAAATTGCCTCAGTAGCAGTGCCATTAAAACAAACAACAACAACAACAACTACAAAAAGAAGTACCTGCTGCATCTCTGTGATTTTTCTTTAAGTTTGTTTTTTTCATAGTTTTATAGTGTAGGTAAGTGATAAATCATAAACTTAAGCTAGTTCTATCATCGAGATAACTACAGAGCCGGATTTATGGCGGAGCAGCCGGGGCCCTGGAGCCTCCACAAATTCAGGGCCTAGAGTAACTTCAAAATTTAGTCCCCCAGCAGGCCTTAGGAAATATTTTTATTGATTAAAAGGGTATCCACTTTCTTCCTTGTCCTAGGCCTCGACGCCTTTAAATCCGGTTCTGTATAACTACAGAGTCTTCCAACTACCTGGAATGCAGAAATAATTATATAATAATTTTTAGACGATTGCAACACAATGTCCACAGTTATAAGTACTGGAATAGAGTTAGGACAAGAGTATAGTTCCTTTGAGGATCTTAAATCCGATATAGATAGATATACAATGGAACATTTTAGTTCAACTCTACATGCGAGATAGCTTAACTTTGAAAGCGGCACAAAAATCAAAGCCCCACAGAGTGGACAGGGCCAATATGGAACTAATAATAAAAATTGTAACAATGAAATTTCGACAAGTCAAATTTATTAACGGGACAACGTTAACAACTTCATTGTTTCCATGAGTTTTTGATATTTTTATAAAAATGCAAATCTTGTACCTAATTAGCTAAGATAAAGTATGTCAAACAGGGCTCCAGCTCAACCAAAATGTCATCAATATACCTACAATATATGTATATTTTTGAAATCAGGAAAATAATTTTTTTTTTATTTTAGAGCATAAGATACACGGTCAAGTTCTATATTTAAAAAAAGACTTTGCATGTTTTTGGTGCATTTACGCATCCAAGGATCTTCTTTTTGAGATTTGGCGAGCGCAGAGCGAGCAATCGGAGACTCAAAAATGATTTACAAGAAGGTTGAGAAAAAGATTTCCACGTTTTTGGGTTATTCACGCTTCCAAGAATCTTTTCTTTCAAGTTTGTCGAGCGGAGCGAGCAATCAGAGACTCAAAAATAATTTAAATTTCAAGCCGTTATATTTAATAAAGGTTTTTCACGTTTCTGGTGGAAGGTTTTTCTCGTTTTTGGTGGATTTACATTTCTGAGGACATTATTCTCTTTGAGGTTTGGCGAGCGTAGCGAGCAATCGAAGGTATAAAGATAACTTCAGGGTGCGTGCCAGAAGGATTTTGAATAGGTTGCCGTCTGGAATGAAGCAGAGCAGATTCCAAACATCAACAAGTTTAAAGCCCAAGATAGAAAGATGTTAGGTACTAGGTACTGATAGAGGCCTGCTATTACTCAGTGGACGAATTTCTTGATGTCAATTCTACAAAAAAACAAAATTTCAATATAGCTATTTATACAATAAGTTACGAAATGAGCGTCTTTTAGGCACGCGACGTGAAAATTGTCCAACGAGGCAAAGCCGAGTTGGACAACACGTCGAGTGACTAAAAGACATCGTTTCGTAACGTATTGTATACAAGATTTTTTCTACTGGCATTTTATAATAAAAAAACACAATTTTATTTCATGTGAATAAGTCGATTACACCCAAAATCTTTGTTACCTGCTTTTACTTGACACCTGACACTTTTCATGCGATTTTCTTTTCAAAATTCGACATCAATAATTAAAATCCTAGAAAGTAGGTAATAACACAAACTTCTGTTTTGAGTAACCCAAACGTTCAATTCAGTAATTCCATTTTCAATATTCATAATAAATACAAAACAAAATTCAAATATGTGTTTAGTGTGTTTTTTATTTCTGAATAATGAATGACACTTTTAGGCACTAGTGCTTAAAAATTACTTTTACGCACTCATAAGTCACTTTTACGCATTCAAAAGTCACTTTTACCCACTGAGTGCCTAAAAGTAACTTTCACGCACTCAGTGCCTAAAAGAATGTCGTTTCAAAACTGAAATGACAATCGAAAAGTTGCTATTATGAAACGTCAGTAGAAAATAGTACATTAAAATACAAGTTTCATAAGACGTCATTTTATCGCACGAGCCCTATATTAGAAAACGAGCCGGAGGCGAGTTTTCTAAAGGACGAGTGCGATAAAATGACTTATGAAACGAATATTTTATACTATTTTTT